CTCACGTCGCTGGCCCTGGATCCGGCTCCATTACGTGCCTGGTGGAATGACACCACTCGCACAGCCGTGCGACATGGATATGCAGCGTCCCTTCAAGTTAGCAATCCGACGCGCGCAGCTTCGAGACCTTGTAGATGAGACCGTAGGTCATCTTGATCAAGGGGGTGATGCACCGTTCTTTCGCCTTACAACAGCCATTGGTGTGCTTCGCACCCGTTCAGTTGGCTGGTTCGTCGATGGCTGGAATGCTATCAACAACCCTGGTCTTGTCCAACGTGTAAGTTCTCTATTTCATGTTTTGCCTCGTGCGCTTACAATTCTTATAATTTTGCATGTAGGCGTTCTCTCACTGTGTTGTCCCTGACACAGCCTTCAACCTATCTTTCGAATCCCTTACCTCGCGTGCTGCCCGTCGCGCTCTTGTCGAACTCTCGCACACTGATCCTGCAATGTGGGAAACTATTTTGGCTGACATCTCACTGACCAGTGCCAAAACAGTGGACGACTCCCCTTTCACCACCTCCGACTCCCATGAACTCGACGACACGGCCACAGACCCTGCTGATCTTGTACATGCCATTCTCGCAGCCCCAGACGCGGCCACCAGCTTGTCTACTCATCTCGATGTTGGCCACCCGGAGGATTTGAGGTCTGAGATACCGGAGGCAGACGAGGAGGACCATGAGGCTGAGATGGGCCGAGGCAAGCAACGGAGGGTTGTTTCTTCGCGTTTTGACAACTATGATGCTCATTAGATCTGTTCATACTCGTTTCCACGCGTTTTTACGCGCAATTTTATGTTTTTCTGGACATTGACAAATTTTCCGGGTCACGGTGTTCAAAACACTATCTGACCCGTGACAAGCGCCAGTCAAGTGTTCATACCATACCCCCGTCGTGACGCGTGACGAATGCTTGGTCGAAATGCTACAGTAGCGCGTGTCGAGCGACCGCCCAGGCCGGGCAGTCAAATAGGTAGTGATGGATCGTTTCTTCTGCGAAGTCTTCGCAGTGCTCGCAGATGGCATCTTTGTGTTTTCCAATTCGTCGAAGGTACGTGTTCAGCGGTATATGTCGTGTGTATAGCTGGGATAGGATGCTTATCTGTCGTTTCGGTAGCTCAGCCGTCAATTTGATGAAGAAGTTAGTACCTGCCTTTAGTCGGAGGGCCTTGTGTCGGTGTGCCCTCCGGGAACCTGCCCATTCCTTCCCCCATCTCGCCTTCACACCTTTCTTGTGCGCTGCTTTCAGTGCCGATATGCTGTCCTTCAACCCCTCCTTTAGTATCGCTGGTAGGTCCTCCCTCGGGCTGCTTCCCTCCTTGTCCTCCGCCGCCTTCTTCGCCTCCTCATCCGCCCGCTCATTCCCCTCCACCCCTTCATGTCCCGCTATCCACTTTACCTCCACCTCTGTGCCTGGCCATCTCCTCCTCCTTGACCCCCTCCCTTTCATCGCCTCTGCCATCTGGTGTACTGGCGCCACTAGGTAATGACCCGGTCGTTGGTTGGACGGTCGCCGTATAGCTGCTATCGCCGCTTGATTATCTGCGTAGATTGTTACCCGGTCAGGCCTGTCTATGTTGTTCCGGAGGAGTTCCATCGCTAGCAGGATGCCCACCAATTCAGCCTCGAATACCGTGTGTCGCTGGTCGGATCCCAGGTGATATCGGAGTACCTTCGTTGTTCCGTTCACCCTCACCATTACCGCTGCTGCTCCTATCCGTCCTCCGTGCCCAGATCCGTCAGTGTAGACCTCCACCCCCCTGTCTCTCCCCGCGTGCTCCTCAACAGCCTCCTTCCTCGATTTCGCAATGTGAGTCTCGACTGGTGTCGGCGCAACGAACAGTCGGGGGTAGTTGAGGGTCTCGACTTCCCCTGGTCGGACTTTGCATCGGTGCGCGAGTAGGTGGATCGCCGTCTGATGGTGCTTGACTAGCCGTTTTGCGGCGCGTTGGTAAACGGGCGCCAAGGGGTGGACCGGCGGGAGCGCTGCCAGCCTCAGTGCCGCATTGTAGAACATCTGTTGTACCGTTAGCGATATTGGGCGCATGTTTGCCATGATTTCCAGGATGTCAGTCGGTGAGGAGCGCAGGGCCCCTGTCATTGTCAGAAGTGGTCCGCGTTGCAGGGAGGCGATTTTCTTGATCACAGTCAGGGACCCGCGCATTTCTTTTGTCGAGCCCCATGAGAGAGGGGGGCGGAGCCATACATCTGCCGCGTATAGTGTCTTGGTGAGGACCACCGTGGTGTGTAGTTTCCGGATCGCCTTTAGTGGCATGCCCGCCGACATCCGAGAAAGGCGCCATAGCTGCGCTGAGTACGCCGCACCTTTCGCCATGGCCGCCGCCACCTGCTCCTTCCATCGTAGTCCTTGGTCAAGGATCGCTCCTAGTAGCTTGTGGCTCGTCTTCGGCGTGATGGTACGGTCTCCGACCACCATTTCCGGCCGTTCCCTCCCCGCGTTCATGCTGAAGTCTATAAGGCCGAACTTTGAGACTTCGAACTTTGAGTTATGTTCCCTCGCCCATTCCAACACCCCTCCTGGCCGATTTAGCATGTCTTCCAGGATCTGATGAGTTTCCTGGAACGTCTTCCCTATGGCTAGCACCGTGGTGTCATCGACAAAAGCCACAATCAGTTCCTTTCCACCCGGTCAATCCGCTATACAGACTAGTCGTGAGCAGTAGATCACGTATAAAAGCATTGAGAACGGATCGCCCTGTACAATACCGTTCGATATAACGATGTCATCCGACATGAAGTTGTCGAAGCTGAGCTTCGTCCGTCTGTTCGTGAGCATATTCTTCGTGAATTTTACAATTTCTGTGGGAATGCGTAGCATCTTGATTTTGTGTAGAAGCATGTTGCTCACCGCGTTTGGGAAGGCCCCCTCTATGTCTAAGAAGAGGGCTGAAACTACTCGGTGGTTCCGCCAGGCGTGGCGGACCGTCGACTCTATGAGATGTATTGCGTCCGTTGTGCATCTCCCTGGTCTTCCGCCAAATGCTGTGGATGGTAGCAGGTCCCTGTCTTCAAGAAACCTGGATGTTTGTTCCGTCACCAGTGCCGAAAGCAGCTTAGCTGCCGTGTCGACCAACGCAATTGGGCGGTACGCCTTGGGGATCGCGTAATCTGGTCGGCCTGGTTTCCTGAGGACTACCGTTGTGAATAGGTGCCAGGGGTCGTAGTAGACTCCTAGCATCATCGCCGCATTGAAGATGGGCAGGAGGTGCGGCATTAGGACCGCCTTACACCTCGTCCATACCGCGTTAGGGATGCCGTCGGGGCCTGGGGCTTTGTACGGGCTCAGGCTGGATATCGTTTTGTCGAGTTCGTCCATGGTGAATCTATTGAAGCGCTCATGGGGTGCATCATACACGTGGTCAGCAGGTACCGAGGAATGGTCAGGGGGAGGGGGGAAGAAGGACTCAGCCAGCGTTTTGGCCTTTGCTTCATTCGTTATTGCCAGCCCATCTCCCTCCGGCCGTCTAGTTTTCAGGTTGGGGACCCTACTCCTGCCCCCGTCCACTGCTGGGGTCGCTATGTATCGGTGAGCCGTCCATAGCGCTCCCGATTCCGCCTCCTCTAGCCAGTTGAGCCAGTGGTCTTTCCGGGCTTTGTCAATGGCTCTTGCGTATTCCTTGCAGTGCTCTGTATATGCATTGTGAATTGGGTGACTGCGGTCACCGCCTAGGGCAGTTTTTGTTCTACTCAGCTTGTTTTTCTCGCGTTTCAATCTCGCTAAGTCCGAGTTCCACCAGCGTTTCATGAACGGACTGGGGTTGGTGAATGGTACCAGCTCCTCAATTGTGTCTTGTACGTGTCGGATGAGGCAACTTGTTCGCTGTGTGAACTGACCCTCAGTGTCTATGGTAGTTGTGGGTTCGGCAGCTAGTCGAGTACTCAGCTTTTTGTTGATCTTATCCCATTCTGCCATTCTGAAGTTACGCCTCCGGTGTTCTGTTGCGATTTCTAACAAGAGGTCGAGAATCGTTTTTATCGGCAGGTGGTCCACCTTCACCGGTCGTAATTCCGGAATTGTGTCGCACTCCATGATGCACGCCGCCGTCTCCTCCGTACAGAAAACGTTGTCCGGCCTTGTCCATGTCTTCCCCCTTGTCGTCTCCAGTGTTGGTATTCCCGGCGCTAGCGGCATTACCATCCCCTGCTCCGCCACCATCCTTAGCAGGACCTCCACCTCCTCCACCGCCGTTTTCGTGAACAGGTGGGTGTTGTGCTTGCCATCCCAATACGGGTGATGCCTGTTGAAGTCCCCTAGCCACAGCATGTGACGTAGTGGCCCGTTGCCGATGAGCGTCCGATTCTGTTCATTGGCGAGGAAGTGTTCAAGCTCCTCAAGAACCACTCGTGATTCGCACGGGTTGTAGATGTTGAATACCGAGACCCAACCGGCGGGTGTTTTCAGGATTGTTAGGACGACGTCCGCAGAGGGGAATGGCACCGAAAGCCAGGAGTTTGTGCTGATCTTGGTGCTCACTAGCGTGACTGCCCGTGTTGGTGATCAGCTTCCCGTGGGTGGTGTGGGGTATGCTACCTGCCAGTGGCTGCTGGCTCTCGTTAGTCCTAGTTTATTTAGGCAGGGCTCCTGTAGGACGATAACATCCCAGTTTTTTCGTAAGTTGTTGTTAAGTAGGTCTAGGTGCGCATCGTGAGATTTGTGCATGTTGATTTGTAGTATCCTGATTGTTGTTCCTAGGGGGTGCCGATTCATAAGTTGGAGTTGGTGGTCCTGGTTGAGCTGTCGCGGGAGGTGGATGAAGGCCCCTGCGAGAGGGTGGGCGTGGAAGGTCTAGAGGAGGAGGGGGGGAAGGGGAGGGGGGCCTGGACCCAGGTCTTCTTTTTCTTCGTCGCCTTTGTTGTTGCCGCATCCTGTTTGGCCGGCTGTTTGGCTTGGCGTAAGGTGTCCACTCGAGAGGGCTGAGATGGACGGCCGCTCGGTCGGTCGCTCGGGGTTGGTGCTGGGGGTTCGGTTTTGGTCGCGTTGGCCGCATACTGTACGGGCGCTGCCACCTGGTCAGAGTCCTGCATTGACTGGGACTCCGCCTCAGGTGTCTGCGATGGTGGGGCAGTGCCTGTGGGCACCGGCACCTCTGGCACCCCGTAGTATGGCAGGGAGTTCTTGGGGAATCTGGCATCAAAGATGTCGCACTGTTCCAGGAATGCCGGGCATCCCCTGTCTGAGCTGGAGTGTGCGTGCGTGTCGCATGAGACGCAGTATTGCTCCGCCCTGTTCGCGCATTCCGATGTCCAGTGCTCGCCACCGCATCGCGCGCATGCATCTTTTGACGCCTTGCATTGTGCTGCGACATGGCCCCACCGTTGACACTTGGCGCAACGGATGGGTTCGCACTTCTCCTTGCGCGGGCGTAGCTTCCGGTACTGTAGGATCATGCCGTCACGGATGAGGGCATTGGCGGTTTCAGCTGTCGCGCACTCGAAGATCGCGCTGGCAAACTTCTGGTCTTGGCCGCGTTTCGCTGTGAGTTTTGCCCAACGCGCAGAGTCGAGCTCCCCGGGTTCAAGGCCATTCTCCTCCTCGCATCGGCGTAGCGTGGTTTCCTCCGTCACTTGGACGTCTATAGGAATGAAGCGGACGAAGATGGGGTAGGTCCGGATTCGCTGGCGACCAGATCCAGTCAGCACTTTGTCGAATCGCTTACGTCCTTCCCCTGTACGTAGATATTCCGCTCCCTGCTCCGAGAAGAACTCTAGGAGTAGGTCCAGCTTGCGTATGCGGGATACCGCCTTGATCTTCAGATCCCGATCCACCCCCTCCTCCTTTGCCAACTCTACTAACCTCTGGAGTTTCTCGACCAGCTCCACATGAGGGGTGTCGAGTGGGAGGAGCACTTGCGGGCTGTCCTTCTGGACCGCGATAATGATCTGTTTTCACTTGGTTGTCTGCCGAGCTGCCACCAGCGCTGGATCCGGGGTCGGTCCCGACGTCCGGATCCCCTTGGCTGTCGCATCTTGGTACGATACACCTCCCTTCGTGGCCGAGGGAGCGTTCGTCGATGCTTGACCTCGGGGGGCCTCCTTGAGAGCGCCTTCCAGCTTGTCCGATGCCTCGGCTACTTTCTCCGCCGAGGACATGACCTGTGCGACTTGCAGCGAGATGGCCGCGACCACTCCGTTCGTAACTGCCTTGGTGAGAGAGCCCACTAGCTCAGCAAAGTGAGATTCTATGCTGTCATTGCCTAGGACGACTCCCAGGCAGAGGAGGGCTGAGCGTGTCGTGGTTCTCGCCGTCGCCGTTCCTGCAAATGCTAGAAGAGTGTCTGCTATCGTGGTAGGTGCAAGTGACTCGCCGGGTGTCATCCATTTCACATCCTTCAAGAAACTCTTCGCCATCTCCAGGTTAGGGATCTCAAGCTTTGTCCCTTTGGTGCTGCCTGCCTGTTGCGTCTTGGACGGCACGTCTTCTGTGTTGGTTGGTTCCATCGCCTGCGCAGCATCCGTTGCTGTTTTCTGCTGCTGGGTTGGCGTCGGTTTCGGTGTCATGGCACTCCTTGTGATCCTGGAGGTCACCGACGGTACTCTCGCTGCTGTGGTTCGTTGCGTTCCCGCTTTCTTGGGGTCGGGCGCGGGTGTGGCTTTCACCTGGGGGTTGGACCCAGTGTCCGTTGGGGTGGAGCCCGGAGGGTCTTCCTCCATTGTCCTTGGATTATGAGAGGTATTTAAAGGTATAGTAGGTGTAGATATGTAGGATGCGCTCAAAAATGTCTATTCCTTTGTCTTGAACAGTACTCACTACCTTCTGCGAGGCTGGGTTTTTAGGCCGGGGTCCTCGGGGTGCCAACGCGGGATGGTGGTGGTTACTGAGAAAGGAAGCTCTCATGATGAACGTTTTGGTTCAAGTCTGGTCGCTAACTGTCGGCCTCGCGTGGAACGGCCGACGTTCCCCGAAGACCGCTTATGGGGAATGTTTCTCACAGATCAAACCTCCGCGATGACAGTGGCACCCATCTTCAGAAAACTTTCGTCAAGTCAAAGGTGATGCAAACGACACTACCCCCTCCAGAGATCCTGCATGAGATCTTCTTGTACTTCAAGCCCGTTGGGATAGATGCCATAGAACCCAGGCGGATGCTTGTATCGCTTGCAAGAACATGCAAAGCGTTCAAAGACGAAGCGATCGCTGTCCTCTGGTCATCGATCCCCTTACGTGCTCTGTTCTACCCTCTGCCATCCTGCGCCGTCCACAAGGATGGTGTGGATGGTCCTCCTGACTTTGAGGATATTGTGCGTAAACAGATGATCAAGCTTTTTGCTACATGCTAACCCGGGATAGACTGGTTTTAACCCTACGTCTGTGACACCCTCGGAATGGAATGTTTTCCGTAACTATACTTCACGTGTTTAGACGATTGATCTAAATAATAGTATTGGAATCAAATACTCCGCCTTGGAATCACTATTTCCTCCTCACTTGATTGGCAACGAGACCTTTCCCAGGCTCACCGATCTCAACCTTCCCTTCCATGACGATGACATCCCATGGCATGTTCTACCGGTCTTTCTAGTTCCAACTATACGGTCCATACGCTTGCTATCATGCTCAGGGGGAGCTTTAAGCTTCGTATCATTGCTCTCAGAACGCTGTCCCGCACTTGAATCTCTCATTGTATACAACCAACAAGAAAATCTATGGGCAGGTAGCATCAGGGATACGTTCGAAGCTGTGGTTCCACAACTACAGCATCTCAAGGCATACGACGGGCCACTGCTGTTGCAGCATCCTCCGCGAGGACTATCACACCTCCCATCGCTTCAACGCATCTCATTGAACCTCTGCGCTCCTCTATGGGGAGACCTTAGTGGGGATGTTAGGCTCCCTTACAGATCTCTTCCTTTCCCGGCTCTGTCAGATGTCACGCTCGAGCTAGACTATCCTCACAAAGCCAAAGTCTTCTTCGACGCCGTAGGTAGTCAGAGCCGCACACAAGAACCGCAACCACTGTCGACGACTGTCTACTTCCATTTCGCCCCCTCAATGGGCGAGGTCTTTGAAACTTGCACGACGTTATCTTCGCACCCCCGTTTCACGCTCTCCTCCTTGCGACTTCTTCCACGCACTAATCACAACGACGATTACTACCCGGATCTCGTGATCACGCTCAACACAATCCGTCCTCTCCTACAATCGACATCACTTACCAAGGTCGACATCAGCGTGTCCCCGATGGCATCCTTCACGGATGCCGACCTTGAAGAAATGGCGAACGCCTGGCCCCACCTTGAAGTGCTCAAGATCAACCAGGCCGTCGAAAGCTGGAACACATCTCCACAGATCACTCTTCAGGGTCTGCGCACCCTTCTCACTACCTGTCTGCACCTACGCCGGCTCGCTCTGGCTATGTGTGTCCCCGCATCCGATCGCGAGAACGACGATTGGCAGCTCGACCGCATCAGTAACATGGCTGATCGCACAAACTCCGCATTAACTTCATTTCATCTCCTCAACTCCCAGATTGAAGACGACATTCTCTTCTGCGTGGTCCTTTCAAAAATGGCGCCGAAGGTCAGGGTCAACGCCCTCCCTTACGGAGTCGTGGCAGCAGACATGGTGGCCCGGAAGAGGGAAGGAGGTTTTAGTGCGTATAGCTGGGACGAGCTGAGTGAGCGTATCTCGCGGTTCATCCGAGGAGGCGATCTGGATATACGCCTTTCGCAGATAGAAAGGTCGAGGGCTTAATGACGGTCAGACATTTACCCGGGGGTAGAGTATCTAATGGAAGGTTTTGTAAACTATCATCTACTAGCTCCGTCATGCCCTTACTGCGCCATTGGTGGTTGCGATGAAGCCATCACTACTTATCGTACAGACAGCGCGGAATTGTACCTGTATTAAGCGCCCGTTAAGGGCCGGCTTCTTGTGTGAGGCGCGTGTTGTACATGCGTTAACAAGATTAAAAGGCCGAGAGGCAGGAAACAGTGAATTAGTGCATTGAAATGTTGTCGAATGGGTTAAATAGGCACGACAGTGCGAAGGTTATCAACTGCACTACACTCGGCAAGTTAGCTCGTCGTCCCACTCCTCAGACCCTACGCCTTGCGTCACAACAAACAACTGATGCGGATCGTACTTGTCCTTGATCTCTTTCAACTTCGCATAGTGGTCACCGAAGAAAGTATACCGGAAATCTTCCTCAAACGGAGACGCCTATCCTCTCTTGTCAGCATCATCTTACGGCCCCGGTACAAAAATGTGCCTACCTCGTTGAAGTAGCACCCAGATTCAGGGGTAAGCTCTCGGATCCTCGCTTCCTGTTCTTTCACACCAGCGGCAAGCTGACCTATGTCCTCCGCAGACGCCCCGTCTTCCCATGACGCGCCCCAGGTGATGTGGACAACTGCCTTGCGCCAGGCAGGATTAAGCCCAGCGGAGTCGGGGTCGACTGTGGATACCTTGCCTCCTGCAACAAAGCTAAGCCATGCGTCAGTTTCGGCTCAAGGATCCCAGAGCCAAGCACGCACTTCCAAGACATGCCGGGTGTCTCAAAGATCGCAGTGCACATCTCGTCGTTGTTATTCTCGATCACCTCTCGCGGGATGAGCCGCGAGCCCAAGATGACGTTCCCGCCGTTCTGGCCAGTCGGCGTCCCAAAGAATGACTCATACAGTGTGTAGAACGAAGGGAACTGCAATGTCTCAGCTGCCGTGATGTTCAGTCCGGCCGACGTAAGATTCGCTGCGCGCTCGAAGAACGGGGTCCACGTCTCGTTTGCCTGTGCCCACGACACGTTCGGTGAGAGGTAGATGAACTCAACGCTGGTATTGTCGATGCCGCCGTATCCTCCCCAGCCTGCGTCCGAGAGAGATGGGAGCATGGTGTAGCTCTCGGTGAACAATTGCTGAATGAGTGACGAGTTTGTGGAGTTGACTGAGAAGATGGCGACTAGGGCCGGAAGGGCAGGATGTGTTTTGTACGTGACAGAGGTGACGACACCGTACGTTCCGCCGCCGCCACCACGCAGGGCCCAGAAGAGGTCCGGGTTTTGATGGGCGTTGACGGTCAGGTACTGGCCAGTGGATGTAACGACGGTCATCTCGACAGCGTTGTCGACGCCTGAATGTACGTCGTTAGTTGAAGTGAGCACTGAAAGCAAAACCTACGTACCCAACCCATAATTCGATGATAGGGCACTATGTCCACCTCCTTGGATCCACCCACCAGCAGCACCTACGGACCCGCCAGCCGATAAACCGCCTACTAGTACTCGCCCGGTAGCATTGGCGGCTGCGTACGCTTCAAACCACTGGACACCGGCTTCCAAAGTGAAGGCTAGAAACGACTTTGCGTCAGATCCATCCACCTAGGGTGCCGATCAAAGAAGTCCTCACCATCGTAAGTCTCGTTGGGCGGCGCTCCCTCGGGCACAAAGGAGCCATCGTGGGTAATATTCTTCATGTTGTGCGTCCACACCATGAGCGCCCCTCGTCCAGCACTCCGACCAATGTAGTCGTGCCTGATCGGGTATTCAGTCTAGCATACAGACGGATTATCAATACAAAATAATGTACCCAGTGTTCTTGACGACCATCCGCAGGTCATGCATCACCGAGAAGTTGACCGCAGCTTGGATGTCCGCAGGCGTGCGTGCGTCCACGGCGATGACAGGTACATTTCCCTGGTCGCATGCACCCGTGATGTTCGTCTCTGGATAACAAGCAGCGATGGTGCCGTTCTGGAAGATGTACGACTCCCAGTTGGGTGCTTCCATGCTGCCGACCATGTCCGAGCGCCAAATACCGCTGGTGTAGTTTGCGATGACGTCGCTGCAGTCATCCGAGGCGCCCGACGTGGAGTAGCATTGAGAGGCGGTGGGTTTGGGGTAGAGGAGGGACTGGGAGAGGAGAGACTGGAGCTGAGAGAAGTCAGAGCCGCTCGGCCAGCACGACTGGCCATACACGCAACGGCATTGAGACGCGGAGGCTGCGTCGACGCTGGCTACATAAAAGATTCCGGCCGCAAGAGTCGACAGGGATAGTTTCATGTTGGGTTCTGACGTCCACGGATCGTCGCCTAGCTGAACCTTGGGGATGACCACAGGATTACCGTGGAGTAGGTTGGAAACGGAGAAAGATGGATATTCAACGGCTGCGACGACTTTGATTTATATCGGTTCCTGCGAGACATGCTGTATTGGAGAGGCGCAGTCACTGTGAGGGTAAACGAGCTGCGGCTGTCAAATTCGCTCTTAGGTACCTCGAGAAATGCGCAGAGCTTGACCACAGCATGTCATGGGATTTCCACCATGTCTCCCTGTACCTTGGCATCACCTGTCCGGAGTTTGTGGTGGGTCGTCCTCCCTCGAGCTGCGGGATGATCATGATGTCAGTCGTGGGTGTCAAGTGAAACAGTCAAGAAACAGTCGTACCTGAAGGTTGATGCTACACGAGAGCTCCAAGTTGCCTGTAGCGCGACCCCGCCGGATCATCTGGGTCTTGTGGTACTAGAAGAGAAGATGAATAAAACTTATAACAAGGCAAACCAGACAGAGCGACGCTGGAGTAAAGGACAAGTGTAGACGTGTGAGCAAACTAATCGCGGTGCCAAATGACATGTAATGACAGGCGAGGGCCGAACGCCCCACCTCGCCTCATGGCGCAGGTTGATGGTTTGCCATTGCACTTATGCTTGTATGAGATAGAGAAGGCGCTCTACATCTGAGCTCAACGAAACATCAGTGAGACATGCAGGATACCGCACGATGATCGTGGTCGTGACTTGAGCGCAGCGTGTCAGAGCACTTGCGTCGCTTGACAGTTGGGGGGTGTCGCGGGTCCCACTGGCAGGAGTCCAGCGCGTAAAACACTCAGGGGTCAAACTCAAACCCAACTCAAACCACCATCCAACGTTTACTGTACGTTTCGTAGTCTCGCCTCATTCTACCGTCTATAAAGTTCACGCAGAAGCTTAATTTGAGCTCCTCAGCTTTCACGTTTCTATTTCTCGGAAACTCTACGCGGTGCAGTCGTACCTGACAATACCAACTCTGCGAATACGCCATCATCAGAAGCCAACATGCACCCATGTCTCCAGGTTCCGGAGCTAGCAAGTCACATCATCTTATATGTTGGACATGAAGACCAGAAATATTCCCTTCGTTCCATCTCCATGTCGTGCAAGGCACTTCGAGAACCTGCTCTGGACGCGCTCTGGGAGGAGGTCCACTTCCATAGCTTCTTCACGTGTTTAGGCCCGGACGTGGTATTCCGAGGAGAGCTTGGTGGCCGCTATGTACGTCACCTGCACTTTATATCTGGCCCAAAGCATGTCTCACGCATACTTGGCATCTCGGAATAGAGAATTGGACTAAACCGTGAACTGAGCGGGCCCGATTGGGACCTGCTGCTGTCATATAGTAGAAGAGTCAAAAGCCTTGTCTACCTGGGCCGCCGACGGACCCCTTCTTTGCTTACGACGTTCCGAGAGGGCTCTCTATGTACGACGTCGTCAGGTGCTGGCCCCATCCACTCCTATTTCCGACATTATTACGATTATCCATCGGAGACGTAGTAAACCGCTACTACAGTGACATCCTGCCCTTGCTTTGCGCGCCCTCGCTGCAAGAAGTCATACTTTCCGTGCACGACGAAATATTTCCCATTCCACATCTACAGGATCTCTTGTCAAGATGTCCACAGGTCATCTCGATTCGGGGAACAGGGGTTTACAGCCAAACCAGCGGCGTCGACTTCGGTGCCGTGAGCCAGTGCAAGAATCTTCGAACGCTGACTGGCGTTGTTCTCGAGCCCCATACGCTCGGTTGTCTCCAAAGACTGCGCCAGCTCCGCATATTAGGTCTATCTATCAGATATGACAGATTGTGGACAGGTGAGGCGATTGACGGCTGTGGCCTGCAGAATCTGGACGAATTGAAGGTTACGGCACACGCCCCGAGCGTAGCTTGCTTGGTCCCCGCCCTGGTGTTTGGGTCTAACTCCTCTCGCACAACCCTACCTCTTGTAACTTTGCGCAGGCTGGACATGGTTGTATACTTGGACGATGAAGAGGAAGAGAACAACGAGTTCAGGGATGCCCAGCCTCCGTACGCCCTGCTGAACGAAATTCTCGGATCACTCACACGATATGTCTCTGCAGAATCATTAGAACATCTTTGCCTCATAATCACGCCTGAATCCCTCTCTAGAGCCGAAGCAGACTGGGAAGTCTTCGTCGGCTCGTTAGAGATGCTGACAGGGCTGAAGCACGCCGAAATATTCCTGCTCAACGAATTCGGTCCTCTCGCAGATTCAAACAGGCTCGGGATCTCCAAAAAGCAGCTCGCACGTCTTCTTCAAAGGTGGCCCTTGCTTCAGTACCTCGGTCTCCGGCTGCGCGACTCCCTGACATTACATGATCTCCTGGACACCTTGCCCCTCATGCCGCACGTGAAAATATTGGACGTGAACGTCTCCGTCTTCCTTAAAGACGTCACCACCCTTAACGGGGACGAGAGCATCACGTTCCCAGAAAACTCTCTGACCTACCTGTGCCTGCTCTGGGATAGCCGTATGGAACACAAAAAGCGCGTCCCGGGCTCAGAAGCCGCCTCGGTGGCTCGCCTGCTGTGGAAGATCGCGCCTTCGCTCCAGAACATCGGCCTTTACGATGCGTATGAGGAACCATGGTCAAAGGAGCGATTGATGCAATTACCTAACCCGTCTTGGACGGAAGTCATCGAGGAAGTGCAGCGACTGCAAGAAAAAGACAGGGTTGCTTGTATTGGCTGATAGATTCTTTTGTGCCCTACACATATGCATATGCCTGAAACTTGCTGAACGACAGGATTAGTCCACCGATTAACATGTATGGTGTAAAGCTTGTACGATAGGAATAATTAGCTCCATACTAGTACAGAATAGTACGAAGTCAAAGATCCATACAGCAGCGCACAGCTCTATAGATAAAAGCAAACATTATCCATGACAGTCTCCACAGAATACGGAGAAACCTCCGTGAATGAAACCCGTCCAATAACATCACCAAAACCCCATTCCCGCCCGACTCCATGCGCTCACCCATACACCTGCAGCACTCTCTCCACCTCCTCCCTCAGATCGCCCACAGGCCCCCACGGCCCCTCCCACCTTTCCAGCACCCACTCCTCCGCGATCTTATCCGTGATACCATCCAACTCCTCCCGCTCGAACTTATCGCTCGGCGTCACGTTCATATACTCCACAAACGCCGTCCACCGCTGGCGATAATACGTGCCCACCAAGCCGCCCCACACCTTGCTCGCGTAGTCGTTGAGCACGCTCGGCACAGGCCCCCACAGCGTAACCTGGGAGCGCGCCTCGTACTCCAGATAATCCGCGTACGCTTCATCACCACCGTCGCCCGCCCAGGCGCGCGCAGATGCAATCCGCGACGAGAGGAGGTACGGCTCGTGCGTCATCAGTAGCCTATCGAGGTCGTCGATAATCTGCATCATGCGCGCCGCAGTCGCGTTGAGCGCAGCCGAGCCAGGCCCAGACGCGTTATACGCGCCCGTCGTCGCCGTGTACGCGTCTGCGAACCTATTCGCGAGAAGCTGCCGCGCGACGTCGATGCTGTCCGTGCGGAACTCATCTAGCGCCCACAGGGCGGGTGCGGAGGTGCCTGCGGCGACGAGGCCGCGCAGTGCAGGCACGAGCGAGGTGTTGGTGTCGTAGAAGATGATCGTCGAGGACGGGGCGCTGTACATCCCGCCGAGGGAGGGCGCGAGCTCGATGAGCGATTTGGTCGCGCCCCAGACGTTAGGGTTTGTGCTGGAGTAGACGGTTGAGGCGAGGGTCTGCCACGCTTCGATGGCGCTGGCGGGGATGGAGGTGTTGGTGGCAGTCGTAGTGCTAGAGTTGGCGGTGGGCAGGTGGAACCGGCGAGTCGCCCACGCCTTGGCGTACGCGTCCCTATCGAGCGGCGCAGCCGACCACGCCTGGTCGAGCAAAACGTCGTAGATGATCTCGTTCCCCTCCAGTCCCTCCATCGCAAGCCCCACACCCTTCATCGAGCTATTCGGCGAGTTGAGCGCGTCGACGGGCCCGTTCGTGACGACCGAAAAGTTGCCCTCGAGGCCCATATTCCCGCCGAAATCGTGCACCTCGCACCACACCCAGCTCTTGCCGCGGTACGAGTCGAGCCGCTGCCACTGCGGATACACGTCGCTGAACAGATCCAGGATGATCATCCCGTCGTTGGGAATCTGGTCTAAATAGGCATCGACACGGTCGGACGTCCAGAATGGTTCGTCGGCAAAGAAGAGCCAGCCTTGCATGAGCCAGATGGCGTCGGGGTCATGTGCGCGCAAAGAGGCGAATGTGCTGTTGGCGATGTTGGCGAGGTAGGTGAGGTCGCCACTATACGGGCTGTTCTCGTTGTATTGGTCAATTGTCCACACGTGGGTGACGTTGCCCAGGGCTTCGGTCTGTTTGGCGAGGAAGGAAGACTGTAGTTGCGCATAGAGTGGGTCGAACGGAGCTAGGAAGGAGTCGTTGGAGTATTGAGCGGGAATCCCGGGGTACTCGCTTCCGTTCACGATGGATGCGTTCGGGAATAGGGTGTGCATCGCAGGAGGGACGAAGCCCGGGAAGGCGGGGAGGACAGGTGTCATGCCCAGCTCGACGATGCGCGGCACGATCTGTTTCTGGAGCGCGAGCTGGGCATCCATCCATTCTTGCGGAAGCTTGCCGCCCTGTGAGCCGTTGGTGGACGGAGACCAGTCGCCCTGGATATTGCCAAATCTGTTCCATGGAAGGAAGGCCGCTCCTCCAAAGAAGGGGACCATATCTTCATCCGTTAGGCCAGCATCACGGAAGGTTTCGGCGAGAGTGTGCTCGTAGCCGACCCATGCGAGGGGGAGGTTGACACCACGGAGGGCAGCCCAGTCGAGGAGGAGCTCCCATTGTTCGAAGGTCCACCAGTTGGCAGTGTAGCCAAAGGTGACGGTGTTGAGGAAGTAGCGGTACTCGACGATAGCGCTGCGAGTGATGGGCTCGCCGACACGGGGGAGCGGGGAGGGGAGGGCGTCGAGGCGAGAGCCGGTCCACCAGATGTCGACGTTACCTACCTCGGTTGCGTAGCTGAGTTGGATGTCAGTTACGGGAAGATATGTACAGTCAGGGCAATGAACGGACGTATAAAGGCCTCGGGCACATGCACTCGCTGTTGAGCATTCGATATCAATGCCGCCGCTGCTGTCCGACGCGTCGGATATAGTGAAAGTGTCGAGGTCGCTGCCAGTGTCATTGGCGGTTGAGAGTGTGAAAGTGAAGTCGTTGACGTGATTGGAGATACGCCTCTTGACAAGGTCGCGGATACCTGCAAGCGGATCCGACGAGTTTGAGGCGGACGACACAAGGGCAGAAGCTGCGAGAGCAGTGAGCTGGAACCAGCGGGAGACGAGCATGGTCTACCTCTCCAAGGGCAATCACCATCATTGAGACCACCGTGGTACTTATGCGTTTGTCAGTGGGTCACGGAGAGTCCGTCGGGCCCACATGGCCGTTGTCATTGATCGCTGTGTGATGGTAAGGCACCGCTCAGTCATTTCTCCTCTCGTCACCACCCACTCAGTCCCAGACGCGTCGCATGCCCTCAACATGGCTCTTGTCTCCCCTCTAAACATCCACAACACGTCCAACGTCAAGTGGTCTGCCACCCAGGAGAGCGCCATCAACCGCGAGTACCCTTTCACCGACCTCGCTGCTGAGACGCCAGACCAGTATGTCGTTCGCACCTATCTCCAGTTCCTGTGGCTCCCCGAGGTGCGCTATCCTGCCTTATGCTATACTTACAACTAACGCATAAACGCTCAAAGTCAATCATGCCACTAGAACTCCTTGTCCCCTCCCTTCAACGCGTCCGGGTCGCGTCCACCTCAGACCCCGACGCGCCTCACCCACTACACGGACTTCTTGAACCACTCCTGCTCTCAGTACGCGCGTCCTCCAGCAAGTACCACGTCGACTTGCCCGAAATCCTTGCAAGCAATGGTGGAGCAGGCGAGGTTGAAGAAACCATGATGTGGTTCGCGCTGAACCATGAGAAGATAGACTCTGTCGACGACAAAGTCGAGGCGTCTGCCAACTCGGAGGACGCGGTGCTTCTCGAGGACAAATGGCGGAGCGGGTGGTTGCAGCGACTTGAGAGGCGAGAGTGAGTAACGTCTCCAGAAGACTATATGCGTGCTGATTCTAACGGGAGCAGGGTACAAATCCAAATCTTACTATACCTCCTCAAGCTTTCGCTCCCTGGTCCACCTGTTCCTCTGCCCGCCGTCACTGTCCTTGCTTCACCCTCAAAGAGCAGAAGAAAGCAGCGCGAGACCACCCTTGTCCCGTCCACAGAGGAACGGCTCGAATCCTTCATGGACAAAATATCAATGTGGCAGCTCGCCGACGCGTCGGGCGCCGATTTTCAGACACAAGCACAGACCAAAGACGAGCAAGATTGGATGCAGAAGTACTGCGAGCGCATCGTCGAGCCTCAGTGCGTCTGTTCTGATTCTACGCGTAGCTGCTATCTGACCTCTGAACCCCAACAAGGTTTAAAACCTCCCTCCCCGAAGCATGCGAGCTCCTCCGCAGCAAAGTCTTCCCCTCCTCCCCCTTCTCCGACGACGAAGGCACCGCCCGCTCCCGCTCCCCCTCGCCAACTGGCTCCGAAGCACTCTCAACCCGCGGCACATCACGGCGCTCCTCCCGCCATCCATCACCCGCGCCCTCGGAAGCGTCTACGTCCGCCCGGAACGCAGACCAGCACTCTCGCTCCCGTTCGCTGTCGGTCTCGCTCGCAGAGGACGCGAACGCGCGACGGACGGCGTACTCCGCCTCCTCGGGCGCGGCGATCAAGCGCGCGTTCAGCAGGGAGATCAGCATGTCCCGCGCGTTCAAGGCCAAGCCTGGCGCGAAGAAGAAGTCCAACGCCGGGGCACAGTCTCAGGCCCAGCTCCCGACTGCAAAGCCCTCGATCACCAGAGGAGCCGGGGGACGATCCATGTCGTTCGCGGCGAAGTCATCCACAGCTGCGTCGGCATCGGCAAAGTCTTCGGCGGGTGTGACGCTCGTCGCTGCTACGCCCGTCAAGCGTGCGGAGAAGCAGCGGAACAGCGCCTTCCAGCGGAGCCAGACCACGCAGACCTTCCAGCGCTCCCTAACGTCCGCGAGCCTGTTCTCGTCTCGCGCGATCAGCCCAAACCTGAGCTCAGGCGCGGAAGATACCACTATGGCCGACGTTATGGAAGGACAGGATGGAGAGGACATGGAGGAGGAAGTGTGGCTGCCCGCTGACAGTTCGCCCGATATTCTGTTGCTCGGGCCATCGAGGAAGCGGTCATCATCGGATGCGGAAGGGGCAAGGGATTACGAAGACGACGACGATATGGACTTTCCGGAGGTGACGCCTGTGAAGAAGCGGACGAGAGCTGCGTAGAGTTGGTGTTGGGGGAAGTTATAGGTGTATTTGATAGGTTATGTTTTTGCCTAGACTGATTGAATCGAGGCACACTCATTCCTTCCTCTTTTCTATCTGGGTGATCGTAGATGTTATCCACAGAACCTTAGTGCCTTTGTCGTGGACTACTGGAGACGACGTTTGGCTTTATCTCTCAATGTGCTCTCGTCAATGATGAAACCGCAATCAACTATGCATTGACATGCTACATTACTAATATTTTATATCTCATAAGGATCCAGAACAAGACCGGAGCCAACGTTTCATCCCGTCTACAATTAGTTGCGTTCGTTCGGTTTGGTTCATGTAAGCTCGCGCAACGACTCACCGCGCCACAACATCGTATCCAGATATCCCTCGGGCTCAAGATTCCTCCGGTCGCTCGAAGTTCTGCGTCCTCCGCAAAACTCCTACCCCTTGATGTTCCCTTTTCCTTTTGCGATATACATTCGCTTCCGCTTCGCCTCCGTACTGGTTATTTGAACCTCCTCCTACTCGATACAGTGCGCATTGCCTTCATCAAAATAGCCATACTGGTCGCTTGTCCTGCTAGTAGACATCTTCTGCATGTAGTACATTTGATCCCTGTACTGGTTCTCGCGTCTCCATTAATAGACAACACCGTCCCAGTACTTCTGTTTTTGTCCGAGTCATCTGAGCGTTCCCCGCTCGCCGGCGTCCCAGTTCAATAACATTGATGTGATTCGCACTCGGAGCCATCATGTGCCAATGGTGCACCGGTGATGTCTCATTCTATTATGAGACCTGGCCACAGATCGTGAGATCCAATTTCATAGTAACGTATGCACTGGTCTTATATTATAATGTATTGCGAACGTAGACGGCCATGTACCATCCATGTGGTTGACGAGCTCCATAATCTAGTTCGCTTCCCCAAACTTTCTCAGATGTAGCCGCTGGAGGTGGTGATCGCCGTCGTGACTCGCAATAATCAGGTTCTGGGTGTCATGAGGTATGGAGTGAAACGCTGATTTCAGAGCATGGATGCGGAAAGGTGGTTACTGGGAAATAAAACTGTGGCACTAGAAGCTTCAATCAGACGCCAACGCCACTCGGTTCTCTGTAGTTAGGAAGCTCTCTCCTATGGTTTGCAACACCTTGGGGGACTAGTGGAGTAACCCCAACCGCGATAATGCGTTACGTAGGTGTAAGCCATATATATTGCACACTGTCTTGGGCATTGGATAACTATAATAATCAATCTCATTACATAAATGGTCCTTGATACTCAGTATAAATACGCTGATGCAGAGCGCTGTGGACGCTCTTTATCTCTCCCAACTCAGAATAATTCAGCGTAAAGGCAAGATGACCAACAAGACACTCGCGATCTTTTGCGACGGCACCGGCCAGGATGGCCTTCTGATCGACTCGAAGTCCCTTGCTGAAGCTGTTAAGAAAGTCTTGGCTCAGAACCCGGCCGCTCGTGAGTGAGCCTCGCTAGTTTATGACTCATCAAGCTGATGTCTGTTTTTCGCACAGCTTCTGACGAGAGCCCGGAAGGTGACAAGCGTCAATACGCCACTAATATTCTCCGTCTTTGTTAGCAGAGATTCATACAAGTATTCCGCAAACTCCCTGACGAGAGTCATGTTTAGCTCGTTCCGTCAAACCTGTGGCTGACAGCGGCAGGGAGCAAATAGTCTTCTATCAAAGCGGCGTTGGCTCCCAATCCAACTTCAATGGCGCCGGGGGTGCGGGTGTCATTGACGAAAGTACGTCTATAGTCCAAGCCGACCTAACTATTAGACCTCTGATGTACGCTGATTGAAGTGGCGCTGGGAACCTTTGTGGGTGAGCAAACGGGTAAACTATTGTAACGAGGTAGAGTTAAATACCGATAACAACAGCGAGCAAGATCCGAGACGTATACGCGTTTATCGCACAGAACTATCGGGATGGCGACATCATCTGCATCTTCGGGTATGTTAAGTTCGAGCGTTTATCAGTCTTAAACCACCCACCAAATGCTCTTACCAGGTTCTCGAGGTAGTGTCCTCTCGAATCACTACTATGTTCGCTACTTCAACTACTGATATTGCATTCATTATGAAGGGGTGCCTACACTGCGCGAAAGGTGGCCGGCCTCATTGTAGGTCTCTGTGCTATCTACAACATGGCAAAATCACTGATCATCTCTCCATCTGCGCTAGGATCGCATCGGTTTGCTTGAGACCAGAGATCTTGGCCACTTCTTCAAAATATGGAAGCAGCTGTACGACGGGGTAGAGCCTCAGCTGACAGGCAGGAATGTTGATATCGAGTCAAGCCTTTCTATTCTCATCAGTCCAACTTCATATTGACGAATCTGCTTTTATAATTACTACAGTTGCGTAGGGGTTTTTGACACCGTTGGTTCTGTATGGAAGGAAATCGATGCGCTTAACATCGCGGACAATAGTTTGCCGAAATCTATCAAGACCGCACTTCATGCCGTGTCCTTCCACGAAAATCGAGACCGGTTTCTACCTACCCTATGGATTCCTCCAAAGGAAGGACTGGGTGAAGGACAAGTTCTCAAAGAGGTGCTCACAACTTTCCATTTGACATTTCAGGCTTGATGCTTTGAACGTAGGTCTGGTTCCCTGGAGCGCATGCCGATGTTGGAGGAGGGTACGAGCGCCATGAGCTCTCCGACATTACTTTGTTCTGGATGGCTGTGAGCTCAGAGTTTCTTTCGTCTTGTGGACCTTTGGACTGACTTACTCCGGGTGTCAGGGCGAAATTCAAACTTTGGGCGTCCCGCTCGGGCTCGATTATGATTTCCTCAAATCTCTCCGCCAGCCCGTTCCTGACGCTGGCTGGGGCGCCTCACAGCCCCACAACGCGTGGAACGAGATGGACTGGAAGATGAAGCTCGTTATTCATGCTAAGGATCGCCTCAAGGGCGAAGTGCTGACCGACAAAGCGGTCTTCCACGAGAGCATGCTGGTCTCGCCCGGACCCAACGAACTTAATGACCCGAAGTCCATGATAACCCTAAATGATCTTGATTGGACTCCTAAAACACTTCCGCTGAATAAATTTGAGAAGAAGTGCAAGGACTCATGGAAGTTACGGGTAGGCTCCATTCGTCCTTCTTCTGCTGCTAGTACAAAGTTAACCCATGTGACCTCAGAGTGCGCCGTGGGACCCCCCGGTATTCGAGACCCCAGAGGAGTTGTTCGACTGATAAAAAGGGTGGCGTTGTTGGAGGTCGATCCATCTCTCCAGTTTAAGCTCCTGTATATGTGGTTTAGCTGCGCTGGCCAACAAAGGAGTACCTTCAAGGGGAGGTGGGTAGAGTAGAAAGCGATCCTGGATAGTTATTTTGTAATAAGAAGTAGAGGAAAACGGGGTAAAAGACTATTAGTCATTGATACTTGAAGCCAATGTATGGAGAATAGCCATCTTGTACTCAGTCGGATAGCGCTATAGCACTTATGGTAGATTGAACACCGCGTCTTTCATGACCTCAATTGGATGTGATCCTGCCTTGAGAGCGACCAAGAGCGAGCAACGTTCGTGAAGACAGGGGCTACTAATCACAATCAACTTGAAGCGCTCCCTGAGATACGTAGCTATTGCAGTAGATATAGTTGGCCTTTGCGTCCGGCACTGGAGGCTGCATTTGTCGAAGGCAAGGGAAAAGAGCGAAGCGGACCCACTATTTCAAGACGGACTGGGTCCAACCGAGAGGGCATCACATCCACGCGTGTCTATGGGCCGGGGGAAAGTGATATATTTTCCCGTAATGAGATACATGATACCTGGCTAGTGGAGACAATCATATAAGCGAACCCGAAGGTTTCCGGCCCGGTCAGGCTGGCCGAGGGTGGGTTGGGGTGGGCTGGGCACACAAAAAAGCCACTCACCGGGCGAGAGCATCAGCACGTCGGACAAAGTAAGGTAGGGCTTGGTGAGGCCAAGTGATGCCGAGCTTTGTACGTGCGTCAAGTCTGAGAGTCTAGAGGAGGGCGGGAGGGGGAAGATATTTGACTGCTCAAAGCAGCGTTGACGACGCTTAACCCAGCCCTGCTGGCCGTGGTCTGTGTGGCGAGGCTAGAAAGAGAGGACGTCAGACTGACGCTCCGACTCACCGGTGGACTGCACTTTTCGACCGACCGACCGACTTCTTCTACCTACAAAGGACCCTCCTCCATAATAACGGGTGTCATCGGTTGCCAACAAGTAACGCCAGCCGAGCCACCCTCTGTGATTACCCCTGACGTGTAACTCGCCTGCTTGCATCATTCAGCACCCCCCTCGCAAGACGAAGTGAAGGCGAGGGGGAAGGAGACGCACCAACAAAGCCTACAGAATGTCGACCTCCCTCATCATCTTCACGTACGGACAAAGTTGGAAGACGTTGAAGAGAGGAGCCTCCATGCGAAGCCCAACGGTCACAATAGAGGGCCAACGCCTGAGGAGCCGGAGAAGGTGCTCCGCCGTGAGTCCGAGTAATGTAGGGGAAAGAAATATGCCTGATATGTACAGAAGTTCGAGGCGCTTGAGGTTGGTGAACGTCTCCAGCAGACCAACAACGCGCTCCCATTCCCACTCTGAATCCTCCCTCCGTACGTCCGATGGAGCTTGGTCTGATTCTGGGTCATGCGGATCCACCGTTACTTGGATGCGTTCCAGCGACTTCCGAGATACGGCGTGAGCAAGCGAGTGCATTATCAGACGCAGAATTTCCGATGGCGTGTAGAGATCTGATGCAAGATGATACTGCTTCGGGGGTAGAATGTCAACACGGAGATTCCGTAGCTTAGAAGCCGGTGTTGAGCCACTTTGGAGGGAAGAGCCAAATATCAAATTGAGAGCGGTACAGGAGGCGGTTACGCCAACGCTGGTTCTACATAGCTCCTCCAAGGAGCCTATGCCGCAGCTAATCTGTCCACGGATCCATCGGCAACCAGGTTCGACCTGAAAATGTAACACGCGAAGATGCTTCATGCGGGGCAAGAGAACGAGTGTCCGCGGCCCAAGAGGTGGATTGACAAGAGTATCGAGTATTGGCCAACACTTTATAACTCCATGTAATGCATCGTCTTGGTGCTTGTCATCGCATTTCAGACTCATGACGCGAGGACACGCTACGGCAACCTTCACGAGAAGCGATCTAACCCGCACGGAGAAGCACTTGTGCTCACTGACTTATTCCAAACGCGGAGAGCAGAACAGGTGCGCAAGGTTTTCGACGTGGAAGCGGACGTGTTTAAATTTGACCCGCACCATGTTTGGGAAAAGATGTGCAACAGGGCAATCTGACAGCGCCTTGGATAGGCTGAAACATTCGATGTGTGAGTGCCATGCCACGACAAGCTCTTTTACTCTCGCCCCGTACGAGATTAGGATGTCCCAATCCGCCGCGTGGAGGTCACGGTTGATTACCAACGGCTGTACAGATGCAGTGCTCAGCCATTGATCAGTTCCAAGGCCACATAATGAGAATCTACCGACCCCACGTTCTTCTCGAGATTTCTTCCAAGCCATGATATCTTGCCCTAAGCACAGTAAGAAGTCCTGGAACTTGACCTTGCTGTAAAGTGTGTTGAGGGCGGGCTCGTAGAGAGTCCGACATGACATCGCAAGGGAAGGAAGAGAAGATCTTCCGTCGATGGCGAGGTACTCCAATATGACGTCCAAGAGCTCTGGTAGCCGAACACACGGATGCATGATTGATGTAGACATGGGCTACAGAGGTCACAGAGAAGTTTCGGTGGGCTTAAGGATTGAATATTGAATATTGACAAGCAAGGAAGCGGGAAAGAGGACGGGGTGGATACCGATATGACCGCCATGCCGAATCGACTAATAAATAAAGTCGCTGTGGGCAAGCTGAATGTTGACGTCAGCTCACTTACGCCGAACACTGTATGTTTAGGGTAGGCTCCGTTCATCTCGGGCCGAGCAACTGACGTTTGCGCGTCGCGTCGTCACCTGGCCATCCATATCAACCATAACCTCAACCTCGCACCAATTCTGCCCCATGTCTTTACGACCTAACTTGTACAGGATAGCCTAGGATAGCCCTGGACTTACCGTAATCTTCTGTTAAGAAGGTAACAGTCGTCATAACATTCTAGGCATCGTAAGTACCAGCCTCTCTTTTGCGCGTCCAATACGAGCGGACTGTGACTTTGTTTGCTAGCTATCATATGCATCTCTGCTTGTTGATACCCGAGCTAGTGGAAATCATCATCCTTAACATCAATTACCACAAGCCTACCCTCGCACGTTTAGCTTGTGTCTGTACAGCCCTTAGAGACCCATCTCTGGATGCTTTGTACTGGCGCGTCGAATCTTTCGGCGACCTCCTTCGCGTTTTGCCCTGCAAAGATCTCATCAGTGTGTGTATTTCCAGTAGCGGAAACCTGCGTCGCAAATGCGCGGATCCTTCCACTCTCAGAGGACGCTGGGACACGTCGGTTGGTCGCAATTGTGCATGACTTCCAGTCCCATATCACTAAATGTGGTGCACAGGAGCTTACTACAAGAATCACGCAGCGCCAATGGAATACCTTTGCCGCATACGCAGCCCGGGTCCGCCATATCAAGGTTGACTTTGCACTCGGTATCCCAGGATACAGCTCTAGGAGCGTTTGCCGAGCATTTCCCGACCGTTGTCCTATCCCCTCTTTGTTTCCTAACCTAAGGTCTCTTCATATATCCGGCGGCCCCTCGGTATTCTGCCCAAGATTTGTGGATAGGTTGTGCCTAGGACCAGAAGTCCGCGATATTCGCTTCAACTATCTCACAATTAATACGTTCATGGACAGCATATCCTCGCCAGAACAGTTTGCCTCTCGCGTCCCCCTTCTGGAGCGGCTCAGTGCTCCCACGTATAACACTGCCGACACACTACAGCATCTAGCACAGTATATTCCCCAATGGCCCAATCTTACAACGCTGTCTTGTGGCCCTCTGGACACAAACTGCCTAACATCGCTATCGTTGCTGCGGTCTTTTAGGCACTTGGAGCTACTTCTCGGAGAAGACACGATCTGGATTGAGGAAGACCGGCGCTTTGGGCTCAGCAGGCTTGAAAGCTTGAAGATAGAATGCTCTACTTTCGAGAAGTCGGCCAAGGCCCTCGTCGCTGTCTTATCTCGTGATCTTCGTCCTCATCAGCAGCACGATAAGCTCCGCTATCTCTCCATACATGCTTCTTCGAGCTCCGCGGGCTCGGTGCAAACCCTCACTGAAGCGCTTTCCCGCCTCGTATCGTCTCATGCTCTACGGGAAATCACGCTCGAAGACTCGCTATTCAAGGAAGCAGGTCTTCAGAAAGCAGACGACGTCGAGTGGATTCATCCTCTTTTACACTTTTCCCACCTCACAAACTTCACAATATTACGCACCGGCATGGCCCATTACTCCCTCTACTCTCTGACAGGCCATCAACTCCTAAGCGTCGTGCGCAAGTGGCCACAGCTCGAGGTGTTGCGTGTTTTGCATCTCAAATCGCTGCTCACACTCCCGGAAGCAATCGCACTCATAGGCACGCTACCTCGCCTTTCCGCTTTCGATGTCGGTATTCAGGTCACGCACGAGGACGTTGCGACATTGGGAGATAGCAGCGTCCCCCTCCCGTGCAACGACTACATCACGGCGCTTTCCATGCATTGCGAGGAAAGAACGATGCATCCAGGGGACGATTTCCTTCTTGCTTTCATTCTGACACGCGTTTTTCCACGGTTGAGCACCATTTATAACGCTCGTCTGAGTCATGGTCGCAGTGCCGAGGTTCAAAGCAGCAGTTTCTGGGTCAAAGTTAACGACGAAGTGACTGCTATAAAGGAAAACATCGCATTGTCTTGATGACGTTGATACGCGGTGATCTAGATCTACCACGTTTCCTCGCTCGGCAGTAAAGGTCGTGATATAGCTGATTCTAGTACCTATATCCCTATGCGTAGTTGACGACCTAGACTTTCGCAAAATGGTCATACAAACCTATACAGCATCACCGCGGATATCTTTCGAATACGCAAGTACTGAGAAGATTACCCATACATTGAAGGCGCAGTATACACGGCTAAGGAATGGCCCACTCATGAACAAACGATTCAATTTTGATATCATACATTACAAAGGAACCAGAAAGCACGATTTCAAACGTTGGCACACTCATCCAACTGCCTGGTAAGCATCTTCTGATACTCTGACGCCACACCCCTCGCCTCTATGAGATGGGCCAGTCTAATTCCTCGTTGAACAGGCTGTGCCACTTGCTGATGAGAATTCTGATGTTAGGAGCCATGAAGCTATTCTATAATCGAAATTTACTTTAGCACTTCCGCATTTTCCATGTCACCGGAGACGTCTTCGCTTAGGCTGGGTTCGCGATCCTCTCCATGGCGCCGTATGATAGCTTTATATGTATGGAACTTCTTTTCATTCTCAAACCTGCAAGCGATATCAACGCTTTTACTCGCAGACTGGAAGTAACGTTAGCTGCGACTTCCAAACGAAATATCAGAATGATATACATTTTTGCGCCCGCATATATGGCATTTGTGGCTGTTGTGATGGAATCTCCTATCTTCTCGTCGCGTTCACACTTTGAGAGCGCATTACGCTAAGCCCATGGCTTAAGTCAAAAGTAGTACTGGTTCAAAAATGACATACCTCCTGAAGCGCTTCAAGTGTCTCATTTGCCTTAGAGACATACATTTTGTCCTTAGAGAGCTGGCCTTGAAAGCAGTTCTCAATCTCTGCCGCTAAGGAATCATCTCCCTGAACTGTTTCCGCCAAATTTAAGGGGCGCTCCTTTAACGCGAGGTGACGCAAACAATCCTGCAGCGCCGGAACTCCAGTCTGAGCGATAGTCGAGCATCATATAAATGAGGCGTAAGCAGCGGGACAGCTTACATCTTCTATGTTCTCAAGCACCATTGAGGGACTGGATATAGGTGGCTGGTGGGGTAATCTCGACAGTGATAAGGTGAGCGAGAAACGACTCGCAAACGCGCGTCCAGTGTGTATCGTCAATGATTACCAAGCTTCATTCATTTCAGGCAAAGATCACGAGTGCTGATTGTCGGACCGACATAAGCAACCCACATGCGCAATGACTCATCTTGCTTCTCAAAGCCTATCGACATACCACGTCGAAGTCAAACGAAGCTTTGCAAGAAAGGCAGGTGCCACGCCAGACAACGTGGGAAACAGGTGCCACACCCTTCCGCTGACTCGACAATGCAAGCGACCATGTTCCAGGACTGGCTACAATCCGATTTCTCGCGTCCAACTTCTGGAACAATTCAGTTACCTTATATCGCTGCCGACACACTAGAACATTCCATTGCGGCGCATTGAAGGCTCACTAATCTCCGTATCTATCTTCGCTGCAAAGATTGAAACTCTGGGAATTTTGTGTCGGGGAATATATGGGCGCGACAGAGGTAGACCGTCATTATGGGCTGGACAGGCCCTCAGGCCTCATGGCACAACATCAGGAATATGAGAAGTCGGCAATGTTCCAAGGGCCCTTCTATCTAACGCTGAATGAATCCCATGACACAGCACAGTGACCTCCGGTCATCCGTGCGTTCTTGTTTGAGCTCCGCAGCCGTGGTCATGAGTCTTGAGCATGTTCATTTCCGCTTTGCATCACCCCATGTTCTTCGGGAACTAGCGCGTGAGGCTTCACTATCTAGAGATGTGGGTCTCAATGCCTTCGGCGCAGTGAGTCGTCCGATACTTCCACTTCCCGCTCAGAAGTGAGCAATTACCTAACATTGAGGCTTCTAAGCGCACATTGCACCATGAAACTCTTCAGAGGGCGCTTGATGGACACAACAAAGTTCTGAAGCGTCGAGCATGAGAATCAAGTACGAAGGTAGGCTAGGTATAGCGGTATAGCAGGCTTAATATATCGAGTAAAAGTAGATATTGTAGATCCGAGGTCGTTTGCATCACGTCGTTTAGTCATCATGATTCACGGGTGCAGCATCTTCAATCTCACGGTCGGCCTTCTCAACGTCGCTACGAAGCTGATCCGCGAAGTCCGCCGCCGTTCCTCGGGCCCTTTTAAGAAGAGTTAAGTATTTTGTTATGTCCGCTTTTTCAGCTTCTTTCAGTGGGCGCTGTTCTGCAAGGGACTTAGCAGGATGATACGATATGAACCAAATACGATATTTCTTACCGACCAGCATAGTGTTGCGAATGACACGATATACCTTGTCCAGCTCGTCCTTATACGTCGAGTCGACCAGCCCTTGGATCGTGGATAACGGCTCGCGGATACGCTCCAGCACGCTTTTGAAAAACTTCTCATTGTTCTCTTTAAAGTAACCTTCGAGACGAGCCTGGCCACAATGAAGATCTTGACGCGAGTGACTAGTCGGGACACTCACCTTCATGCGAGCGAACATGCCCGCCCCTGATTCTGAAGCTACTAGGTCGTACTGAGGAGCCAGCTCCTGTTTTACGAGCTCTCTGAACGACCCTCCATAACTCCTGTTTTACGAGTCAATATACTTGCAATCCGCGACCATAGCAGAAACAAACCGTTGTATAGCTTTTACGGAGGCAACAGCACTTTGATGAGCATTCCCAAGGGATTCACGGTACTTGATAGAAGCCCGTGCTTGTTGGATGCAGCTAGCGAGGGTGCCATGTTGGGCGACATCTTGTCTGAGTCGTTTGGGCAATGGTGTCCCATCCCTGTCTTCGCGTGCCTGACATACAGCAAAGCTTAGTCGATTCATTATTGACATAAGGCTGGGCTGAACTTACCGAAGAACTGCTATACACGGCTTCATCAACTGCGGGCAGCATAAGTGACGGTAAGGGATAGAAATGGAGGAAGACCCAACGCGCCTATTTCATCCAGAGCGTCTCCGACTTGAGTGATAAGGTCCTAGTAGTTGCCGAAGATATCGAGATAGGCATTACTTAGTGAGAGAAAGAGCTCACCTTGTTCAGTGTGTCGAGCTGAGTGATCAACTCGACATTCAACATGCCATGCCATTTACTGAAAGGAGCACCGTTAGCTCTACTCGCACGACAAAGGATGGCAGTTTACCTTAACACATCCTCGTTTCCCATTTCCTCCGACAAATCATCATTTAGGTCCGTGTCCTTCCATTCACCATGACGCCGCATGATCGCTTTGTAGGTGTTAAATCGTCTGGTACTGCCAAGGTCACGAATGACCTCATGACTTTCGCTAGCCGACTATCAAAGAACTCAGAGCCAGCTGAACCATGTAAGTTCCCCACTCACACTTTCAGCGGCTTTCTCAATGGAAGTCATGACAGAGTCGATGAGCTCGCCGATCCTATCGACGCGCTCAGTTTGAGCTATCTGATTGCTCTAAAGACGGGGTCAGATTCGAAGTTGATATGTAGACAGTCACTTTTACCTCTTGCAGCTCTTCGAGCACCTGTTTCGCTTTCGCAGCATACTTCATGTCTCGGAATATTTGAGTCCTATAGAATTGACTGATCTCGGAGGCTAAAGCGTCGAATGACGTGATGGTTGAAATTAGATTGTGAGATCGCCCTCGTAGTGCTACGTTACGTATACGCTTTTGGAGTGCAGGTATCCCTGTCTTGACAGCGCAAGTCAGCCACTAGCGATTAAATGAAGAGGCAACGTACATCATCCACATTATCGAACACCATGGTCGGTTCTTCCATAGGCCCCCCTCTTTCAAGCCGACGATAATCAACGGATCCCACAACGTGCACCGATATTGGTGGAATGATCGCCGTAAGTCCCTGAACTACGCTAAGTGTAACAGACCACAGAGTTACGATGAAACTTGCCTTGTCAATCTCGCGGTACGTGTTTTTATACAATGTCTGAACGTATCTGATGACTTGATCGTTTCGCCGCAACTAATGTTGATTTGAGTGACAGTGATCACATGTTGCAAAACTGCATACCGCTAGATAGATATATTTTTGGCGTCGGAGGTTGTCTTGTGTGTTGTTGAGTCCGTCAATCTATCACAAAGCGCAGTGAGATCCACAAACTGAGTGCGATGGAGGGCTAGTATAAAACGCACAAGTGCCGTCATTTGATTGAGTTGCTGCACTTTTGTTTCATCTAGCTTTGGAGGTTCGGCTACGGGTTTTGTTTTCTTGTTCTTAGATCCTTTTCCCGTAGATTTTGGGTTTGCACTCGACGTTATCTGAGCTACGATGGCTTTTGCGTTCGTTATCTTATCTGAGACGGGTTTGATTTTCTGGACACGTTTACATCTAAGTCAACGTTGACACGGAGGGAGAACGTATTCACCTCATTGATATCGTGGACAAACTCTTTCTGCTTCTCACTCTGGAAGTCGAACTCGGCTTCAGATACTTGATTCTAGGAGAATGATGAGTCGAGCAGGTAGTCTTTAGTTCACCGATATCTTACGTCCGAACCAGTGACAACCATGATCAAAGCATCTTCTCCAACCGTCCTTCCGTCGAACCCTACGAACCGCTCAATGCTGGATATCTCAGCTGTGAGATAACGTAAAAGGTAGAAGTATCAGTCACGTACGACTTCTTCAAGTACCGATATGTGTTCTATAATGAAATAAGTAAAAACATAATCGCTGCTTAGTGGTAGGCAAACTAACCGCATCATCCGCTACTCGTCGGATGTCAGACACTAAAGCCAGCTTGTGAGAACGAACTTGACACCAGAGTCGTGCATGGGCCACAAACCGAGGACGATAGTATCAGCCCTCCTGAGGAACTCTTCGGCTTTCGTTCCTCTGTTTTTAGAGTATCACTACTTCCGAAGTCGTGATCTTCCCACAGGGACGCTCACCGAAATGTGTTGGAGTCACCGTAGCCGGGAAGGTCTATCAAGACTGTTCCCGTTGATAGCATTTCAAATGGTCCGAATACTTTGGCGCTGAAGATTATAGTTAGCAATCGTAAAAATGCATAATGTCTTCGAAATACTCACACCTCAACAATGTACCATAACTTAACATGCTAAGTATAGAGTCAAGACACAGGCACAGATAAGAGTCTCACCCGTGATTGCTTGTCGTCTTGACGAGTTGAAAGGTACGTTCGTAGCTATACCATGTGTAAGAAGGTATTTCCTGTCAGCGGCGGTTCCAAACCTCTGCCTCCAGCTTCTCGGGGGTGTCGGCCGTAAAGTCCCGAGTCGTCCCGACGAATTCCTTTACAGATGGATGATTGCTCAACGACTCCACCGAAATGTCGCTGGTCACTTTTTGACCGCTTAGGCTGGAACAGTATGCATGAAAAGAGGTGGACGCGAACAGGCTATGGGAGCACTCACTGTGGAAATAACTTTGAAGTAGACCGAATCAGTGACCATTCGTCAGTAGAGTGACAGCACTACGTACCTGGACAAGCGTGTGGGCAGGATCTTCTGCGCCTGCGCCTGCCTGATACTCATTGATTGAAGGTAACCTTGTGCAACCCTCCAGCACATCCTCTACGAGGGGCTCGATGAACTGATGAGGTTCTGTCAAGTATCGCCCTTCGTTTACGAGGATTGGATACGACTTACCGTGTACCATGCATCTTCTGAAAGAAAACCCACTTCCGCGCGGTATTCGGCAGTGTCTTCATAATGGACTTCAACGACGGCTGACGTGCATGCACGTCTACAAAGTAATCAATTGGGTTTTTACGGGTGACAAACTAAGAGCGTACCCCTAGTTTCAGCGTGGGTGGACACAGATGGGGGACGACCAGATGTAATGAAGATTCCAGTGTCAGCTTCTCCCCACATTAATACAAAAAACTGAACAATGGATCACGTACGGATGACGCTGTTGTGAGGACAGAGCAGTGCAGCATGCTGTTCAAAAGCGTGGTCTTTCCATGGCCCGCATGTCCAACGACTACCACCGTCCGCGTCGACGGCGAGTCATCCACACGTTGAAGAAGCGTCTGCAACTCTTTCTCCCATTCGCCCCCACCATGCCTCCTGCTCACGAGTTCCTTCGCAGCCTCCAGATCCTGCCGAAGTTTTTCGAGAGCTTCTTCATCGGCAGAGGCGTACACGGTGTCTTCGTCCTCACTGGAACTGGCAAAATCTTCTGGGTCTGATTCCGGTTCCGCCTTGGGGGTCAGGTATTCTTGGGTCAGCTCAGCCATGAGCTCTTCATTCTTGATGTTGACCATGTTTGAAACTGCTTATACTAGAGAGATGTTGAGTACAGCAGCAGTATCCGTAGCCATGCGAGTGAACTGTACTTTGAGAAGATCCGAACAGTGCGGGGTGATGACGCGTGAACGATATAGTCTGTATCAAGGAGTAGAGATTATATAGCCTGGAACAGTCAAGAACTATGCGCGAATACAATGCGTCAATCAGTCAAACGCGTTAGCTGAGTGTGCGATCGACGTGATGGGACAGCAAGAGAAAGAGGACGCGTCGCGCGTACAAATTGGCTTATCGATTTTCGCGCGCGCGTACGTCGCGCAGTCGCTACCGGACCCCGGTCCGAGAACGGGAAATTACACACCTGACCTTATTTCAGTTACGTCTGACATGCAATCAGGACGAATTCACCCGTGAACCACGCAGAGAGAGAGAGAAATGCTGATTTCTAATTCAATAGACGTGAAAAAAAAAAGTAGCCAGAGGAGCCAGACACCAGGAGAATAAAAGCATCGCAGAGAGTAAGACTAACGAAAACGCAGACGAACGAGTAAGCTAAGAAAAGGTTAAGACTAGGACTAAGATGAAACTTGACGAGGCAAAAAGAGAGTGAAGCGCATGAGAGTCGAAAGACAGACCATGAAACGAGTATTGTATTAGGGGTAAGAGCGAGAGTTGAGAGATGAATCGATATCGATGACCGTTGGTGCGAAAGAACCGTTGTCCGTGTTCAAGAGAAGAACCCTGGATTATATATATCACATAGCACAGCACAGTAAGCAAGGCATAAAGCTGTCAGCAAACGAGCGAGCCAGAAGAGGGTAGATTCGCGTCGCTGGATATCAAACCCAGCGGGCGTCATTTGGTGTGATTTGAGGAACGTCGTGGTTTCCTTCCTGAGCATCCGTGAATTGAAGGGGCTGAGGGGCGTAAGCTGCGTTCATGTCGTCAAAGAAACCAAAAGCGGGGTAAAGTCGGGTGTTTGAGGAGGGAGAGAGAGAACGAACGGCGGTTCGTTTGGGAATATCGAGCGAGAAGAAGAGCAAAGACGGGGAAAGAGCAAAGACTATAGCTTCAGCTCCGTGAGCACCCGCCTAGCCAGCATCTGGTACTGCCACCCGTCTCCGCCCGCACGACGGAACTGGATCCCATGCAGCGGCAACCAGGGCACCTGAGCATCGATCGCTCGCATCAGCACATTATCTCCCAAAACATAAAAACAACTCAACGCACCTTGAGAATGTTCACGTCAAACCTCACACTGAGCGTGTTCGCACCCATACTCTCAAACACATCCGGACCCACAGCGCCCGTCGGGAACGGCTGCTGGCTCTGCTGCCCTTGCCCTTGTGGTCCCTGCCCAAACGCAAAATCCCTCGGAATAGGCGGCAAAATCTTGCCGCCACTCGACCTACTCCCCGGCCTCAACGTATGCATCTGGCCCGGCTCCTCGTACAGCGTCGACCCCGCGTCCGTGGTGCTGAACCCAGTCCCGTCCAGCCCAGATGTAGCAGTGGCAACCGTCCCATTCTCAACGGTGCTCCCGCCGTCCCCGTCCTCGCCGTCGCTCGCGCCCGAAGCGGTGCTGATCGGCGCAGAGAGCCCCGCCCCGTTCACACTCCCGTTGTTGTCCGCAGCGGGATTGAAGAACGACGATGAACCACTACTCGCGTTCGGGCTGAGCACACTGGCGCCCGACGGGCGCGTCGGCAGGTCCTTGTCCGCGATCGCGGGCGTCGGCGTCGTCGTCCGCACCGAGTCCTGGTCGCGGTCCTGCTGCTCCTTGTGCTTGTCCTTGCCACCCTTGTCGCGCGAGCGTATCCCAAACGAGAGCTTGCTCGCCTTCTTCACCACCGAACGCTTGCCCGTCTGGTTCGTGTCGCTGCTCGCGATGCTGCTCGGCCGCCTCTGCGTGCTCGGGCGTGGCGTTGGCGGCGCAGTGACGGACCCGCCGAGCGTAGCTGCATGGTACTGCGTACCGCCGTTGTGCTGGGACGAGCTACCCGCGGCGCCAGAAACGGAAGACGAGCCCTGCGGAACAATAGACGGCGTATGGACACACTCGAACCCGGTCTTGGTCTCGCGGTAGTGGACCTGCATCCGGTCGAGAACGCGCCGAATGTCCGCCTTGAGCACGCCAGGTGGCTTCGTCGACGTCGTCGCCACACTAAACAAATGTCAACCCGATCAGGCAACAACAACAACAAAAGAAAATCAAGAAGAAACGCACCTAAACAGCCCCTTCAAATGCACCTGCTTAAAGTCCTTATCCCCCTGCACCCCCTCCGCCCCGCTCTCCGCCTCCGTATCATACCCGGCCCCAGCCCCTTCACGTTTCCCTCCAGCAGCAGCACCCTCCTGCGCCTCATTTCCGGCAGCCTGCGCCTCCTCGTCCACCTCGTCCGTCCTCCCAAACGCACCCCCAGCCGTCCCAGGCCTCGCTGTCCCACCAAACCCGGTGCTCGGCCTCCTGTGCCGTCCGAGCGTGCCACCGAGCTGCGCAAGCCCAGGCAGCAGCGCGCCGCCCGTCGACGAGCGCCGCTCGTGGCGCGCAGCGCGACCTGAAGGGTCAAGGATGGTCGCCGCGCGACGATGAACTCCGGCGTTGGTGCCGAGAGGCTGCGAAACGGACGTGGTAAGCGTGCGCGCCTGGGGGCGCTGCGTAGGCGTCGACGGGGTCGACGACGGAAGCTGCTGCTGCTGAGACTGCTGCGGCGTTTTCTCATCGACAACCTCGCCCGGCTCGGTCACCGAAACCTTTGGCGGCGCCGGCTGCTGCTCCTTCTCCTTCTCCTCGGCCTGACGACTGTCCGTCGACACCTTCTCCTGCTCCGCCGCCGCATGGTGATGCCCACCACCAACAGCCCCAAACATCGTCGTCCGCCTACCAATGCTCCCCTGATGATGCTTCCCCGAATGATCCCGCGCACCGAGCAACGTGCCAAACTTGCGCACAAGCCCGCCCATCGCGCTCCCTCCTCCTCCCCCTCCCGCATGCCCACCAAACTCCTCCCTCTCCCTCTCCTTCTCCGCCGCACTCGCGGCGGCAGCCTGCTCCTGCGCAGCAGCGAACCCGCCACTGCCCACCTCCGGCCCGGCGGTCTTCGGCCCGCTCGAAGCAGCGACACCCTCGTTCATCATAGCAATATCGCCAGGCCTGCGCGCCTCGACCATCGAATTCCGTCCAGGCGCAGGCCCAGCGCTCGCAGGCCCGCCCCCGCTGAACACATTCGCAAGGTTAAGCAACGGCACCCTCGGCGTCCCCGCTCCCTGCTGTTGCTGCTGCTGTTGCGCCAGCTGCTGCTGCTGCTGCGTCGACACAGAATGGCTCCTCCGATGCGGCGCAGCATGCGGCGCCTTCGGCATCCCCACTCTCGCCGTCGCACTCGCACTCGTCGGCGCCGGACTCGGCGGCACCTCCATCCCCACATCCCTCGCCCTCGGCACCCCCTGGAACTGCGGCGCCGTCGGACTCGGACTCGGCGGCACCCCGCCCGCCGCGCTCCCCGGATCGAGCGCACGGCCCGAGTAATGCGACGTCTCAGGCGGCGGTAGCCTTGGCAGCGGCATGCTATAGTCCGCCCTATTGCCCAGCGCGTCCGCCGGCGCACGGACCGTGCTGTTCCGCGCCGGCCCGGGCGCGCTGACACCCTTCCCAAGACCGAGCGCAGCGTCCTCAGGGTCCACATCCGCGTCACCGTCGACGGACGCTCTGCCTTTACCAGGCGCAGCCACGAACGCATGCGGCGGCTGCGTGCCCACACCGGGTATCGCATTGCCGGGCGACGGCATACCAGACGCAGCAGCCGACGCAGCAGCCGAGAACGCTTGCGCATGATGCTGCGCGTGCAGCTCCGCCTGCGAGCTCGCGAACGCGCCCGGCCCAAACACGCGCTCGCGCTCCATCTTCTCCCTCGCGAGAAAATACATCGACACGAGCGGGTGAAAGCCGTGCGTCGGGTCCTGCTCGTGCGCGGCCACACCGTTCGCGCCCGCGGCAAGAAGATGCACAGCCGAGGTCGACGTCGGCGGGCTCGCAGACGGCGATCCAGGCGGCGAGCCCGCATTACTTCCAGGCAAAAACAGCTTCCGCCTCGCAAAGTCAAGCCCGAGCCCACTAAACCGCTTATTCTTCTTCGCCGACCCGGGCGCATTCCCGTGCGAATCGCGGCTGTCAAACGACAATGCGAGACTGCTGCTCGACACGCCCCCGCCGTTGCCGTTCGACCCGTCGAACGAGCTCCCCGAGCCCCAGCCGCGCTTGCGCTCGAAGGCGGCGACGGAGCGCTTGTACGAGTCGCTGTTGAGCACGTCGCGCAGGCGGCGCTCGATGTCGTCTGGCTCGCCGAACGAGAAGCCGCGCATGCGGGCGACGACGGCGGGGTCGACGTCGTTCGCCTTGAGCGGGATGCGTGGGAGCCCATGCGAGGCGGGCGGGCCACCGAAGCCGCGGGTCATCCACGGGTGGGAGAGGACCTCGGACAGGGGGGCGCGGGCGGCGGGGTTGGTGACGAGCATGCGGGAGAGAAGGTGTTTGCATTCTAGGTAAACCAATGGGGGTCAGAAAGTGCACTCGACTACAAAGGATGTGAAGCGCACCAGCACTCAGCCAAACCGGGTACTCGACCAGCCCTCTCTTGATCTTGGCATGCAACGCAGGCATACTTTGATCATCAAACGGCACCTTCCCGCACACCAGAACATACAGCACGACACCAAAACTCCAGACGTCGACTTCGGGTCCTGTGTACGCCCGCGCATTGAGGAGCTCAGGTGCTGCAAAATAGAGGGAACCACAGAATGTGCCGAGGGTGGAGACGGGGTCGAAGAGGTTGGAGAGGCCAAAGTCGATGATCTTGATGTTGCCCGACTCGGAAATCAAAATATTCTCGATCTTAAGGTCTGTGTTGTATTTTTAGCACGGAGCTTGAATATCAGCACGGGGCTGTGATGGGATTGGGGCTGGGGGAGATGGGAGAGGCGGTGCGTAGAGCGCAGAGGCACCGGGGAAAGCACCGACGAGATGGGGAGAGAGGGAGAGAACAAAGGTAACGCACCCCGATGAACGACATTGTTCATGTGGCAATACTCGAGCGCGCTCCCGATCTGGCGGGCGAACTTGCGGGCGACGCGCTCGCGGAGACGGCCGTGGGCGATGATGTAGTCGAGCATCTGGCCACCGTCGACGTACTCGAAGACCATGTAGTAGTGGTGGGCGTGCACGATCATCTCGCGCATCCCGCAGATGTGCGGGTGGTGCAGCAGCATACTAAGCGCCGCCTCGCGCAGCGTGCGCACCTCCTTGGCCGCGTCCTTTTGAGCCTGCTTCGGGTCGGCGGGGGCATTGGGGGGAGGGGGCTGAGCGCGGGGGAGGATTTTGACAGCGAGCTACACAAAGATGCACTGTCATTAACCAAAGGAAGAGAAACCACGGGGCGAAAACGAACCTTTTCCTCGGTAGGGTTGTGAATGGCGAGCTTGACCTTGCCCATGGAGCCAGCACCGAGGGTCTTTGTGAGGGTATAATCGCCCAGTATGCGGTTGGACGAGCGACCATGCTTGGAGGCGTCTCTGCCGTGTTTTCTGTCCCTGTCCCGCTCGCTGCTGCCGCCTGCCCCGCTGCTGCTGCCCCGGTCTCTGTCTCTGTCTCGTTCTCGATCTCGATCTGCACGGTCGCGGGGGCCTGCCGGTGCGTCTGCGCGGGCGGACGAGTCCTGTGCGGGGTAGGAGTTTGGGGGCATGGAGAGGGGGCGGGTGTGTTGGGTTGGTGGGTTGTGGAGGGCTGCGGGTTGACCGCGCGGGCGGGGGGTGGTGGGAGTTGGAGTTGTTGAGTCCGTGGAGGATGTGGATGGTGGAAGGCGGAGAGAGTCGGTGTTGTATGCCCTCACCGTCTGGGACGGCTGCAAGGGCTGGAAGGGCAACGGGGCCTGGGGACGTGGAGAGTCGCCCTGTGACTGCAGGGGGCCGTGAGAACAACCAACAAGGGGAGGACCGCCTCGTCCTCCATCCCGCGTGTAGCCCCCCATTGTTCCCCTTTCTCCTCCTCTCCATTCCCCTCCTGCATCCGTCGCGTACGTCGGAGGCAGCCCTGCACCAGAATCTGAGTACTGCGCCGAAGGATGCACCATCACAGGCAGAAAGGGCGACTCTTGGATGGGCATGTCGAATTCGTGTCCTCCAACCAATCCTCCCTGTGTGGGCGTGATCGCTCCCTCGTCCACCGCACCGGCTAGCATCGTCGGGTACACTTCCATCCCTCTGTCTCTCTGTCTCTAGTCTAATCTAGCTGGGTACTGTGAGGGCGAGGACGCTGGGGAATGGACGGAGAAAAGAGTCTAGTGTGCTGGGCTTGGGCTTGGATCTGGTCCAATTGGGTGCTGTGGCCCCGTGGTCCGTGCCCCGCCCTTGGAGCATCGTTATCAAGCAACCTCTTCCCCGCTCCCCGGGCCTCCTCCTCCTCCTATATCTTATCCCTCCTTCATTCACATCCCCTCTTACTCCTACATTCCCCTCGGACGCCGGTGCCTGGGTTAAACCGCCCGTCGCTCGTCTATTCATGTATAACATAGCTTACAAAATCTCCTCAATATACTTATCTATGTTTCACACCACCGACAATCACAAGCGCGAGAACAACATCCGACGGACTCCCTCGAGTCACTGTAAAACATGTTCAAGTATAAATAACGATGCGTACAAAGCCTGTCCAGTAACTCATCGTGTATGACATCAGTGATCCTCGCTCGCGTCTCCTGCTTCACCCGATGCCCAAAACACCGTCGACATCACGGAGCCCACCGGATCCACATCTGTAGCCAATGGTGCAGCAGCTCCAAGAATACGTCGTCGACTCCGACAAGAACCTACTACTGCGTCTTCTTATCTTCCTGCGTCGGAGCCCACTGCACAGGGTGCTGGTTGAACATAGGCCAGGGCGGCAAGACGACCTGTTACAAATTAAGTTAGGTTAGCATGCTGTCGCCGAAGATCCTTGGAGCATAGTAGTGGATATGCTAAAGATAAAGAAAGTGCGCAGCAAAAAAAGTACGCTTGTCCGCCAAAAGAAAGGGTAAGAGCCGAACACAGCAAATAGGCGCAGCCTAAACCACCAAAGGTCTCTGTGGACCTGCAAGCGCTCCCAGCAACTCCATAAATATGCAGGAGTCGCGCCCGGAGCCGCAGGAACGGATGGTGCGCTGGCCCCGCACTGCCCATACAGCCGGCGTACAAAGAACGCGCATCTCCAACACTCCATCCCAAAACGCAGCGTAAAACAGCAACTCACCAAACACAGCCCGACGACCGCCAGCCCAAGCGTGCCAAACGTAACCTTGAGACTCTGCATCGCGAACCCGAGCACGAACGAGAGCGCCTGTGCGGCGCGTGAGCACGTTACGTTGCACACGCGTACTCCTGCTCGAGTAGGCGAGACCGTTGGGAATGGGAACGTACCGTGCTACCGAGGAGCGCCCACCGAACTGCGTCGTCTGCGGTCTTTTGACCGTGGAAGTCCTGTATGACGGCGCAGGAGAAAATGGAAACGGCATGTCAGCCGAGTTCAGGTAACTCCGAGACACAGACGAGTGGAAGCCCGGTGTATGCGGAACAGCAGCGCGCAGGGGTATCAAGGGAGGGACAGGAGGTTCCATGGTAAAGGTATCAATGCAATACAGCACACCACAGGCAGGGTGTTGTTGGATAACTTGGAGAACAGACAGGTCGAAAACAGGGTACTCACGATGCGCCCCTCGAGGAGATCCTGCATGCCCGACATGATTGAAGCTGTAAGAGGCTGGAGTGTAGTTTTGGACGTGTAATGGGTTTACTAGAGCAGCGCGTTCCAATATGCACCCTTGATGAGTCTGTGGGCGTGCAGGAAAGGACCAACACACAGGAGGAGAGACGAGTACAAGTGCAGGTGGCCGAGGACGTGAACGTGACGCGGGGACGTGTCAGCCACGCGAGCATTGACACTAACCTCGGGTTAGGGTTGCATGTCATTTCAGTTCAGCAGCTTGTTGCTGCTTTAACTTTAGAGTTGATCGACGTCAGAAAACGCCGTATGAAGATCAGTCGAGGTATGTTTCTTCGCAACCGAAGATCAGCGAAACGTCAGGGTTTCATTACAGAAGCGTGTCAATGTCGCGCGCATGCTACCTATGCACGCATAGACAAGGTCGTACGAAAGGACACAGCTTTGTAAAGTAAGAACCCTCATTCTGTCCACCACAACTGAAGTAAAGTGACATGAATCTAGCCTGCATGGTATCGTCAATCTGGGTATCCAAGTCGCAACATTCCTCGTTACAGGTCTGGGTGACATAATGAAACAGAACAACGGCAGCTCAGCGCTTATCAACATCTCTTGCTACACCCTCTCACCCGCACGACGCTGCGCCCAAGGCATCTGACCAAGCCCAAACGCACGCTGCCTCTCCTCAGCCTCCCTTATTAACATGCGCTGCTCCTGCATATCCACCTCAGGTAACAGTCCAGGCGCGCCTATACCACCATGCGCCTCGTTCATGTGCCTGTACACATCCTTGCGCTCGAACGTCCCCATGCAGCGCCAGCAGATATGCGCGCCGCACCTGCCACAAACCAAATGCACGTCAGCCGCGAGCTCCCACAGCGAGACAGAAGTTGTGCGGATGGCACTCACCGACACGCGACGTGGTTGCACCCTTCCCCCTTCTCGATCAGCACGCCGCAGGACGGGCAGGGCGCAACGCGTCCACTCTGCTCTGTCACCCACGCGCTTGTCTTTCGCTCTTCCACATCGGGCTCGACGACAGGCCTGTACACCGTACAGACGCGGGAGAAGCACGATGGGCACCGCGCGAACTCGTCTGTGCCCCCGTTCTCGTTGCTGGACAAGGCGCATATCTGGGTGCAGGCTGGAGTAGGACAGCATTTGAGTTCCTTGGGATGCCGAGCCATGTGGTCCGTGAACGCACTTTCCAGGAGGGCGCCAAGCCGTTCTGGAGTGAGAATACGATGAATGACGTCCATGGCGATGGGGGCGTTGCATTTTCCGTCGCCACCTACACACTGCAGAGGGAACATGCGTGGACCGTCGTTGGCGGACGATATAGATGCGGCGGATGCGAGGAAATGGACGAGGCATGCGCGGCAATAGACGTGGGTACACCCAATGGAAACCGGAGACGAGACCTGGCCAAGGCAGACTGGGCAAGAAGAAGCGAGACCGTCGCAGGTAATAGCAGTCAAACGATCCTCTTGCTCTTCACCAGCTTCGTCAGGCCAGTCGCAGCGAGCCTTCTCTCCGCGGATGAGCTCTTCGACACGAACCTTCACCGGCCCCACAGCCTCTTGTGTCACGCCAGACAAATGCACCCGCACAGTCGACTCCAGCCGCTCCACCCAAAGCTTGCATGCATCCTTCCTCCGCGACCGAGCGGCCTTACCCAGCTCATACCACTTACCCTGTACTCTGCAGAACACATCCTCGGGCGCCTCCACCACACACTCAACCAGCTCCCCCATCCTCACCTCCCTCTTCCCCCTCGCCATATACCCACACCCCATCCTCTCCAACCCCTCCATAGCCCGCCTCGCGTCCTCGGCGCGCTCATACCTCGCCTTCACACGCACAACCCCATCCACCGGATCCGGCCCCTCAGAAACCATCTCGAACCGAACCGCACCCCTCGAAGCCCATCCGACATCGCGTTCCGTCCAGCGCACGGCAGCCTGTGCATCGAACAGCCGCCCCTCCATACGGCGCACGAACGGCGAGCCCGCAAACGCCCGCACGTCCTCATCTTTCGCCCACAGCGGCACATCCGTAAGCACAATCGAGTTCGCGCGCCAGTGCAGCGGCGGCTCGCGCGTTCCGGGCGGCAGCGTGTTGAGGCGCACGCGCACGGGCCGGCCGGCGCAGAGCCCGCCGTTCAGCAGGGGGACTTTGGTGCGTGCGGAGGTGTCGCCGCCGTCGTCGTCGATGTAGACGACGGTGTAGTCTACGCATGGGGCAGGCCAGGAGATGTGCAGGGTGTTGGGGTCGGAGTCTGTTGATGTGAGGCGCATGCTGCAGGGAGGAGTGTATGCGGAAATCGAGACGTCGAGGGGTCGCCCATTGTAAGATAGAGAGGAGAGCGTGGATGCGTGGTCGGCGCTCGTTAGGGCGGTTGCGGTTGAATAAAGCGTTTGCGCTGTAGAGTCGACACTAGTGACGACGAAATGTGTGGTATCTATTCCGTGCGATAACAGCAGGTTTTGGACGTCTCCTGCCGCCGTATTGATGGGAAGACCGCTAACGTGAACCACTCGTAGATCGAATGAGGAGACAACGTGTTTTATTGCGAGCCCATCGTCAAAAGTAACGAGACATCCTGAGACGAGGAGAGGAGTACGTTTCTCGTTAGGCGGTCCGGTAAGAGTAGGGAATTCGGGTGCTTTTCCCTTGGCATTGCGGTGGCCCTCGTATTCGCCGTCTAAGACGTTGTCATTAGCAACCTCTGTTGGGGTGGATTGTATACGGGTGACCATGGAAGTGTTTTCCGTCAGGGGGAGAACGAGAGAAGATAAAGTAGTTCTTGAGCTTTGTAGAATGTGTGCTGAACAACAGTCAAAGACAATTTGTGGGGGAGCCGTTTAGAGGAGGTGTCGATGATGAAGCGCGTCGAATAATGGAGATCTCTGGCAAAGTAAGGTCAGACGCGGTCAAACCATCGCTTCCGCGACACGATAGGTTATATACGCCTCACCCAGTCCAAGTCACACTAGAAATGTTGCGGTCGCTTGGACGCCCCTAAGTACCCGAGACACGGCGCTTTTGTCCCCCCTTGTCCACCACATGAATAGGGTCAAGTCGGTTCGAGTGGTGGACAACCAACAAACAAAAGATCGGACGCTTATTACCCCGGTAAATTAGTGTACTAAGCAAAACGAAATCCTTGTACCACTGAAGAACGTGTACCCCGGATGCATCACTTGATTATTAATGGGCTGTAGGACATAGAGCTCAGACGTGCTATTTAATGTCGTAATGCTGTGCGAGCAGGACTGTCTGTAGACATCCGGAGCACGGAATCAGGCAGAGTCATAAGGGGAGGAGGGGCCAAGTCATGGAAAAACAAGCTCTGTTGTAGTCCTTTTGCTTGTTATTTGCAAAGGCAGTGATAAGAACGTGGTAAGCGCCTGATAAGTCGGAGGTAAACTTCACATAGGGGCTCGACGACAGTGTGCCAAACATGACCAAAGCAATATAAATGTCGGGACATGGGTTTTGGCCGGCGATTTTTATCTCTGCACCCGACTTTGTGTCAGACGTTTGACCTTATACATGAGTCTATTAACTGATGAAATACTGAGAACCAGATTTAATGCATGATGCATGATGCATGATGGTTAACTTTTGGCATTCAAGCCAAAGAGTACTCTCTCGACCTTTTTGATTGGCGCCTGCATTACTAGCGTGTAGACGCCGTTACCGTGTCAGTACTTTCTCCGTTAACCAGCCAACTTTCTCTGGTGATAGCTTTCTTGTACTTTTCCATACTGTCTCTTTACCTCGCTGGTGCTGAGTCATCCGCACGAATACATCAGTTTTACCTGGTAAGCGGGTCTCGAACTCGCTGATCCAGTCTATCACCCGAGGAGATAGTATACCGATCAAGGGACAATGTACGTTAGTTGGCGGAACCTCCAAGAGCACCACCTGGGCCGTCAATACCGAGAGTACAGGTAGAGTTATCAGAGGCACCTTGTGTTATTTTATGTACGAAACCGTAGAAATTCCAGTCAACTCATGCATCCAGGGCAACAGCCTTCTGGCAACGTATTCCAGCAAGAAACCACCATGCGGGGCAATCTATGCACTTCGAGGGTATCGGAGGGAGATCGACGACAAAGTGATTATTTGTGAGTACTGTATATTTAAGATACTTACAAGGCATATAACATGATAAGACATCTATGGGGAGGTCCCTACAAGAGAGCCGCAACATAACTTTAGGAAGGTTCAAAAAACGAAGTCACTGAAGTCCCTCTGAAAGTTCCCTTGTATAGCACCGATAACGTTCACATGATGGCGCACCCTCGGTCGTCCTGGGCACGGCGCATCAGGTCCTGCTCATCGCGCTGCTGTATCACTGCAATCATATCCTGAACGTGATTTGGAAACCCTCCCCATGTCACGGGTCGCTGACCTCCGCGCTGCATGCGAGCGAGGCGCGCCTCCCTTTCGGCTTCCCTTTGCAGTCTCTGCTCCCGAGCCCGAAGCTCTGCGAGCTCCTGAGCGTTGACCGGTCCATAACCGTTAAGGAACGCGACCGGCGGCATAGCCATCTCCATTTCCACATCCATTGCCCACCTGTGCTGATCCTGACGGCGAGGCTGGGGTGGGCGGAGCGAATGGGGATGATGAAGGGAATGTTGTTGTTGCTGCTGTTCCCGTTCCCGTTCCCGTTGTTGCCGTTCCCGTTGCTCCTGATCGCGTTGCTGACGACGCCTCTCCTCAGCTTGTCTAAGCAGCACCTGTTGCTCTGCAATATCGACAGGAGGCATCGGTTCAGGCATCCCGATGCCACCATGCGCCGCGTTCATATGCTTGTACACGTCCTTACTGTCGAACGTCTGCAAGCACTTCCAACAGATATGCGTCCCGCATCTGCGGACATCGTTAGCCACTTCTAATTGCGAAAAAAGCGACATTTGACTAACCGACAAGCAACGTGGTTGCATCCTTCACCCTTCTCGATGAGCACACCGCATGAGGGACACGGCGCGACGCGGCCAGACTGCCGAGAAACCCATGTGTTAGTCTCCCGCTCTTCGACTTCCGGCTGGACAGCTGCCTTGTAGGTCGTGCAAACGCGAGAGAAACAGGAGGGACACTGAGCATGCTCATCCTTCTTCGATCCAGACTCGTCGCTGGAAGAAAAGCTGTAAATCTGGGAACAACCTGGCGTAGGGCACCACCTGAGCTCCTTGGGATGCTGAGCCAAGTAGGAATCAAACGCGCTCTTCTGAAGAAACTCGAATTGCGTGGAAGTGAGGAATGAAGCGATCTGGGGCAAGGGAATGGAAGCTTTGCAATGTGCACACTGTAAAGGGAACATTTGCTGGCCATTGTCGGCGGAAGGAGAAGAGGCGGCGACAGAAAGGAAGTGCTCAAGGCATCCACGGCAGTACGCGTGACCGCATTCAAGGAAGACGGGAGCGGAAATGACGTCTAGACAAATAGGGCAGCTAGATAGGCAATCGCCGGACGAAGCATTCGAGCTCCTGGTGCTGGGAGCTGAAAAATGGAGCTGATCTTCATCGTCGCTCTCCGAGCTCCAGTTGCATTTACGCCGATCTCCCTGGACAAGCTCCTCGACTCGCACCTTCAAGGCGCCGACAGCCGCCTGTTTAGAGCCGGAGATGTGAATCCGGGCACCCGAAGTTGTATGCTCCATCCATGCGTTGCATCCACCTTGCCGCCTAGCAGCAGTGATATCACAGAGAGCTGCCAACTGCGCAATGGTGTCCTCGTCGGCCGTTATATCCGCCCCATACTCGTACGGATCTGGCATCCTCACCTCGCGCTTCCCGCGTGCAATATAGTCGCATGACTTCCTCTCCAGCTGCGCCTTGGCAAGCTTCGCCTCCTCCAAGGTCCTGAATGTCGCTTGAACGCGAACGGTGCCGTCGATCGGGTCCGCCCCTTCGGAAAGCCGTGTGTACTCAAACTCCCCCCGAGATGACCACCTAATGTCGCGCTCCATCCAGCGTACGGCTGCCTCAGCATCGAACAACCTCCCTTCCGAGCGGCGTACGAACGGTGACCCTGAAAACAGTCGGACATCCTCATCCTTGGCCCATAGTGGGACATCGGTAATGATGATAGAGTTCGCGCGCCAGTGAAGCGGAGGCTCGCGCGTGCCAGGAGGCAGAGTGTTGAGCCGAACACGCACCGGTCGACCAGCGCACCTTTTGCCGTCTAGCTCATCGACTTTGATCTGCGCCGAGGCGTCGTCCTCATCGAGATAGTTGACAGTGTAATCCACACAAGGAGCTGGCCAGGAGACGAGTAGGGTGTTTGGCTGGGATTGAGCTGTAGGGAGCAAGCTGCCGGGAGGAATGTATGGCTCGACAAAGACACGTAGTATGGGGTCAGAGTGTGTAAGGCAGGAAAGGCAGGGTTTCTTCGCGGCATCCATGAGGAGCTCAACGTCAACTTGATCCGCGTCCCGATCAATTTTCTTGATGAAAAAATGGACGGGGTCTATACCATGCAAAGCCAGCAAGTCGTTTACGTCTTTCCGCGTAGCGTTGGCAGAAAGTCCACGTACACGAACCACGCAGAGGTTGAACGGAGAGACAACATGCTTAACAGCAAGTCCTGCAGAAAGGGTGACGATGCATCCATGGAGCAAGTATTGGGAGGAGAAGGCCGAGTCAGTGCAGTTTGCCTTTTCCTTCCCTTTCAAGGAAGTGGTACGAGCCAGGTTTGTGGAAACCGAGGAGTGCGATGGTGCCGGTGGTATGAGCAGTGATGGTGAGCTATAGGCGGGAGAGAATGCCTGTTTCTTAGGTTTGGCATAGCAGTGAGCGCCATTTGAGCTTTTTCGCTTAGGTGGTGGATGGAAACTAGGGTAGGAATCGGGATGAGTGGAATCGCCCCTATACAACGAATCTGAAGTGGGAATCTGGGGATACAGGGCAGAAGGCATGCCTTGAGATGCCCCTCGCTGGATGAAGTGAAAGGGCCAGACCACTTTATATGAGCATTCTGACAGCGGAAGCAGGGTGGACACCTCACCTGACCTATACACGTCCATTGCTCGTCGTTAACTATGGGGACCGACGAGGCTAGGCCTTTGGACAAGTGGGGCATTGCGACAAACACAGATACGAGCAATGGACGACAGACTCGGACCAAGCATGCTACTTAAGTACTCTCTCAGATCTCAGCACCAGCTCCGCTGATGGCTGTAGCTCGGGAGAAGACTCTCCACATAGTTCTTGACCTTCAATTAGGAACAAGAGAATTACCTTTGCAATCATGACTGTACACTACGAAACGAGACGTGGAGTCACACTCCGAGGGAATTGCCTGCGGTGTAACACATGATAAGCGCTGATACGAGGAAAGGAAATGCGAGTTCCATTAGTGGCTCTCGCGGAAAGGTCTATGCACAGCTTGCTGTATCTCGTGCTTCCCCCAGAAGTTTCTAGAAGCTGTGCCACTGCTAAGCGCTACACTAGCGATCGAAGCAATCTTAATATAGTACAGCGTTCGATCTATACTAGTGCAACTTCGCTTCCGGTGTTTATACAGCGTTCAACGTTCAACTGTGCTGAGCTCTGCAGCTGAGACTAAGGGCGCCTAGCGAACACGTCCGCGATACAGTACCTGGGGCTAAATCGTAGACATTTTGTTCAATAGCACCGGGGCAATACGACTGATTGCCAGCCATAGGTGTCATCACATCGGCATCACGTACTCGTGTAACAGCATCGTCGTGGTCCTTCTATCCTCTTTCTCTATTTTTTTTTGTCTTGAGGCATCGTTGACGTCATCAGCCAACCTACACTCACCGTCTCACTAGTGCCAATGCTCTTTTCCCCATGCCTTTTTACGTTATATTCGCACATTTCCGCCAGCTTCATCTCCGCGAATTTGAACACTCTGCTCTCAGAAATCTGTTGGACTGCACACACTCGATGCCCTAAGCTTGAACGTTCCTAGCTTCTCGACATCTACTCGCGGTATTGGCATTATCCTGTGGTTGCTATCGAATCAACACCTCCAACGACGACATTCAGCCACCTCAACTTGTACCTTGAACGTAAACTTAACACCGTGGACCCTCTTCCATCACTTCTCGCCGTCACATCTGCGGTAATCCGTCAGGCTATAGCTGAAAGTCTGAAGTCGATCCCTCTGCACGAAGGATGATATAAAGACGATAATTAGCTCTCGCAGCACGAGGTCGAGCAGAATGAGGATTCGTATTACTACAAATCCCCCGGACATCTACGTGTTAAGCGAGGTCCTCGGAGGGTCGCCTCACCTTGAAGCTTGAAGTGTTGACGCTAAGTAAGGCATTATCAGAGCTTTTACATGACCTACCGAGATTCCCGAGGATCTAGGATTCATCCATCTGGCGTACGCGCCGGCAGGGCTGTCCATGGAGCTCTCTTCTATTAGAGATATTACCCGCTTTTCTTGACGTGACGTCGAAGGGTTTCAGGCATTCGAACTTGATTCAGACCGCACTCTACCTTGATCAAACGTGCAAGCGCAGCTACGGGGACTACTACTGTTATTTGATCCCATCGATAACTGTGCTGTACGTCGACGTAAGCCCTATGCAATATAGTGACGTGACTATCTAGCCACCGTCACTGATATACTCTGATCACTGTAGACCACTGTCAACACAGGGCGTAAATGTCATATGAAGGCACTGTAAAACGCAGAATCGGCGTTACGAACCGGGAGGGGGAGTACTGATTACTCATGGTTTGAGCAATGATGTGTCATCTTCGTCACAGCTTTGATTTTCACATTAATGAAGTTCGCTTCCCTGCTGAGCATAAGATAGTAGACGTGCTGAATCTATTGAACTTCCTCTATTAAAACACACCATATGTCAAGGCCATGAGGCCGAGGCATGAACCTACCAGCTCGGCTTATAACCCACCTGATACTCACTCAGTGCAGGCAAGCGGAATGAACAAAGTAGTTGTTGACGTCTGCATGTAGCTTCACCAATCGGGTCAACCCGTTTTCAGTTGCTAGAATTGAATGCGCGAAGGTCTATCACCTACACATACTATGCACGAGGCCTCCAGCGGAGCAACTGAGGTATTGTGTGCTCCAGCAGCAATGAAATGTCGGCGGAGGTGGGCAACTCGGGGTGCGTGCCGACATCCACACTACTGTAGGATACACGTTTTTAGGCTCGAAGAAATTTTACGTGATGTGTAACTAAAAAAAGTTCGAGCGAGACAGCGATTCAAACGACCAGCGAAAGCGTGACTTTTAACTGCGAGACTTCTGACACACATGGTTTTCAACGAAAATGTCATTATCTAGTTGCTGTCAGTGCATGTCCTGGAGTGCAATTACGATCCCACTTTCCTTTAATTTAAAATTTGACCTATGTCAGCACTTTATCGACGTGAAATCCTCTACACAGGTCCCTATCTAGCTGGTGTAGTCCCGGTAAACGTCTCAGATATAGCTGGGAGTAAACCTCCGTATCATCGTAAAAACACTACCGGTGCAAATCTCATCATAATGACGTAAACTGTATATTTCGTCACGCAATGGGGGTTAAAAACCTTTGTGATGAGTGACAAACCGTGTTGTAAGTTCGCCGAAGGAGCTGAGCGTGATGCGTTACGAACCTAAGATCGTGTAAGTACAGTAGTCCTACGGCTGCTGCGATCTTTTTATTTTCCTTTGTTCTTGCATGAGCCGGTCTAAGCTTTGATCCCTTCATGGTCTCGGAAAGGTCGTATCAAGTTAATCATGGACGCATCCAACTTGAAGGCTCTGTATATGTATAAGGACCAGGTCTGATTCGCCTAGTACAATATCGTTAGCATGTGTACATTGGCCATTGGGCCCTGGGCGGTTTACCCATTATTATAGGTCTGGATTCCAATGGGCACTTAGCGACTATCAGCTCTATCATCTCTTCTTCGTTGTTCGAACCCGGGCGATGTGATGCCCGGATGGCTTCAGAAGTTCGGCTGGGAATTTGTCCCGGGGTATTGTCGAGGTGCACTAAAAGCGGTGGGTTTCGCACGACGCGCTCATATGCACCGATAGATAATTTATTTCGGAAGGCAATGGTTAACTTCAGAGCTGCAAACCTCAGGCTGATAGGAATTAGTTCGCTTCACGATAGATAAGAGTCACATTTGAAAGACACTGTACAAAGGAGGAATATACAAGTTGCCGACCTTCGCGTATTGAGTAGCCGAAAGCCCAAAGCTTGTACAGAAGTAGATGGTCTACGCACCCCCGGATATTGTGGCGGTACTTCAGGGCACAGTATGTGTATTTTTACCGTATCGGTGAGTGTGATACATCGTTTGCCTAGAGAGGTCACTGAAATATGCGGCGAACATAATAGTTCCGAGAGACTTGTGGTGCTGCTGGTAGAGATATGGCCCGAGTGAACAAGCCGGCGTAACTTCCTGACCCCATCGCTACCTTTGAGAGAACCAGTACTCGACTACGCCCAGACACAACTACTGGATGTGACTGAGACAGCCTCCGTACCAGCTGCAAGGTTAGAAATGAGAGTTTCAAAGTCTAAAATACAGACCGAGTTATGATGGAGGAGTGGCAAAAACGTACATGTACTGTAGAAGCCGCAGCAGGACGGACGAGTCCTGAGTCCGATCCTGCCAGGCGTGCTAAGAATAGATGCGATAACTGCGAGCGCATCACTCCGGCGGCCACCCGCTTCCAGAGTGGCGTGGATGTAGATACGTGAAGCTTTACTTACATATGGGCTAGTGTTTTGGACTGCACCGCAAACGTCTCAGCATGTATTCTCATTACGTTATATTCAGTGATTATTATACTGATATATTTGGAAATTTAGCCTTGGCGTGCTGAGAGTGAACTAGTACATAAGAGCTGAGAGGGCGGTTTTCCTGGCCCAAATTATGAGCCTTGGGCTTTGAGCGCTTGAGCGATTATATTAGGATGCACCTCGCCTTTAATTAGAGATATTACATTGTTGTATATTCCGTAAGCCGCGTAAATAACCCCTAGACATCCCACCTATTCGCCGAATAACTAGAGGTAACTAATACACATCGTTACATTATTTCTTGCCATGAGTCGAAGGTAGTAGGAAGGTTGAACCAGCGTACTTGGAGGCTGACGGATGCTGAAGGACTGTAGTGGACCCTCGCTATCTTGCGTTGTCTTCCACGGTTGGCGACGGGTAACGAGGTATCCACAGACTGCAAAGGTCCGAACGCATATACCGTCGCATTCGATAGAGCAGCCTGTGAATATCCCAAAGCTCTCCAGGGAAAGCCGTGACGTTCTTTAGTCTGCAGAGGGAAACCGATCAGGGCGCGACCAAATGGAACTCCAAGAGACTCCAAGCCCTCATTTCCACGAGATGGACAGAAGCTGCCAGTGTTGTAGCCATCAGGAAGTTTCTTAAGCGAGACACATGTTGCCCGAGGTGTGATCCACCTCGAGCGCATTAAACAATCTGGGGTACATAAGGGTACATATGTCCTTGAAGTCCTCGGACGACGACTGCGGTGGTGCCTACATGAGTGTGTGTCACCCAATCCGATAAAGAGGGACGTGTGCGTACTTTGCAGATAAAAGCTTTACATGATTGGGCATGGCGCGCCCGAGTTACTTCGTTGGTAGACGTCTGGGATACAGGCGAGATCCCCATCGATGGTACCCGTTGGTAATGCATCTCATCGACGAGATAAAGACAATGTCTGTGGTGTTTGCACTTTAGTACTGCGATGCCCGTCTTGGATCGGATGTTGATCTGAGTCGGGGCCGAGCAACGCTTTTGCGTGCCTGTGAGAAAAAGCCTATTATTATGAAGACACGAGAATGAGGTCTGCCCCTTGTCATCCGTTGATGATTGGCGGCTCGGGGAGGAATAGCAAGGCCCCTCGAACCTGAATTGATGGTTGTCGAAGAGCATCGTCAAGAGACGGAGGCGACTTTTGGCTGGGATGGTCTCAAGACTGCTTGATGGGAGAGGAGACAATTAAGATGAGATCAGCGTAGTCAAGGAATATCTTCTGGCCGAAACACGGCTCGGGGAGATCCCGTGCGGCAAAGACCGTCCAAAATCTTTGGGTTTGACAAGCATTCAGAGCGAACGCGTCGATAGGCGGGTGCGATGGGAAGAAAGCGCCAAGTGCGACAAGTGATGAAGTAATGTTGACAGGCTCATCGTGCGCGCATGATTGAGGCAAGCCACGTGGGATCGGCATAGTCGGAACGGCGACGATGTCAGTTCTCCTATGCTGGTGAGCGACTAAGACGGTTGAAGAGGAGGTCTGCGCTCGAAACGGTTGCGAACATAAGATGGGCTACTGTACGGTGCTCGGTAAAGCAGAAATGTATTCTCAAGAGGACAAGTGCAAGGGGCAAAACGTCGCAACAAAGCAAGGGCCGATAGAGCGTGAGAAAGAGTGGCTGTGAAAATATGAGCCGATAGTCTGGCGTGCGGGCGAGCGTCAAAACATCACAAGAACCGAACAGGCAGAGCTACCCACCGCCCCCGGCTCATCCAATCTTTTCTGGTTTCACTCAACATATAGACGCTGCTTTACGCAACCTCGTTAAAGGCTGGACAGCAGGACAAGTCAGTGAACAAACAGTCACCCCCACTTCCCGAGATCTCACGCGTGTACGTTGTTGACATTGACGCTCATTTCTCAGTGAGCTCATCAGCACTTTTGATCGCCAGGCTAGGTATACGGCTTACCAACTCTTGCTCATCATCAGAACCCGAAGGGACACACGCCGTAACACTCCAGACGCTACTTATACTGCCCCATCTTGCGTCCGGCGATTGAACCCCCGAGTTTCTCGCCTGCCTTCCTGAGTTGATCATCGTTCCTCGAGCCCTCACTCGTCCGCTGTCTATTTCACCGGAAACCCTGCACGGCTCAGCACCGCCATGTCCAACCACCAGTCTGATGAGCTTAATCCTTCCAATACCCATCCAATAGGTAAGCTCCTCGTGACGTAGTCCGTCTTCTTTGCATTCCCATACAACCTTCTCGCCCCTATAGACACCAGGCAGCTCTCAGCGGCTCCGCACAGCCAAACCCATCCCGCTGCTTCCTCAGAACCCTGGCAAGATACCTCCATGATTGTACCCCCTGTCTCTTACTACGACCCGTCGGACACCTTAGAACACCATCACCAGCAAGATATCTGGCAGCAATGGGATCAGGTCACAGGTTACCCCGGCGCATCGGGCGTTAGCCCGTCTAATTATCATCTGCAAGGACACAACTCCATCGATCCTCAGCATCAATACCCCGTCCCAACACAACCATCGTACGACTCCTCTAATCAACACCATACACACGCAGCTTCCACCAATATGGCATACCGCTTTGGCGTTCAGAACACCTACCAAAGCACTTATCCTCAATATCAACAACCTCCGTCTGGCACATCTGAGGCGGCGCAACGGTTTGAGGAGTACTATCGACGCAGCGACCCTGTGCAAGTGCGTTCTCGTCAAATCGTTTCGTGCTATTCTTCCGTTTTAACGTGCCACATCTAATGTCTTTGTATCAGAACGCCCCGATACAGCGCATACAACCACCGTCTCAGCAACATATCGCCCATATCGTACCCCCTCGAGCGTTAGCTGTTTCTCAAATTCAGCATCAGCATCAGCGTGCGGCCTCGTCTCAGGCGCAGAGAAACGAGGGTCATCAGCGTTTCATCGGCCCGGCGTCATCGTTCACGTTTCAGCCCCCGCAGACCTCTTCTCACCCGAGCGCAGATCAGTACTACCCGTCCGCAGATCCGCTCCAGGCGCAGTCTCACGGTGGCGCTGAGGGAGGCTTCTATTGGTCCCAGCAGGCTGTCCGAGCCAAGTCCATCTCCCCTAGCGTCGGTGCGCCAGGATCTGCCACTGCGTCGTCCTTCCCTGGATCGGCGCCCGGCAGTAATACGCACTCGCCACCCTCGTCCTACCCAAGTACCAACACGCCTACGTCTACATCAACGACGACGACGGCGACAACGGACACAGCGTCGTCGGGCTCGCTCAGCGCCGCGCAGGGGCCGCCGCAGCGCGCATCCGCGCCCGTGCCGAGCGAGTCGGGTTTCGTTATGGGGCACGTCTCGCATAGTAGCGCTGATACGGTGCGGCCGACGCCGGCTGCGGCTGCTTCTACGGGGAGATATCCTCCTTCGGGAGCGATGCGTCGACCATCCAGTCAAACGGCTCAGCGTGCGAGGCGCATTGCACCTACATCCAATGAAGCCGCGCAGGCTAGTGGTAGCGGCGCGCCCAAGCGCGGTAAAGCGGCTGCGGGTGGGAATAGGACCAACAAGCGCCGTCGGGAAGCGAAAGCTGCGTGGGATGATGGAGAGGGGAGTGATGGGAGCGACGAGGACGACGATGAGGAGGACGAGAGGGATGGGAAGAAGGGTGCAGATACGAAGCGGTGCGTGGTCTCGTCAAATTTTCCTCGTCTTTGTATTTCAGTGCTGACGGGTATGTTTGTCATATTTTCCATCAACCCATTGCATAAAACTTGCTGGATCGTCACGGTCTCATTTGGGCTGGGCCGCGCTCTTGCTTCCGGGGAATTCGGTCGTCCCTCTCCGCGTTCCATCGATTACGGACGCCATCGCGCCGTTGACGCTTCTTCTTCCCTTCGCTTCTGGGACCTCGACCTCGGACCGGCGCCACTACCCCGCTCATACTGTTTATCCTAAACTTCCTTGGCTCCGGTGCTCGACACTCTTTTTCTTGCGGTTTTGATACCCGCTGCCTCATGGCTTCGGCTTCTGACGTCTTTCGGACATTATCCGCGGTATGCATGCTTTTGCTCCCCGTTTGTGATCGGTTCATCTACCCTTTCTTGCTGACCATTATGCTCCGGTGGTCTCGTCTCGCTATCTTGCGGGTGTGCTACTGCCGACAATCTATCCATGGTCATTGATGCGTCTTCCGTTACTTCTTCCATTGGATCCATTGGAATCCGGCACTGGTACGCTCCGGACTGCACGCGCTCCCGCCTGGCGACTTTTCACGGCTGCTGTTGATTTCGCATCTCTCAATTGTCATTCCGAACGTTGGACCTTTCCGCTCACCTCCGGTCTCTCGGCTTTGTTCTGTTGGCCCGGTTTACCGGCCTGCGCACCCTCGGCTATTTCCGGCCCGCTCGGGCTCGCTTACCGCCTGGGCCTGCTGAACTCTGGCGCTCTGCGGCGATGTGAGTGGTCGCATGTACTATCTCGGCGGTTTGGTATGTGCTTTGGCTGTGCCGGTGTTCTGTGTTGCCGTAACATGCGCTCCCCCTGCCTGATCGCGCATATTGTGTCTGATGACATGCTACCGGTAACCTTTGCTTTCGGGGACCGTCGGGGTGCAATACGCCCTATTTCGATTGTCATGCGCTCTCATTTTGTGACCTATGATTCGATTATTTCGCGGGAGAATGCCTCACTTCATTGCATATCCACGTTGTACCTGTCGATGTTGCTACTAACCGCTTTTAATATTGCCTCGGATCGGTCATATTTCATCAACAAAATCGCCGTTTACGTCGGATAGGCTGGGGGCTTGCCAGCACTGCAAGCAGCTGAAGGTACGGTTAATGCATGCCCTTATGTCAAGACGTAGAGCTGACTTCCGGCGCGCATTTGCTCCCTGTTTCGAATTCTGCTGTGTTGCCGCTCGGTACCGCCTCGGATCTGAATAAACTTGGATCTCAAATTGGTTTCGTCTACGGACACATGTTCGAATGTTTTGTTTGGTCGACTTTGACCTGGGTCTATACCCTGTTCATCTGACACGCTGCGGCTTGTGATGCCTAAACGGTTTGCACAACTCATGGCTTGTATGCTCCATACCACATCCAAACGCTTTCTGGGGTTATTCTCGGGGTGGTACGAATTCGATTCCTCGACCCACAACCAACTACTCGGGTCGTCATCCGACGGTCTCCTCTCGTTCGTTTCATTCGCTTGGTTCCGTCTTCTCCTCGACGGCCAAACCGAACCTCCACCGGCAAATCTTTCTGTATGTCATGTACGCGACCTCGTTCACGATCGAACCGACTTTGCGTCTACACATGTCTTTCGCATTCCCTCTGGAACACTTCTCGGCACCTGACATCTCACTCATGCGACGTCATTGAGCGCCTTTGATCGACCCTTCTCCCGCGCATGACCCACTTGCAACGTTCCATGGCGGTTGCTGTCAACTAATTCGATGACAGATGAAATGCAACTTTCCTCCGAAAGCCAGCAAGTGCGAGCGCTGCGCCCACACGGGGCACGAGTGCTTCATTCCGCAACGCAAGACGAAACAGAACCCTGCGTGAGTGCTGCCCCCGAATTTTGTTTCCTGTTCCCTATTTCTCTGGCACGTGCACTTCTATCGGCGCGTTTTATGCCTCCTGCTCGCTTCGGCGAGCCCGAGACGGAGTGGCTTCCATTCCGCGGCTGGCTTTCGTCATCGATTTGCCTTTTTCATTATGATATTTCCTTTTTCGGTGGTTCGTGGCGCGTGCCGCTTTTCTATTCCGGTGTTTTGCTGGGACAGAAATCCGCGCGCCTCTGTGTCCTCAGCTGCATGCCGTCGGGTTCCTGCGGCTATCGAGTGACATGCCCAGTCACCTCGTATTTAAATTTGGCTTCGGGTCAGTCTCCGGTGCCGCATGTCGAGGCTGGCGTGTTCTGTGGTGCCAGCAGTTCGGTATGCGCGTAGTGCGGGCAAGGGTTCTGTAGCAAGATTGACAGGCAGATGCAGACTTGCATCGGGCTAGCCAATCTCGTCTACTCGCCGAACATCTATCCGGCAGGCGTCACCGTGCATTCATGCGCACTTGATCTTTCGGGAGAGACGACACGAGCCCGCGTTCTTGGCGATATCTACCTGATCCGGGCCCCTCATCTGTGTCGTGCTCGACCTTCGACCTTTTTCATGGTATATAGACTGCTGTTTCCTTTGTCTGATAGTTCCATTCGTTCGTTTCTGATTCTCTCCCTTCGGAGACGGAGTCGGTCCTGCAAACCATGAAGCGCTCGCACTCTACCTCTTCTTCTTCGACCTTGTCTTCGTCGTCCTCGTCTACCGCTTCTGATTCCGATGACTTACAATTTCGACCTCCTTTTAGTAAACGGGAATATCTTCTCGCTCAGATTCGACAGAAGGATCAAGTCATCGACACGCTTCTGAAGCAGGTGCGTCACATCTTCACATTGCGTCATTTAGTCACTTACGAGACGCTCCGTTTCACCCTCGGTTTATTCACCTTCCACGTTATAACATATGCCTTGACGTCATGTAGCTGCACAACCCTTACATCGCTACACCGCTCTCGATCTCCTCGTTCAAGCTCGCAGCCTCACCGTCGGATGAGAATAAGGAGAACGTGCTCGAATGGTTCAATCGCCTGCATGCGAGTGTACACGGACCCACGCCCCCTCAGGGCCCTGATCCGAAAGCGTTTTCCCAGCCTGGACCCAGCGAGACGGCGTCCGAGTCGGGCGAAGGGGAGGAGGCTGAAGCTGATTCGGACTCTGATGGCACTCCCAGCGCTCTCCCCGATGACGCGGTGCCAATCGGTCTTTTGGCGAGATTGTCTTTAGATAGGCAGAGGAAACGGGTGGCGACTGGAGTGGACGAGGATGAGAATGTGGTGCGTTGATACTGCTGATTTTCTCTGTTTCTTTGTGGACTAAGGCTTTACATGTAGGGCGTGGCGAACATGGAGTATTTCAAGCCAGGTACTTGACACCTTTTGCACTTCGAGACGTCGTACTGAAGCGGGAGTTGGCAGGTCCTGCGACAAATCTTTCGGCTCGCAGACACTTGATCGAGCAAAACGCTCCGCCTGATATTGTCGTTCACGGTCTCGTCACACCTGAAGACGTAGACAGGCTCTTTGCCATGTTCGTGTTCTATTCTATTGCCCATTATCGCCTTGCTAACTTGACCTTGATCAGATATTACGAGAAAATTAACGTGAGTCGACCATGGCTGGTTATGTATAAGTTGGCAGTCTGATACGGCCTCGATAGCCATTTATTCATCTTCTTGACCCTGTTCTGCATACGCCGAAAACTATCTTCCATCGATGTCCGTTCCTGTATACCGTCAGTGAGTGACCCCTTTTATAAAACCTCCTCGTCCTTCGTGCTTATCGACCCGCAGTTTGCGCCATCGCCTCTCGGTATTACCCGGAGAAATCCGAAATATATCCTATTGCCATGCACTTTGCGAAGCATTCTGCAGCTACCGCTCTGGTTGATGGGTGGAAATCCGTAGAGCTTTGCCAAGCGTATATCCTGATGAGTATATATGGTGTCCCAGCACGCCGTTGGGAGGAGGATAGGAGCTGGCTATATACCGGCCTTGCCATTCGGTACGACATCTCTAACTCTCTCTGATTGACATGTTTAACTCGGTTCATTACATATCAGCCTCGCTATGGACCTGAATCTCCACAAATTGCCAAGGACGCGACCGCAGAGTGACCGACAAATCCGCGAGATGCTGAACCGTACGCGAGTCTGGCTGATATGCCACAACATCGATCGCTCCACCGCGACGCAGTTCGGCAAGCCGATCACGATCAAAGAGGACTACATTGTCAAGAACTCGACAGATTGGTATAAGGGCACGGAGCAGAATCATCCGGTAAGTTTCGAGTCCAGCGTAGACCCTATACGTTGCTCACTGCCGCTTAGTACGACGTCCACCTGTGCGCATACTCTGCCCTGATGCGCATCTTGACGCTGTTCATCGAAGAAGTCTACTCAGACCCCAATACGTCATCGGGGCTCAATAAGGTAGCTTCCTATTCAACTTATGAGTTAACACCATTTAATACTTTACGGCAGAGTATTGACTACTTGTCTTTGGCCTTGCGATACGAGGAACAACTGGATGAGTACCACCGCGAGTGGAAACAGCGATTTGAGGAGATGTTAAATCCAGACGGTATGTGATTTTAAGTGTTGATACAAACATCAGGTTTTCATTTGCGCAGATCCCATTGCGAGGTTTCGCGTGACGCTGTTGCCATTGTGAGTCTGATATTTTTTGCCTCAAGTGCTTACTCATCCCGACGACGTTTAGCATGACGTACTATTCAAAACTCGTCGTGTATTCATTTGGGTTCCAGCAGGCTTTCGAACGAGGCATGCAAGCCTCGGATGACATCTTTTTCAAGAAGGTTTGTACATAGCCATAAAGATGCAGTTTAGGTCATTGATGTCAGCCTAGTGTTTTGAAGCCGCCAAATTGGTTATCGTTCACGTGATCACGGTCATAGCTCCCAGCGGTTACCTGCGGTATGCGCCGGACGGACACTTCATTTTTGCCTCGTTTGCATCAGCGTTCCTTCTGAAGGTACGATATTCTATCGATACTCTGACTGAACTCCCAGCTTATACGAAATCTCCAGTTACTGAGACCGGAATTTCTCCATCTCCTGACTTCACAGATGGAGAGCGACATCTTCGATGTCATCCACCAGCTCATCAATGTTTACAACTCTGAGCAAGTCGCGATAGATGAACGCCACACGCCAAAACTGTACGCTCGCTTCCTCACTGGCCTGCTGTCGAGGTATCGTAAAGGCGGAGCTGCCATCATGTCCAATCGTCAACAGCAGTTTCCTCCCGACGGCCAGTCCGTCGGCACCTCACCGTCCTCGGGGCAGAGTATGACCGGTCCATCTTTGGGCTCTGGCTCGCATTCAGCTCCGCAGTCCGATGACGGTGGCTCAGGTACTTACAACCCGGATACCATGCAGATGAACGGCGGTGCAAACGTGGATACGCAAGTCGCTGGCGGGGTCCAGTATACCACCACCTCTTGCGGCCTCAGTGTCCCTGGTGATCCGATGCCCACTGGTGAAGCAGATATTGGGGAGGACACGGTGATGCTCAACACGAACGACCTTTCGCAACTAGCGCCGATGCGTGCGATCACTTCAAACCTCGACAATTTTTGGAATAACATGATGCTTCCCGGGTATGTCCTTCCACTTGTGATGGGATACCTACTACTTGTATCTAATGCGTTCTCAGCTTCGCGTGGTCAGATGGAGGATCACCCCCTTCGCAAGGCGGTAGTTACACAGGTTATCCAGGTTTCCCGGGCTATCAGTCTGGATTCGCAGATACTGCTTTCCCTCTCGTAGGCGCGTCTTTATGAATTTAGTTAAGCTTGTAGCTTTTTACTATCCATGTATCCCATATGATATCCTGCTAGTGTAGAATAGCTAATATATGTGTAGTTCGAACCGAACAGTATTTTATGTCCCCTACCACAGTCACGATTATCGTACTGATATCGATAGGTTTACCATTGTCTTTGAAACACTAGTGTTGGTTTGGCCAATGGTCGGCAAATGTTCGGTAAACAAACCGAGTTCTATATCCTGGTGCTCAAAGTGAGAAGTCACCTTTGCCATAGCGTACCCGGAGAGCATGCACCTCTTCTGTTGTGCTATCCACCTGGTGGAATCCTGTTCGAGATCTTGAACATCATGCTATTGCAACACGCAATGTTGACGCAATGATCTCAGGGTTCTCCTGTAGCGCGTGTTTTATCTATTTCCCTCTATTAAAGCTTGACAATGATTCATGTTGGCTGATCTATGTCGAGGCTGATTATAGAACATAGGCGACGATGAGGGGTCCGCTTCCCACGCCGTAGGCGCGGCACTAACTTGCCTATCCCGTAAAGTTCGTATGACTTCGTTGTGACACGCTGGTAACCCTTGAGAAGCAAAGTGAGTCATTCTGCATACCGCGGGCAGGTTAGTACAGCATGTCGGTCCGAGAACCAGTACCCGTGACTGTGTCAAAAAATTAATGAAGCTTGATAATCACTGGTGATCAACATAGGACGCGCGTCTCGTCTCTTGTTACTCTCCCAGTGCTACAATCTCATAAACCATACACATCCAAAACATACTCAAACCAGCAGCCCAACTGCTATTTTTCTGCTTTGACAGTATGCCTCCATCGATGGAAGTACCATTACCTTCTACTCTCAGCCTGTACTCTAGAGCACTGGCGAACTTAGACTTCCCCGACGATGATCTGCAGCTCAAGTTTGAAGATTTCGAGTGGTCAGATCGGAAAGCCCTGCACGAATTTCGAACGTTGGTGGACCATGTCAAGTATCTCATCAACCGTGTGGAAGAGGTTGGGGCCGAAAAAGGGTGGATGGGCCAGATTGACGAGATTATGACGGGGATTGATGGATTGCTGACGAATCGTACGGTCGTTGTGGTCGGAAACGCAGGGGATGGTAAATCGACCCTTCTTAACAGTTTGCTGGGGTCTCAAGTGCTGGCAACTGGCTCAAACGTGCGTTCCATGATACATATCTGGTGTTCAAAATACGCGAGTACTGACAATGTATCGATGGGTATCATTCTCGCTGTTTTCATGTCCTCTAATGAACGGATGTACACCTCTATCTCAATGACCTCGATACACAGGGGTGAGTCCATGCCCCAGTACAAAGCTCATCCTAATACATGATTAGCTATGCTTGCACATCGGCGGTTGTAGAGCTCCATTACGAAGATAAACCGACATCTAGCTACCGATCAGAAGTTCAATTCATGTCTGAAGAGCATTGTCTTGCGGTGAGCCTTTCTGTAAATTAGTCGTGTTGTCTATAAAAGCGTTTCATCAGCTCCTCAAACCCCTGCTTGCCGAAGCAGTTGAATGCTGTGATCAATTCCCTCTCCTGGAGGATTTTTACAGATCGGAAGATTCTTCGCATCTGCTTGTGCAAGTGAGGCTTAAAGCTTTAAATATTAAAGCTTGACTACTAATAAGTAACCTAATATACCTTTACCTCTAGTTGTTCCCACAGTAAGAGGCCGTAAATATATGGCTTCACTCGAATGACGCTGATAACCATAATAGTCTCAGCGGACAGAAAGTGACAGATCAGCTTTCTGCGGACCTACTGCTGAGCCACTCCTCCATCGCTGATCTCGTTGGGACGACGAAGATTTTCACGGCGGAGTTACCAGAGCAGCTTGAAAAAGAGGTTGGTAATGCTTATAAGGCCAAACTTTCTCTGACGATGTTATCAGTTGCGTCCTTTCTTATCCAGTCGCCAATGTGATGATGATCAACCCCGAGTATGTGTTCACTTTAACCTGCACAGTATTGAAACATGACTCGCATCTCAGTTCTGGTATCTTGTCGACACGTTGGTGGGGTTCAACTATCAATTTTTCTAGTAATATATGCCTTTTTTACAGTGTCAGAATATATGGGCGCTTCGACATCCTTTCGACGGGAACAGTTCTGGTTGACGTCCCGGGATATGGAGACTCTAATGCAATTCGGTGAATTTCATTGCGATACTCCTGAAAGCGATATCAGTGACACGTACCACATAGCTCTAAAACAGCTGAGGAGCATATTCGGCGTGCGGACACTATTGTTCTAGGTAAGCAGCACCTAAAAGATGATAATGAAGTTTCTAACCATATCAAAATCATAGTGGCTGACATTCGCCGAATCGACGATGACGTGGTGCGTTTCCGTGCTCGAAGCTCACAGCTGTCGACAGAGTGAATCATGATGATCAAACAGAATACGCGACGCTATTTTCAGGAAACGTGGGCTTCTGCAGAGTATTTCATGCCCAAAAAATCGCCATGTTGACATGTTACCCTGCTAGTATTAAACGTTTCATTGGTTATGACGGGCGCTCCGTGAAAAATAACGATTTGATAATTGCCATCACAAGCTCAGACGTGAGTAGCACATATCTAATCCATGATCTGTTGCGAGTCGACTTTCAATAGACACAAGTATCTGAGCAAGATATGGATCTGGCTACGGAAGAACAAGATCTGTTGGACGACATCAACAAGGTAAACAATAGCCTCTTTGCAACTGCTCCCTCGTCACTAGAATAAATTATTGCAGGAAATCGGGCTCGCCGCGAAAACCCTCTATAATGCGGTTATCGACAACAGTGTATCAGAGAGTGAAGTAAAAAAGTGCCGTTCTCATGTGTGTTTAACTTTTTCTTCGACGTTTACGAGTATCTGGAGTGCTCTTTCTTCTTCTTGCCAGCTGAATGCTTCGAAAAAACGAAAGTGCGAATATCTTGCGGTGAGTAATCCCCCAACGTTGTTTCGAACCAATCCTCAATCAACATAGATTTGTCGAAACGCACAGGTCTCGCAAAGCGTGCAATATACATATAGCAGCATCTATCGTGAAATTGACCCGGTAAGCATCCTGAATGCGTCAACGGTATAGTGCATCTCACAGGTACCAAAAAGGAATGCACAACGGCTCCAACACCTGTTTCCGCTTACGTTGTTGGCTGCGTTGATTATTGCCGACTAACGAGCAAAAAATTATTAGAGGAAAAGCCGATGGTGTTCAATAATATTGCCGATGTAAGCCGTCTCACCGTGTTCGTTTCGGCAGCTCAAGCATCATACAGACGGGAATACCAGCACTGCGTGATCACATAACTGATATAGCACTGAAGGAGCGCACGTCAAAGTTATTGTCAGCCGTCCAAAATTTCGACTCACTGGCTGTGGAGATCGAAAACTGCTTTCATTGGCAACTTTCCAAGGACAACATGTATCTTTCTAACGCAGAACATACACTAAAAGTGCTGCAAGAAGTGAGTAATAACTTGACTGTGACCCGTCTTGGGCTCAAGCTTGCCCTTGTAGCGCTGCTGCAACGCAAAAGTTGATTCTACCGAGAATATAGGATGTTCGATTGGTGCGGCTGTGAACACCATACACACGGGTGCAAAAGCTGTAATGTCAGCCGATCTGTTACTACGATGTTATAGCTAACATCGGCGTCAGTCCGCAAGCAGGAGTGCTGGTATTGTGAGCAAGTTAGGGAAAGAAAAGAAATTTCAAACCTATCAGGCGATCATGCGGCGGAAAGGAGAGTTTCGTGAAACGGACTTGAACAAAGATCTCTCCATAGACATGGAGAATCAAGAAGTATTGAGGTAAGGAACCGAAAAAGCTTGTGTTGTTGAATTATAAACGAGACTGTATGTTTTTTTCTAGAGTTTGGTATAATCTGTACAAAGAACTTGACGCCCATCTTGTGGCGTTGAACACGGTAAGCTTGTATAGCAACTTGCTTCAAGGGGTGTTTTTGACCGACATGTATGGCTATCCAATTAATAGCACCTCTCTGTACACATTGAGATTGCTCTTGAAAACATGGGCATGTCGTTTTTAATCTTCACCGGTTAGGTATGCTAACCAATAAGCATAGCCAACGATGTTGAACTCCCTGCGGTAGCGGTAAGCGTCCTCACTGTGTTCAAGCGTGATTCATCGCTAATTTTCTTCGATAATTAGTCTGACAGAGGCATCGACGGTTCGCCAAACCCTAAACGAATGAAGCTAGACCTTCGTCATGTTGATGCCGCGAACAATCGGATCCATCAAATCAAAGCTTCAATCCCGTACGTCGATGTCTTAGAGGCCACCCGAAGAAATGTCAGCACTTCTATCAAGTATACACAGAGGTAACGTCCCATATTCTGATCCTGCTCCTAATCATATGTCCTAAACACTGTATACTTGTAGGAGCTTTGGAGGAACATTCAAAAACATCCTCAGAGATGAGCTGTCGCCTGTATATCTCCGCGTAGTTTCGGAGTCGGGGGGTAAAGCGTTTAAAAGGATGAAGGTATTTTCAAGCGCCTGTCTTTTTGAATAGGTCGCGTGTTTACAACAAGTAGGGATTTCTTGAGGGCTATTTCCAAGCAAACAACCAAGCCTTCTATGAAAGCGTCCTCCAAAGGGTCAAAGATCAACTGTTCAGCATTCAACAGATTATCGACACCGCGTACATCGAGGCGCTCAATAGAGTTTATCGCACGATTCAAAATGTTATGCTAGCCGGTAAGCTGTATTACTTATACTTACTCTCGCGTTATGAGATGGCTTACAGACTCCGCCGTGCAGAAAGGCGCCCCCTTGGGTATGCGGAAAAGAGGAAAATCGAGGGCGGCCTCGTTTCCCTAAAGAACGCCAGGGATTTTGCGTCACAGTACAAGAAGATGCTTAGCAGGAATCTACCTGACAACTACAGTGGTTAAAGGCACCACTACGTCAGCAACATCAACTGGTTCGTTTGTACATAGCTCTATGAGTCCTCTTCTTCTTGAACGTATATAGGCTGTACGTTTGCGGCGTGCATTAGGTGTTCATGTTTCACTGGCGTTATTATCTGAGTTGATACAGTTGTGAAGACGACACCAGATGTCTCGTAAATGAAGTTCCAGTCCTCGCTATTGTTATGGATTTGTTGATACAGATTGACATTCAGTTGACTAGCTACTTAGCGTCGAGCCTTATCACCGGATCTATCCGAATACCCATGTTCGCTAGCATCATGCACATGCGTCGGATCCTACATGCGTGTTCACAGTCGCCGCCCTTAACGCGAACGCCCACCAGGCTTTGCATCTTTGCCACTGTTTCTCAGCGCTATTTCAACGACTCGATTTATCCCATCTGTCCAGCTGCAACGAATATTCACTTTGATCATGCACGACATCATCACTCCAACGCCTGAGATTTGCCTGAGATACCAAGATCAGCTACTAACGACAGTCGTTGCTGATGGATCCCTCGTTTGAAATTGGCAGGTTTCTCTTGTCTGGTAGGCTTCAAACAGAATACGTCTTCGATGACGGATCGTTTGCTTCATACGATTATGTAGGCGTCTTTGGGAGTCCGGGACAAGGACTCGGATAGCTTGCGGATGGCATCTGGCAGCGTCGGAGTCTGACTTTGCCGGTGATCGGACCGAAGCGTGACATGTGACCCGTGATCTGTGACTTGAAGTTGTGTTAGGTAATCAGACCCTGATCCCCCCGCGGCGTCTTGAGTTGCGTCTTTGATTAGCCGTTTCGTGCGCAGGACCGAGCGAGGTATGTCCCATCCACCTTCGTTGGCGTAATAGGGGCTGATTCGTACGCAGAAGGACATAAGCCACCTACATTTCGCTCGTTCATTCTACCTTCCAAACACTAGCCTTGTCAGATACTCACCAAGCCTCGTGAAAGACATCTCGGCACGCGCGTGCGCTGAATCGCACAGTGAGTACCGGCGCTTCCAAACGTGTCTATCGGTGATCTCAGCCATCACCTCTTTATAGAACCACCCATGGCTGCCATCGAGGCTCTCCGGCGAAAGTCCGCACTCAAACAAGGGCCTGCCACGGGGCCTGCCGTAGGAGACACGACGGTCGCTGCACCCAAACCAACGCTCACAACACACAATGCTAAATCAATTCGTGCAGTCCGCGTAGCAGTCAGGAACATGGAACAGTTTGTGAGTAACAAGACAGACGGCTCGATGAGTTCCGGGTGGCTTGGGGACATCGAATCACTCCGCAACCACCTCAGTAACCCACTTCCGACGCGGACGGTCGTTGTCGTGGGTCATGCAGGGCATGGAAAGACTACATTGCTCAATAGCCTTCTCCATTGTCCGATATTAACGACGGGTGCCACGGTACGTGACGTTGTTGCCTTTCAGGACGACACGAAGCTGAACATCGACGTCATGTCGCGCCGTCTGGTCTGACGCGTTTGGTTGATCATATTCAGGGGTGCGTATGTACTTCATCTACCATCCTTCGAATTCTCTGAAGTTGGTAACTTTAGGCGTGCTTGCACTTCGGCTGTAGTTGAGCTTCACTATGACGACATTCCGAACTATCGAGCCAAGGTAGACTTCTTGTCGAGGAGTGCTTGGACGTTGGTACGTGCTGCGCATTGAGATGTGCTTTCATTGCTATTATTAATAGGCTGTGTCGTATCGAAGTTGCTGTCACCGCTTGTAGAGGATGTCCTTAACACATGTCAGAGGCTTCCTTCCTCAACTGATGCGGCGACTACGTCGGCGATGGATGACTCTGCGGCAGTGTTGGTCCAGGTAACCTCTATTAGTATGTTGTACTCTAGTGCATGACTGACTACGTCTGCAGCTGTTTCCTCAGTACGTTCCTTTAATTCTTATTAGTGCTTTCGTGACGACTCTTGTAGCTTGAGTGGCCTCGAAGTATACGGAAATGTGTCGCTTGAAATCCTGGCAAACCACTCATCCGTAGAACAACTGATCGGGTTTAGCCGTGAGTTTAGTGTGGACTCGCCCCAAGACATGGAGGAAAAGGTGCGAATCTTCAAGCGCTGTGATACGCGAAGAAGCTAACAGTCCTTCAGTTGAGAGGTTTCTTGTCATCTCGGCAAGGCGTGCATCAGCAACGGGTATGAGTCTAGTCCGAGTACCTCACCATCCGATTCTCATGGTGTTTTAGATGTGGTATTTTGTAGACAGGTGCGTGTCTGCCACACAAACTAAGTAGCGCGCTCTGACATGTCTGTAGCGCCAAGATTTTTGGGAGGTTCGGCATGCTCGCCACAGGGACGGTCTTGATTGACCTTCCTGGATACGGTGACTCGAATCTTATACGGTATGGCGCAATTCATAAATGATATGGTTGTTATAACACCTTTGCTAGATCGCAAAAAGCGGCTGACTACATGGAACGAGCCGATACTATCATTTTAGGTAAGAATTTCTGAAGCAGCTCAGGCCCTACACATAAACTAACTTGTATTAGTTTCGGACATCCGAAGAGTGGCAGACGATGCAGTACGTTTACAGTTATATCCTGGCGTTTGAGTCTGACATTCCGTCTAGAACACGCATCAGTACCTGAAGAAATCGTACGTATATTGTGTTCTAGCGTTCATTTTTAGTTATCCTGACATATGAAAACTATACAGTATCAAACGCTTTGTCGGCTTCGACGGACGAACGGTCGCCGATGACGCCCTGATGATGGTTGTGACTGGCTCGGATGTGTGTTTCCCTTTCTTTCGTGCGTATGGCTTCCAGCTGATATCTTGCCGCAGAACCAAATTGCTGATTCGGAGTATGAGTTTCAAAACGACGAAGAATGCAAAGTTGTCGCAGATTTTAACTCGGTAACCGTTCTGACCATTCTGAACAACGTAACAACCGGGAACTCATGTTTTCCCTAGAGAATCAGCCATATCGGCGGAGTCATCCAAGAGGGCAACGGATTCTGCCTGCAGTTTGCAAATGACCCGGACTCGAAGGATGTCCTTGAGGAGGCTCGAAAAGAAGTGCGTTCCACTCACAGTTCTGAAGTTGCACTGCTGGGTTAACCTGCTCATGATCTTAGATTGCACAGCATGTAAAAGATCAGTCGGATCTCGTGCGCGACAAGCTATGCTATTTGGCAGTAAGTTTTCCCTTTCGATGGCTGCTGAGGACCTTGTATTGATTCATTATAGCTGCAACGGGTAGAACAAATCAAGAAGCAGGTCCAGGACTTGTACGAAAACACCTGGTGCGAAATCAACAAGGTCAGTATGGTAGGCCAATCGCCTGGTTTCCTATTAATGTTTGGCTAAGGGCAATCCCATACCCTCGAATCCTATATCGGTTCATGTCGTCGGGTCAGTTGATTACCGTCGCTTACGGAGCAGAGACCCGATGCAGGCTGGCCCAATGGTGTTCAAAGACATAAACCATGTGAGTCCCACAGCGGCCCTTTCTGACGTTCTCATAGTCATTTCTCCGATTTCAGACGGGCATCCCTGGCTTGCAGCAACACATATCTAATGTCGCGCTGCGCGATCGGTCTTCGAAGCTAGTGTTGACTCTCACTTCGTTCGATTCGTTGGCCTCGGAGTTGTGTCAACATTATCAGGCCCATCAAACCTCCAAGTTTGACTCATACGTTGCTAAAGCAAAGGACGAGCTTGAAAGTCTTCAATACGTGAGTCCCTCCTTGTCCTCGTTACCATGGGGAGTTCGAATTCTCTTATTAGCAGAACAGCAAAACGCGAGAAAAGAATGTTTCCTTAATTAATGACACGATAGAGGTGATGGTTTCTACGATAAGCGACGTTGCCGACAAGGTAAATCTGTGTTTTGACGTTGCTTCGCTTCCGTTGATATATATCTGCTTAGTCTGCCGGTGAAAGCCACGTACTCATGCGTAAGTTTGGCGTCGAAACGCACGCCAACACGTATAGAGCCGTCATGCGGCGACACGGAGAGCTGCGAGACATTGACTTAAACGACCTACTAGCATCCGACTTGACCGCGCAGGAGGTGCTTACGTGAGTGCCATAGCCTACATGTCAGTTGTATAACCCAATGATTCGCAGCCAATGGAACATGTCGCTCAATCGGACGCTGCCCAGTCAGATGGCTAAGTTATCTAAAGTACGTCAAGTATAACTGCATTACCACGGTGTTAACCAGGGTGCAACTTTTTTTCAGGATCTCAGGAAAGAAATTGAAGACGCGTTGGAGAAAATGGGTATGTGAAGCGCTTGATGTTCTATATGCGTACTGATCATATCCAGTCACGCAAGCCGAAGAAATATTGACACTAGTCTGTATCGGTTGCATCTCACGTTATACGACTGTCTAATGATGCAAATAGCCTGAAGCGTCGACCGAACCTCCGTCTGCCAAGCGTCGGAAGATCGATATTGCAAACAATAGTCAGATACGCAACGCTCGCCGTTCGGTCAAGTATGAAGCTGAGCTGGACCATGCTTACCGGAAGGCAGAGGCGTCCGTGAGGCGCGTGCAGAGGTAGAGTTGCGATACACTTTGGCGAGCTGTAGATGATGCTGACTCGATGACAGGAGCTATGGTGGCACGTTCAAGCATCTCGTGCAAAAGGAGCTGGACCCCCATTACGATACCATGGGGCTGGAGAAGGGGAAAGGTATGGTAACTCGGATAAAGGTACGCACCTTGACCTTTGCCGACAAGCAACATATGTTCATCGTGTGCAGGCCTATATCGAGGAGCATCTTGAGACAAACAGCGGAGAGATGTTTAGTGCGGTAGTCGAGCGCGTCCGAGAGCCCCTCTCGGGCGTGCAGGGCGCCGTCGACTCTGCATACATCGAGGCTCTGGAGAAGATCTACCGTGTCATACGAAACACTATGCTTGTCGGTGAGTGAGCGCCCTGCGTCGTCCTTTGCCCTTATACGGTCTTTGCCTGGTCTGATGAGCCTTACAGAACATCGGTCGATCGAGGATGCTGAAAGGAGGCTTATCGAAACCTTCCTCGCGTCCCTCAATAAGTATCGGGAGTATGCATCCAGATTTGCGGATCGACTACAGGCAGATGCGGAGGAGGCAGGACGAGCCATAGCCGCTTCCTCAGCTCATGGTCTGGCTCAGTGACAAACGATGGCTAGGGTGCCTCATTGCGACGAGACCCGGTGAACTCACCTATCTTGCGACATTGCGGGAGACGCAGCAGTGATCCTGTTGGACTGACAATGAACGCTCCGCATGCACCACTGTCTCTGGTAATCTCCTGACATAATTACAATATACGCGAAAGTATAATGATTTCTAGCTTACGATCGCCGTCCACGGTTTTTGTCATTTACAGTGTTTTAATCTTGGTTTCTGTGTATATACCCTGTCTTTTTAGGCATGTTGTTGTAACGGGGTTTCATTATATTTTACGACTTTATCTTACAAATACTTAGCTAAAGAGGCTGGAAGCTCGCTGAAGAGACGAAGCCTTCATTCACGACTGTGTCGATAGGGACAACGCGGATTATGTAGATATTAAAGACCTTTGAACATCTTTAGTGGCTGCAACAAAACGAAAATGTGACAAGTCTTCAGCGCTCAAAGTCGGGCGTCAAACCGGTTGTGAGTTCCCGAGCAGACCGGAGGCGCACAAGCGGCACAGCCACGGAGACTCATCCCCCTGGCGTTGACAATTCACAGGGGGAGTAGCCCAATAAGTTCTCAGAATTTACTGTGGAAATATTGTGGATGCAATATAATGAAATTTTGCCAGGACAGCGAGACTTATTTTGGAACTTACCAAGGACGCATTTTGAATAAATTTTGGCGATTCACACTTGACACGGCCAATTTGGTCACAAAAGATAATTTAATCAGAATATCTCCCCGCTAAGTACCAAATAAGTGTCGCTTTTCCTGCAAAACAAAGTTAAAATACGTCTTCAATACTTCCACCATAAGTCCCCAGAACTTATCGGGCTATTCCCGCTGTGAATTGACAAGTTAGCCACATGAGCAGCTCATTACATACTACACAATAGACAGAAGACAAAAGTGAGAAGAATAGTCCAGGCGAATTGGCGGAGTCAAGTGGTCAGATGAATAGAAAGAGGCTCATTGTCAACGACCCAGTGTGGAAGATTTCAGGGTCCGCGACGCGAAAACAAAAATAGGGTGGGTACCAACCGTGTTCCCACTCTCATAACAAAACAATAAGCCATCGCCATCCAAGCGCATTTATCCTCAACTATCCGTCCCCACCGCTAATGGCAGTCCACTCCTCTTGAACCAGTACACCCATCATCCCCACCCACCCATTTCTCCCCTCTGCGACATTCTCCAATCCCCAATACACGTCATGCACGCGTCTAAGGCCAAATCCACCAGCGTACAACTTCCGGACTTGCCCAAGATATGCTCCGCGTTCGATCTTGACGTCAGCAAGCACTGCAGATCCACCACGCTCGCTTCCCAGAAATGGCTCGTCGATGCTGGTCTGCCACCTCACTGGAGGACCACCAACGGGTGCACCTGGAAAGCACTGAAGGTCGGCCTCTGGTCATCTGTCTGTTTTCCGCGAGCAGACCCCATGCAATTACGACTTGCGATGGATTTCATGAGTCTACTCGTCTGGAGCACTGAGGTGGGACAGGAGGGCGATGTTTTTGCACTGTATGTCTTATTGCCACATTTCCTTCCGTGAGACGACGCGTTGACCTAGTCGAATGCCACTCTCCATACAGCCTCTCTGACCGCATGTCCCGCGTCGCATACCGCTCTCCAGCATGGTACCTCCGCTTCATCACATCCCTCCGCGCATATCGCGAGGCCCGCGCACAGGTTACGGAAGACGCGCAGAATGGCTCGGTGCCCGACATGGAGTCCTACATCCAGCTGCGGCGCGACGCCTCAGGGCTACGCCTTGTCCTCGCCTTCATAGAATGCACGATGGATCTCCGCCTTTCCGAAAATGTCGCGTCTCACCCCGTAATTCAAGCGCTCGCGGAGCACGCAATCGATATCATTGCTTGGTCCGAGGTAAGCCCACTTCCGTATCGGTCCCTGCGTTGGTGCCCCACCTGAGCGCTCGATGGCTAATCCGCGGTACTTCTTCAGGACCTCGCGATGCTTTCCCGCAATCAGGCCTCTGGTCATACGTTCCACCTCCCCGCAGTTATCATGGCCGAACAAGGCCTTACTCTCCCAGGTGCTGTCACACAATGTGGCACGCTGATACGCCAGGCCGTGGAGGCTTTCCTCGCGACCGAACAAGACCTCCCGTCGTTCGAGGACCCCCAGGTAGACAAAGAAGTGCGCTCATACGTTCGCGGACTGCGCGAGTGCATCGCAGGCTCGATCAACTGGATGTACGAGAGCCAGCGCTACTTCGGCGACAGGCCGGAGGACGTGCGGAATCTGCGATGGGTATTCGTGGGTCTAGGATCCCAATGATTTATGCTACCTCTATGCTCCCTTAATTCGCTCACGACACGACTTTCACGATTGTTTTATTCTATAACTTATCCTGACACTGACGTTCGCTCCCACACTTTACTAGCCATCAATGCTCAAAACACCCGGACTACACCTTGTTTTCGCTTTCGCCGTCCACCTCTTAGCAGTTGTACATAATTTAATACCGACTCTAGGTCGTGATAACGAACCTCCACCTGATTCATGTTTCTGGTGCGATGTCATATCAGAATTCGGGGAAGCCCGGCCGAGTACGTTTGTAAAATCGGATGGCGTCGGCCTTCGAATTCAAATTGGTGGATCGGTGGCTTAGACGAGGTCCTACCGCCGCTCTAACTCGTGCATCGACCACTAAATAACCATGTAATTTGGTTGAGAATATCATGTAGCTTCTGGTGGATAATATCGATTATCTCAAGTACCACACAGTTTCCTCGTTCTTATGTACACGCAGTAAGTCATACCAGATGTTTCGAGATTATACACCCCTATATCTTCATGCTGCCCAGGCTTCAGTCACAGTCATACTTAGTGTGCGTGGAGTGTGGTCGAAGACGTTGCTTCGATCGCCTTCTTTGCTTGATCGATGTCTTGGCATAGGCGTTTCCGAAGTCCCGAGGCAGTGTGTTGAGCCTGCGTGAGTAGTGCGAGGTGCTGCTGTATCTCTTTCTTTTCGGAATCTTTCAGCGGACGTTGCTCTAGATGTTTGTCAGCTGGAGCCGAAGGTATTTTGTAGCGCAGCAATAGGTACAAACCAACGAGCATGGTGTTCTTGATCACCCGGTAGACCTTTTCCAGCGCGTCCGCGTAAATGGAATCGATTTCTTCCTGAATCATGGAGAGCGGCTCCTTGATTCGTTCGACTACTTCCTGGAATAGCTCTTTGCTGGAAGTTTTGAGATATTCTTCGAGATGCGCCTGTGCATAAACATTCAATACTCGCACAGTGATAATCGCTCCTCAGACACCTCTTACCTTCATCCGAGTAAACATGTCCTTCCCCGTCTCGAGGGCGGCGGCACGGTACCGACCCTCTAACTCTTTTTGGATCAACTCCTTGAATGTCCCTCCAAAGCCCCTGTTCCATAATTAATATGTATGAAACGGCTAAGAAAGTAGGGAACATACCTCTGGATCGCTTGCATTGATGCGGAAGACGCTCGTTGTGCAGACATCAAGAATTGCTCAAACTTGGCGGACAGACGGCGCTGGTGAATTTCGTCGACAGTTTCGTTGTCCAGCTTACGACGCTTCGTTGATGGTTCCCCTTCCGTGCTTGATCCAGTCTTATATCATTCAGACGTCAGTGTGGCACAAACGATGAACGCAGATGATACACACTGCCAGTGTCTCTGTCAACATGACTACCTCAACTTTTGGTAAAGTAAGGTGAATGAGAAGAGAGTTTATACGGCGGAGAAAGGCTACACTTACCGATGTTATCCATGGCGCCTTCGATTTCAGAGGTAAAATCCTAATATACACCATTAGCTTGAACATGCTTGAAAGCATAGTTGAACGTCAGTGCTCTCCGCTTACCTTCGTCAACTTCTCTATTTCAGCAGGTAGCTTCACATTGAACATGGTATTCCACTCCCTGACGAACACCTGAGATCGCCCCCGTTGAGAGTGAAAGGAAGCACATACTCGAGTACTCTTCCATCTTCCATTCCAGCAGTTAGTTGGCTATTGAGATCCATGCCTGCCCATTCACCGTTCCTTCGCACTAAGGCCTTGTATGAGTTGCTTTTAATAGAGTTTCCCAGTTTGACTACGGTGTCGTAACTCGTGTTTGTCGACTGGAATATGCCTTTAGCGTGAACGTGTGGCATTATCCAGTGATTGACTTGCCTGATCAGCTGCAGCTTGTATAGTACAGATCAGCGTGTCGACCAACCCCCCGATTCCCTCGATGCGCTCATTGTGAGTTATTTCGTTGTACTATCGCGAAGTTTGCATCAAAGTAGCTTATATCAGATGCAGGCGTTACACCTCACCTTTTTCAAGTCTTCCAGGACTGTGGTTGCTTTCGAGATGTACTGATTGTCCATTGTCACCTGCGATTTATAGTACTGGTGTATCTCTGACATCATAGAATCAAACGAAGTGAGGGTCGGCATAAGCTTTTCCAAACGTTCATGAAGAGCCACGCTGCTCAGTTGTGCTTGCAAGGCCGGAATGCCAGTCTGCCGGCGTCAACCGCTGAATAAGAAGAAACACAAAAAGACTTACATCAGCTACGTTAGTGAACACCATCGGGTCAGGTTGTGTTGCATCAAAGTTCTGAAGTCTCTGATAATCCACCGATCCAACCACGTGGACAGAAAACGGATTCAAAACGGCAGAGCTCTCCTATAACATGTGAACATCACCATAAACATTCACTGAAGCTATCGACGCACCTTGTCTATGGCACGATATATCGACGCACCCAAATCTTGAACATATCGTCTGATTCGTTCAGCTCGACGCAGCTAATATATCCGGTGAGTAAGTAAACACAGCGAATATATGTATGTTCCCGTACGGCCAAGAAGCTATGCTTCTGCATGTGAAGACCATTCAGTGTCTGCTCAAGCTGCTTTGAATGTTGGAAACATCAGTATGCATGCTCGTGTGACAAAACACGACTGTACCTCAAATCCCGCTTGCAAGCCCCCGCCGACCCGTTGAATATCCTCTGTGTAATTGTCGAGTTCCTGAGGGGGCAACGTTAGATATCTGAATATATCACCGATGGTGGAAGCACGTTATTGATGTTGTTAAGGAAATCTTGTCCTTCTTGATCTTGAACAGCGTTCTGTGGATCATTAATTTGAACCTTGAGACGAGCTGTGGTTAGCAGCTTCCAAGGTTCGGTGAGTTAGATTGCTCACATCGGAACGTGTCACCGCGATGATCAAAGCACTGTCGGAAATAGCTCTCCCATCAAAGCCCACGAATCGTTTGATGCTAGCGATTTTATAGTTGAGTTTATAAACCAATATCTAATCAAAAAGAAAGACGGACGACTTCTTGAGATATTCTCTTGCGTCCTGCGAGTAAATATATAAGCTAAGGAGAAGTGGCACAACCGCATGAAGCGCACGACATGGTCTATCACTCGCCGGATATCCAGTACTAAGGCCAGGATTAGAGTATTTCGTCATCGGTACAAGGGAGGAAATGCGTACCCAAGAGAATTGAATCAGCGTCTTTCAAGTATTGATCGGCCTTTTGAACGCTGAGGCATCATCACCTCACATGGTTTATTATTGCAGGTGATAAATCCTCACCGAATTAAATTGGAGTCCCCAAATCCGGGGAGATCGACGAGAACAGTTCCTGTTGCGAGCATTTGGAAGGGTCCATATATCTTGGCACTGGTAGGGGCAATGTTAGACAGTTTGATTCTCATCGCATCCCCCTTAATCAAAAGCGATTACCATTTGATCATGTGCCAGAGCTACATCGCATATCAGAGATATCAATCGTGCACGCGGCAAATGTGATAAGAACTTACTGTTGGTTTATTCTTGTCCTGGCGAGCGGATATGTATCCCCTTAACTGAGCGAGGTATTAACGTGCAAGAAATAAAGCTTAAAGCACAAGGATAGTAGGATACCTTCTTTTCCATTTCCGCGGGAGAAGTGGCAGTGAATTCGCAGCTACTCCCAATCATATTGGTGACGGAGCGGTGGACACTCAGCGACTCAACTGAGACATCCTTGTCGATCAGCTGACCACTCAAGCTTCGGGAAAGGTCATAAGTCTACTAGCTGGGAATCTCGATACCACTCACTGTGGGTATATCTAGTGGAACATTAGCAAAGACTGATAACTTTGTTTGTCTCTACATTTGACGACACTCGCCTGTACCAAAGTTGCGGCTGAACCAAGTACTAAGTTTTTCTGGACGTCGTCACTCGGAGGAAACTTGGAAGGTGAAGTTGTGCTTTCATGCACGTCCGCGACCAATGGGGACAGGAACTCGAGGAGAAAATGTGGGTATGGGAATCCGTGTACTGAAACTAGACGCTACTCACTTCTTCCCATGCTTCCTTCGACAGAAATTCAATCGTTGCTCGATAGTCAAGACTATCATCGTAGTGAACCTCTACGACGGCAGAGGTGCACGCACGCCTGATAATAGCTAAGATAAGCAAGCGGCAAGAGTTTTCATAACGTACCTCTGCGAACAACATTGGCACCAATGGGTGAATCCAAAGTAAGCTTGATACGAACCCTTTTGTAAAAGAGAACGAACCGTAGCAGTTGTTAGCAGTGGACACTGAAGGAGGCTGTTGAAAAGGGTAGTCTTCCCGTGTCCTGTGTGCCCAACGACAACCACACTCCGCGTTGAAGGCGGTGCTTCCAATTCACTGAGAAGGGTGTCAAGGTGTTGCGCCCACTCCTCTCCTCGTCTGCGACACGTGAACTTTTTCACCTTCTTGACAGTGTCTTTCAAGATCTCTAGCTTTCCCCAGGTGTCATATGGCATGGGACGTGGCCGATTAGAGCAACCTTGGATAGCAAAAGTAGATGAATGGTTTTTGGTGGATTTCCGGGATGATAGAGCACTGAAGTCGATGTTGGGTGCCATGGTGTCTCACACAGACTGTCAATTGAATCGGCGCCTGCGCGTTTGACGTCGTAACTGTAGGTGGTTGCTCAAGCGCTCACCTCTTGGCTCCAAATGTTGGTCAATGAAATCTGATAACCACGAATGTCGTCCACCTATTCAGATCCGTGAGGTGATGATAAGGCTGACCATACAAGTAAGGGTGATGCGAGCAGTAACTGGACCAATAGTTGTGTACGTGAAATGGAGTAACGCGTGCTCTAGGATCAAAGACTAATGGCGATCAACGCAGGCCACGATGCACAGATTGAGCGAATTTTTCGGTGCCTATAGCGTTGCATGAATTCGCATCACGGGGCTCGGGCAACGGCCCGACAAAGACACAGGCTGGGAAAAAGAGATACAATTACATAGGCATTCATTTTCTGCTGGAGGCATGCAGTAACTCAGAAGGGTATTACTCGTCAAATCTATTATGAGGAATAGGTTGCATCGACCCGTAACATTGGGATGGATTCTGGATGGACGTGTGTCGGCTGCATCAAAGGGTGGCGTTTGAGGCTCAAATCTCTGGGATGTCTCCGCTCTGATCCGATCCGATCCGGGCTCCGCTTGATGAAGAGCTTAGGCGCTCAAATCAGCTCCAAGCGCTAAACTACCAAAACCTTGCATTCGGCGTTTGCACGGTGGGCCAGTCGTCTAACTCCACCTACTCTCGCTCCATCCATGTCCACGTACCCATGATTGGTCTTCTAGCTTCTACTTCGAACATCACATTGGAGGTGACTTTGAGCTTTCTCACTGTGGCATTCATACATGGGGATCAAGTTCGCTGACCTTTCAAACTCTGCATGAAGACAACACATGTACGTCTACCACTCTCATCCTAGTTCATGTATTGTGCAAGTAAATTAGTTAACGATAGCATTAGTGAATATCCTACCAGGCTGGCGTAGAATCCTTTCAGTCCTGTTGCTAATTCCGTTGCTAAACGTTAAACGACCGCTACAACTCCTGTTCTTGGCGGACCTTTTACCGCTCCGTCCCCTTTATGTGGTTGTTGCGGGCGACGCATTCCGGACGCTTGGCACATCACAGCATGTGTCTCAACATCAAAGAGGAGTATTTAACCTTATCTGTCTCCCTCTCTTCAACTGCTACCTGGTACGTTGGGATATGAGTATTTGAACAGGCGGGTGTTGTCTTTGGCCACTCAAACCTGTGCCAACGGATCCCCGCCATGCAATGCCCTTATAGAAACATGGATGTAAGTTGTATAGCGTATAACAAACAATATTCTCTAGTACGCACTGAATGAATGCTTTGCCTCTATGTAGCGGTCCGGGTCTACACTCGCAGCGAATGAGATGAGGGCATTCGTAAACGTGCTTACTCCTGAGGGGAAACCGTAAGTTCGCTTTCTCTCAAGAAGATTCCTTGATATTGTAACGCCATCAGGGTATGGCCTTGCCCATGGGAGCACCGAGGCTGCCAGTTCATTGGTCAGAGCGAAGTGGAGCTACGTGGACATCTTGATAACACGTAAGCACTTTAATTATCCGACATTTCCTGCCATGTCATCTGTCGGGCAATGCTCATCCATGTATGATTTCAGCAACACCACTTTGTCTCAGAGTCGGGAGATAGAGGCAGAAGAGGTCGAAGATGGTTTGTCGAAGCTAAACTTGAGTGAGTGATTGCGTATAGGAACACCCATATCATGATCCCGTGCACGGTGACTATAATGGCCGTATGAGATCATCAAATGAAGGCTTTCCCGAATTTAGGACTGCGATCGAGAAATTTGTGGAACAGGTCGTTCATGCTTCAAGCTAACTAAAGTAGGGGCTGTGAGAGACTTCAGCACCGATGCGGCTTTACGCACCACTAATTCACTGACATACCTGGGATTCCCAAACCCTAAGTCCGTCCCCCCTAAGTACGGAGCTCGTTCGCACAGCGAATACGTCCTCGAAGCACCTGAGAGTCGTTGTTCACCGTCACTCTGACTTCTCGCTAAAATTAAATAACACAAGCTGTGCCATTTGACACCCGTCTTATTGACGTACGTTGTCTAACGATGTAACGGAGACCGGTGCAGATTACAGCATAGAGCTCAGTACCACTATGCCTTCAGCACCTATCAATATTATACCCTAGGGAATTGCAAGCCAACCTTGCGGTTTGGTTAGTAGATTTCCAACATGTAGGATATACGGATGCCTAGGATACAAACAAGGGGCCATTTCTTGACAAGAGTCCTTATCGCAGGAGCACCTATCCAGGAAACCACAGGCCATACATGCGTGCAAGTGATCGGAATCGGAACGTATGGTTCACTAACTGCAGAGGTTCGTTGTCACGTTACTTATCCCAAGACTTATCCTGCATGACGTAGTTTCGCACACATTGACTTGAATTGGGCTGTAGTCATATACGTTTGTACAGTAAAGAACATTGTGCCACCTATCCATAGTATAATGAGACCGCATTACTATGTGTCTTTTGACGTGTCTAAATGTATCTAGTTCGATGGAGAAGCAACACCATATTATGTTCCTTGTGTGCTGTGAAAGGACCGTGTTCTAAGCCTAGGCGGCTATTTTTGTACAGATTCAAGCATAGGCGCTCACACAGCATTTTGAGCGCTTATAAGGACTCGTTTACTCCAAAGGAACCCATAACGTTTATGCTCTCCAATATCTTTCTACGTAGCGACAAGGATAGGCTCCTGTGGCGCATTTGCATATATACGAGTGAACACTTATGGGGGTATCGCCTACTCACGTAGGTTCTACGAGTAGAAGCTCACGGTGGCGTCTATGTGGCACGAGATCCTCACGTTAACTGATGCTGTGACGTCTTCAGTATGGAAGACCTCACAGCTACGGAAATTAACTCCGTATAGCACCACCATCTTTCGGAGCTGACAGGGACCAGAACACACTGACCTTAAACCTAACTCTATGACAATGTGGCGTCATGCATGACGAGGTTTAAAAGTAACGCAAACGGGCAGGAGATGAGAGCTGTCTCGGAAGCGTCGCCTTACATCAATCCCTCATTGTTCATAAAGTCCTGACGAGCTAAAAGGAAGCATGTCTTATCACTCAACGTATTATTGCGGTAGCCCCTCAGTGTCATCTTTCGCTGCCCATTCCTACAGGTGAGTAGCCATCACTGCATACACCAAGTCAGGCCTGTTGGATAAGAGCTTTGTGACCTCGTGGAATCAGACAACATACTCCAATTGGCACCTGGAGACCATTCGATGGAAGCTTTTCGTGGACACCACACTCGAGAGCGAGTACAAGCCTACCTCCCATTTATCCACCACAGCACGTACACGAACCCCGGGCAAAGATCCAAACGCCAAAACCGGCACAGCATCGCTATAACCTAGAAGCCCCACAACAGACATACCGCGAGACGCACCCTCAGCTGCATCCATCCTATTCCACGGCTTCTTGGGTAGATCGTACTCGCGACGTCCGTCCAACCGGCCCCTCACGAAGTCTTGGCACTGTGAACCACAGATCAACGCAATCTGCACAGAAGTTGTGGCCATTCCAAGAGGACCTCTTTATACTCTGGCCTATAGCGGACTATCACGTCGACGTTGCGCACGCTACGCGTATACCGTTCCCTATTGTTGTTCCAGTGCGTGCGTTTGCGTTAATCATGCTCAAGGGCGTCACTGCTTATAACAGTATTAGCGCGCGTGGAACGAGAACATGACGTGTAGAGACGACGCACGTACGCCAAGCGATGGGATATGTCTTTTCGAGACCGAGGATATCATCGAGTTGTATGAGCACTTGGCGGGTTATCAGTAAGTATTAAACTCGCTTACTTTCCTCATCTGAACGTCTCACGTCTGGTGTATCAGCGCGGCTTGGCTCAGCAGCAACTTCCGACGCCACCTATTCTCCTACTGGTTGAGCGATGTGAAGGGGCACTGCCAGATCATGTCGCCTGTGCAGCTGGCCGTTGAGCAACAGACTGCCTTAGCGGAAGGAAAAGTGAAAAGGCCTAGAATGAAACAGTGATCCTGGGTAGAGGCGTGGGATGTGTATAGACTATGGACAGGGGTGCTTGCGGAGATGTAAGTAGTAGTCACATTAGCTGTTGGACATTGTAGTCAGGCGCAGGTGATGATAATAATTTACTAGCTTACGCACTAGCAAAAGCAGCCGTGTCAACCGCGCCAGACAAGGCGTCTAATGTCAGGCACGGGCGCTACGCGCTCTGGCGCCGCGCGTCGGCTTCTAAGCACAACAAGCACTGTACTTGTGCTTTTGTCGGCTTCCACGCCGCGCCTACCAAACATCCTGTAATGGTGATCTGCGACTATCGTGACCCTCAAAGCACCGAGAACCCACCTGATGACCAGGTAACACCGCAAAACAGCATCGGCACAGCGACACGAAGTCCCTTGCACAGCATGGTTCTAGCACCATCTAAATTTAGAAAATTTGACGCAATAGAACAAGAGCGGTAACCTCCTGAGCGCGCCGCCACCTTCGATGTATGTGAGTGCATCGCATGTACCCAGCATCGGACTTTGCGCTTGGACCCCAGGTGTGCGTGAGGGGAGCCGAGTTGCCACTGTACGGTCATGGCGGACGAACAGACGAAGGATATATTAATGCGCCTTTGCATACGAGGGCATGGATACTTACTCGGCTTTGCTCGGGCATCTGCTACTTCGCGTTCTCTAACTATGCCATACTCAATTCGATTTCCTGAGAAAAAGAAGAGGCGTCTTAACATCGACATCGATATACACATGAAGAAAATGAGCGACCATCCTGATATTGACGTGCGCCTGCAAGACGAATATGGTCGCGAGTGAGTCGTTGCGTGTTGCTCTAGGTGACTGACAAGGCGCTGACGTCGACACCCGCGTCCGCCCTAGCATGGTAGTCTGCCCAGGGTATGAATGGGGCTGCAAGTCCGTCTTCGCCAGCGACGATGAGGCAGGCATGAAGGAGCACCTGTATAACGCGTCGTGAGTGATCAGGCGCGCCTTGCATCAGCGCCGTGCTGAAAGAGCTGGATGTCGGCTCTAGATGTGGTCCAAACAACGATATATCGTCCATAGGCGACCAAGACCATGGCGACCAAGAATGGGAGGAAGGTGAGAGGGTCCTGATGGCGTGGATGGACAGCAAATTGTGAGCAATATCCACGATTTCATTGGTATTTGGAGTGTGTTGACCAAAGCATTCGGGCCTAGTTGCGGTTGGGAGTATAGCACCAAGCAGACATGGCCATGCGACGTTGGAGAGCTCGGGAGCTCGGGAGACGAGGACGACGCGTTCGAGCGAGCTAGGGAGGAAAAGGAAGAAAAAGAACGAAGGCAACAGACGGAGGAGGAGAAACGCGAAGCTGACATGTCGTTCGACGAGTGGATCCATGCTCAGGCGTTAAAAGGGCGGTGCGGCGACAACGACCAGAGTGCGGTCGTTGCCCATGCGTAGTCCACAGAGAGAAGAATAGGCTAAGAAGTACGATGGTAGTGTTAAGATAGCAGATGTCATTTCAGAGCTGAATGCTGCGTACGAAGGTGGAGCAGGAGGGCACAAGTATCTGATCTAAGATGGGGTGTGAATTATCGTTCCATGATAGTGTTGCCGTACAGCGAGCTCGTGGCGAGCCTTCCATGGTCACAATCCAAGTAACGAACCCGGAGAAGGGTAGGCTAGGGCGTGCAGTGCGATCGAGGGGTGCAAAATACGGAGTATGCGTCAATTCTTCCTGCCCAATCCTGCGATCACGAGAATGAATCAGGCCAAGAGGAACTAAGGAAATGGTGGGACACCGCATCATACGTCACGTACCATAGTGAAAGATGAACTCTCGACAGCTACGTGGTGTCCATAGCGCCCTCAACGCCTTCACTTGCACCAGCCTGAAGGTCTGCTGGCGCGTCCTGCCCCACATCCCCGTCTCCATCAATCTCCTCTTCTTTCTCCTTGCCTTTCTTCTTTCTCGACCGCCTTCGCCGAGACTGGTTCTCGCCAGTGATGCGCTCGAGTGAGACGCTGGGACCTGCCGCTTCCTCAGGTTCAGCTGTCGCCGGTGCCGTAGCTGCCTCTGCAGCCTCTGTAACATCAGGCTCTTCAAGCGCCTCGCTGATCGTAACGTCCCTTATCTTTCGGTTGTCTTTTGCCTTTCCTTTGGCAGCAGACGCTGCGGCGAGGGCGTCGTTCCGAAGTCTCGTCCGTGTGCGCGCAAGAGGGGCCTCCTTCGGTGCGTCGTCCTTATCGGCGCCGCGAGGTCTTAACTCTACCGGACGGAAGCGTATGCGCCGAGATGTAGAAGCGACATGCGTTAGAGATCCTATTGGTCATCCAGTTATCAGTATCATGTGGGGGTGTCAGGATGAGTCGAACGAGGAGCGCACGTTTCTCGCGGTGTTCTGCATCCTGATCCCTTTCGTCTGAGAAGAGCATCTCTGTTCCAATTAGCTCGTCGTGTTTTCCTCGAAGAACTGTGCCGGAGAGCTGGAGGAATGGTGTTGGTGTGTCGAGCCCAATGAGCGCGTACTGGTCCGTGCTAGGGACAAGAAGAGGCTCGATCGCGCCGAGGTCAAGGGTGACATACTCAACCTCCTCGCCGGACTCGTATTCATCGTCATCATCGAACGCTGTTACCTGTCGATAACCAGGAAGTAGTCTTTGTGTGTTGGACGCCATACGAGCGTGGTGGCGTCCGAGTAGAGCGGACGATGGCGATGGCGAACACATCGCGTCGCGCGGCTGGATTCACACCCGCTTTCCTCCTCCGCTATCCCCGGCGCCGACGACCACACTTTTACACTTCGCATGCGGTAAACAGCAAGAGCAACAACAATGAACGTCTCGGTGCTGCTGTGGCTACTCGCCCTGCACGGCCTCTCCATCTACCTCTTCCTCTCTGGCTTCCTGCTTTCCCGCATCGCGCTACCGGATGTTTCTCCACCGCTCTCCGACTCGACTCGTAGCCTCGTCCAAACGCACAAACGCGCAGTCATTGTCGTCCTCGACGCGCTACGCTATGACTTTCTCGCTCCGCTTGGAGACACCATTCCGAGCCCGCATGACCCGTACTACCACGGCGTGCTGAGCACCCCAGCGCGCACCGCCGCAGAACATCCGGACCGCTCCATTGTGTTTAGTGCGCATGCCGACCCGCCAACAACGACGCTGCAGCGCATCAAGGCGCTCACTACCGGCAGCCTTCCGACGTTTGTGGATGCTGGAGCTAACTTTGGCGGAGAGGCCATTGGGGAGGATTCGTGGGTGCTTCAGGCTGAGAAGGCCGGTAAAAAGGTGCGTGCTATCCGCTGGTCCATGTGCATGAATACTGACTACGCTATAATATGCTGGTCATGTAACATGATGTTGCCTTGAATTTGTTAAACGTACCCCATAGCTTGGGTTTGTCGGCGACAACACCTGGCTCGCCCTCTTTCCCGGCGCGTTCGACCCCTCATTGACGTGGGGCTACGACTCGTTTGATGTCGAAGATCTTCATACCGTCGACAACGCCATTTTCTCCCGTATCCCTTCCCTCCTCAACCTTACCTCTACCCCCTCCAAGAGCGACCCATGGGATATTCTCCTCGCACACGGTCTTGGTATCGATCACGCCGGACACCGCTTCTCTCCCTCGCATACGGGAATGCAAGCCAAGCTCTCTCAAACGGATACCTTCCTCGCCACCCTAGTCGACCTGCTAGACAATGACCCAATGCATAAGGATACACTCTTGGTGGTCATGGGTGACCACGGCATGGATGAGCACGGGAATCACGGGGGCGACGCACCACTCGAGACCATCGCTGGCACATGGATGTACTCCCCTACTCCCTTCCTCGCTTCGTCATCAGACAGGGAAAACGTACCAGCGCAGATGCACGAAGAAACCCTCTTCCCCGGTGCACTCGCGCCCCACCGACACACCCAACAGGTCGACATCGTCCCTTCCATTTCCCTCCTTCTCGGACTCCCCGTCCCGTTCGGCTCGCTCGGCGCGCCAATTCCCGAGCTCTTCGCGCTCCGCCCGCACACGTCGGTTGGGGCAGGGTCTGCGCTCGCAGTCGCGAGCTCGCTCAGCGCAACACAGATCCACACGTTCCTCGATAAAGCTGGCATGTCGGGGCTCGATGCTCTCGACGAGGCGTGGGACCCCCGCGTCGGCGGGCTCGCGGCACACTTGGCCCCTGAGGCGTTCCCGAGGAGCGCGTACACCGCGCCGCTCAGCACGAGCGAGGAGCTCGACGTGTCGCTGGCTATCGGGTCACGTCATATCTCGCGGGCGCTTGCCAGGGACGCCTATGCGTATTCACGCGAAGCGCTCAGAGCGGCTCGCGCACGCTGGGCCCAGTTCGATGGGCCACTGATGGTGGTGGGGCTTGTATCTGCGTTTTTGGCGGTGGTTGTGGCTGGAGCCTTGTTCTGGCAACTGGGTCTGGACTCTCCTGCTGCTTCTCGCCCTGGACCCAGCATTGGAGCTGTACCCAAGGCTGGCGGCGAAGATGCGGAGGAAACGTCGCCGGACACTCCAACGTGGCTCAGGAAGAGTGTTCTTCGGGCGTGGCAGGCCATGGGGGCAGGTGTTGTTTTAGGTGTGCAGTTATGGGGCGCCTTCAAGGTACTTGGCAGGATCGACACGTTCGCCTTGTCCGGTGAAAGTCCGACGCGGATGGGCGTGTTGCACTTCGCAGCGCTTGGTGCTGCCTGGGCAAGTAGTGCGAGTATGCTCGCGTCTTGCTTTTCTTCTAGCACCGCCACTGGGGACGCAAGGATCGAAGGACCAAAGTCGTCACCTACACTCCTGCAGAAGTTCACCAGGTTTTTCTCTGTGTTCACCTTTGAGGCCGCCATCCCTGTGGCTCTGATGATCCTCCACAGTCTTGCCCTCCTCTCTAATTCCTTTGTCATCCACGAATCTCTCCTAGTCCCTTTCCTCCTCATAACCGCCCCTCTGCCATTCCTGATGCGTACCATATCTTCAGCCCGACGCGACCTTCGCCGCAAAGCCCTCTTTTGGGCCGGCGTATATGCCGTCTGCGTGCGCTTGATAGGCACAGGTCGAGTCTGGCGCGAGGAGCAAGGCGTCTTCTTTGGCCTCGGTCCTCACTCTTCCGTCTCACCCTCCGATGGCCCATTCATCGTGGAGACATTGCTCTCTGTGATCCCCAACTGGCTCCCCAGGATCCTCAACGCGCTCGCACCCCTCGCGACTCCCGTTATACTCAGCTACGTTCTGCAGACCTCGCGCTCACGCGTCCCGTTCATCGTGCGTGCTGCACTGCCTGCATCGCTCGCACTCGCGAGCCTCACATGGCTCATAGAAGACAGCACGGCTGGTGCGGGCGCCGACAGCGCGATTGGGGGTGTGGCACGGATCGTGCGTACACTATGTGCATGGACATCGGCCGTTCTTGGTGCGGGCGGGATCGCAGCATGGGCGACGCAGCCGTTGTGCATCTCCGTCTCGCGCGAGGCTCCGACGGATGGTGCGAAAGCGGGCGAGAAACAGACTATCACGGTGCTCGGCTTCGCCAACGCCTCTGGGGCGCCCGTCCTTGTGTTCCAGGCGCTCCTCCTTGCGCCGCTCGCCCTTTGTGCGCTGCTTCCAAGTCAGAGGGTCGGCCCGCTCCTATTCGGCGCCCTAGTGGGGTGGTTCGAACTTGTCGACGCAGCTCGGGATGCACGCGCGCTCGACGCGAACCCCGTAGGCGCTGCGAATGCGCTCGCTTCGGCAATTCCCGATACGCACAGCTACACCTCGTCTCCGTCCACCCAGCTACAGCCACCTGCTTCTCAGTCTTCCACATCGAGCGGTCCTCGGATAGCGCTTGCCGAGCTCTTCCCTCTAGCTCTGCTGGGATTACACGCATTCTTTGGCACAGCACATCAAGCGACGATCGCGAGCATCCAGTGGCGCGCTGCGTTCGCGCTCTCTGCACGCGTCAGACCCGGCATCTCGCACCTCTGCGTGGCGATCAACGAGCTCGGGCCCGTGTTCTGGGCAACTGCGGGCGCCGTTGGGCTGGCGGTGTGGAACGTGTCGCCGAGGATACAGGTCAAGGTGCCCCGGAGTGCGCTCAATCGTGCCAAGTCCGGTGGTGGCGAGGGAGCTACTCGGGAAGGAAAGGACGCGGCGGTAGAGGCAGAAAACGGGGACCATGAAGAGTCAACGGAGGTGCTCCGCGCGGCGCTCGGCCCGCTGATTTACCTTTCGGTGCTGTTCCTCGCTGGAGCGGTTGGCGCTGCGGTCCTGCGCCGGCACCTGATGGTGTGGAAGATCTTCGCCCCGCGGGCTGTCGCGGGTGCACTGTGGCTAATTGCTGCTGACCTCGGCGCTGTGATTGGGGTGTGGAGTGCTCGACGGATTGGCAGGGAGGTGAAGAGGGTATTTGGATAAAGTGGCTTTTGTGACATTATGTCGCGGAGACGCGAATAATCTGGCGAATGCAATAGAGCTGCTAAACTGGCTAAGATCCCGCTGCATGTACCGTCTTTGGTGTCTGTTATATCAGGGCCCCATGCAACAGTAGATTATCCGATTTGCATGATACGTTTATGGAGCCTCGCACTTCTAGACCGGATTGACTCAATCCCAGTCGCTATCAACAGACAGGGCCAACACAAGCACCCACAGTCGGAGTTCATATGATGTTCCCACGAGGTTGGGCTGGGTTTGCGCGTGGCAACTTGCATATTACCACCTCCTTCCCTTCCCCTCCCCTTCCGTAGTCCGCGACTCGGCGACTCAAGACGTGCTCTTTGGAAAGGTTCCAGTCTTTGTTCCAATCAATATTCACTGGGAAACAGGTATGTCTTGCCATTCAACTTAGTCGTGTATTCGCTCACAAAGTGCATCGCCTTTGATCGAAAGCCATGCATGCTTGCCTCCAAGTCCCAGAACTCTTGTCCGAAATCATGCTCTACGTCTGTGCCGAGCATAAATCGTCCCTTCCATTTGTCGCAGTGGCCTGTAAAGCGTTTAGGGAACCCGCATTAGACGCACTTTACGACACGATCACATTCGACAAGTTTCTCTTGTGCTTGGGAAGCGATATCATCAGCTGGAAGTCGGATTCAACAAACCGGGTAAGTTTGAATCAACATTGGTGGTTTTCCATAACCTTAATAGGTCATGTATCTCAAGATTGAGTTCAAGAGACAAATGACGCCTTGCAGCTGGAGCATGCTACTATCATACAGCGCGAGAGTGAAGCATCTCATCTATCCGAGCAACGAGCTGCATATCTCCAAACATACAATCATTGAACCAAACGTCTTCGAGAACCTTCAACCCCGTGCCTGCCAACGCCTATTCCCAATGCTATTACGCTTGACGCTCCGCAGTACCCCTTCCATCGACGCGTACAGATCCTTTTTGTATAGTCCTTCGCTACGGAAGTTGACTTTGGGCATGTGCGAACCCGGTGACATCAAGCCGCTGGTCAACGCCGTTGCTTCAGATAGCCCAAATATCTCCGAGTTAAGCTGTATCTGCGGGCACGTGCTAGAAGAAGACGCCCTGCACGAGTCCGTGTCGCGCTGGCCCAGGCTGCACACGCTATGGATGGTGCCGCTTCATCATAAAACACTTTCTCTGCTTCCACGACTATGCAACCTCCAATCTCTTACACTTTCTATTCAGCCGTGGGACTCCTGGATCCGCGACAGGACTAGTTTGGGGATCCGGTCTTTGAACAAGCTCATGATCGTTGCGTCTGGAGGTCCGAGCTTATGTGCCGATGCTCTACCTTTGATATTCGGCTCTGATCCTTGCGATCCTTGCCTTACCAGTTTGCGTCGTCTGGATCTCGTCGTTAACGGCTCCCATGAGGGTCGTTCGCTCCCAGAAGCTCTCGTAGCGCTCTTCAAGGCGCCATCCCGGTCACCATCATCAAAATCGCTCGAAACGTTGCGCCTTTTCATCGGGCCTGGAAACCCTGCACACGACTCCTCTCTCGCGTCAGATTGGGAAGGACTAGTAACCCTGATGGAAGCCTTCGAAAATATCCAGGAATTTAAGATCTCTTTCAACCGAAGCTCTCCATCTCCAGAGTACCGACTTGACATATCCAAAGAACAGCTCTTTCGCATTTTTCGAAGATGGCCATCAGTTCAGGCTGTAACACTTCGTGTCGCCAGGCCGTTATCACTTGATGCCTTGGCCGAAGCGCTTGGGATATGTCCCCAGCTTCAGTGTTTTAATGTTAACGTCCTTGCTGATTCAAAGGGTATAGGTGCTGTTAGCCAAACCGTCGACGCTGAATACGCTTCAAACAGAGTTTCTCACGTGTGCCTACTCTGGGATGATGCCTTCAATCAGGATAACAACATACCCATATCTGAAGTTTCCCGCGTCGCTTGTGTATTACACAAGATCACACCATATGTTCGCTTCGTGATGTTCTCGGATGATACAAAAGGTGGCAGGGAGACGGAGATGATGTCAAATCATCCAGCTTGGCTTGTGGTCATGGATGAAGTTTTAAAACTCCGATGTGGACGTCGGGGATGGTCAAGGGTATAGCTTAGGAACTATACATGTGCGGAGCTACCTTTAGTTTACAGCACGCTCAGCTGATAGATAATGTACATTGAGCTATGAATGCACGTCAATAATATCTAAGCGCCTACTCGGCGAATAGTCCGGAGCGGCATTGCCACGAGCACTACCCACTCTCGTGATCGACTTCTCTCTCCATTGTACATATAACAATGTATTCTAGGGCGATGGCTGACGGACGCGGTCAATATACGGAACCAATTGTCAGCCTAGTTAGTGAGCCCAGCTTCGTGTGAACTCTGACGGGTCCTGCAATGTTTGATACTCAATAGCAGGAGAGGCGAAACAAATGCTATTCTTGAAGCATAACAGGCTACAAACACAGCGACAGGGAAGAACTACCAATGGCTAGAGGGTAAATTGAAGTACAGAAAGTCATGGATATGGAAAAGCAGGCATAGACGATCAAACGGGATAACTAAGCAGTGAGGGGTCCCCAAGTGATGGTATAGCTGCTGAGGTCATAGAAGGCGGCGTTGCACACGGGGCAGCTCCGTGCACAACGAGATCTGTGAGCAGATAGTGTGTGATCGAGAGTGTCTGTTTAAGAGCGAGGAGAGCCACCGACCAAATGTGGTCGTTTAGCGCTTCAGCTGAGGTGAATACGGCGCTATAATTACATTGAGCGCATGGGTAGCTCTGTGCATAGCTAATGACGGTGGATATGGTTAGCTAATCTTGTTCTGAAGAGAATAAAGGAGTGAACTCACCCTCCTATGCGTAGATCGTAGTTTTGGGTGTGCCTAGGTGGGATGTTCCTGGAGATGATGAAAATATGAGGTAGAGATGTAACCTATGCGGCGAGGATGAGGTCATTTTGTGGTTGACTAGGTTGTAATGGAAAATCGTTCCGGCTCCAGAAGACTGAGAATTCTATCTTTTATACAACTTATGCTAGATACTTGCCACGTTGGCTCGTCTCCAGTATCATTGCAAGGTCCGGTTGAGGAACCATCTGAGGTGGCGTCCAGCAAGAGAGAGGGATGAAATCTTACCGGAGTGCGCATGTACGCTCAAAAGGAAAGTTGTGCACGCAACAGTTGACACAGCTTGATGTTGGCGTCCGGCAATTCCCATCCCACCTGGACGCCACATGCGAATCGCTCTCCGCCTTTCAGTCGATATCTTACCTGGCTCCGTGCTGATTCCTAAGCGGACGCCTCTCCTTCGCAGCTCTGTTTAACTGTCATATTCGAATGCTAAGTCGGCAGCTTTTCCCCCACTTATGGAAGCACCGTGCCGCCACCTCTTCCTCGTACAACAGCGTCAGACGCCCTTCACCTGGACGCCACTTTGGATATGGACGCTCCAGCCGAAAAACACTTGCACACTCTCCCAAGGATGGTCGATTTGAAGATCGGTGGCGGCCAGCCTTATGGTATAAAGTCGACCAAGAGATCTCCGTTCACTTCATCGACTTCAGCATCCTCACTCAGCACTTCTGCTCCAACTCATAAACGATTCTCAGCCCACACACTTGTTCACCATGTTCTCGAACATCCCTCCCAGACAGCGCCATATCATGGCGAACTCCATGCCGTGAGTCCAGCCTGAGCCCTATTTGTTTCATTGTTCTTTATAGCTAAGTAAAACTACTCGTTCTATTCCTAGGTTTAAGTGCTGCCAGCCTCAGTGCGCTTATAGATTCACGCGCAAAGACGACTGCATATCCCATGAGCAGTGAGTAAAGCTGCATGCAGCCTTTCGGGCTCGTGAAGAACCATGCGCTCACATTCTCCTCTTTCACTCACAGCTCTGTCCACAATATCGCCACGTATGCCGGCTGTGGTGCCAAGTTCCCCGGCAATGAGGCAGTTCAAAACCATATCCGGGCCGTTCACATGCGGATTTGAGCAGGGCAGCGCCATCCCTCCGCTCCTTCCCTTTCGCTTCTTTCTCTTTTTCCCTCTCGACTTTGAACGCTGTACTGCATCTTTCTTCAATATCTCTTGAGTGTTTTCTATACTGTAGCCTACTATATATCTGGTTCTTGTGTCGCTATCCGATCCGAGTGTCTATTTCATCTCACCAAGCCGCAGTGTCTGCATTGAACGTTTTGCTTGAATAATGATAATCCATTCTTGATATTCAAACTCAATTCCTCGTGTCTAGAGTATTGGCCTTAGTGGTGCTAATAATCATCTTCATGATTATACCGTTATTGTACCGCTTGAGGTGCGTGGGAATTTAAGATACACTCCGCCCGTAATCCGGTCAACTTTTCATGCCTCTTCCGCTGCTCATCTTTTCTTTAGCTGCACCGCGCTTCTCGAGGCCAGCCTGTTCGTAGTCAGTGCTTGAACGGTAATCCCTTCCTTCAATCGAACTCCTTCTGACTAATCAAGCACCAACATCAACGTACAGAACACGAGTGTCCTATATGCATCGATGCCTTCAGGTTCCCGAACTCCTCGGTAATATCATCTTCAGCCTTACAGATTCCGGGAAATCCTGCCTACCACATGTTGCCGTGGTCTGCAAAGCCTTTCGGGAGCCGGCTTTAGATGCGATCTACTGGTCTGTCGGTTTCAACGAGTTTTTCTTGTGTTTAGGTCCAGATGTGGTTGCATACGAGAGTATGGGGGAAGTCGATGTGCGTGGTTTACATTCATCTGTACACGACAACTGACTCATGGCATGCAATGTCATCTCCAAGACGCTTGAGCTTAAACGAGCGTTAGAACACCGTGATTGGACAGCCCTACTCTCATACGGCAGACGGGTCCGGAATATATCATACCCGTGCAAAGAAGGCGTTCTACGGTGCCAAATCCAGGACAATATCTATGAAGCGCTCGCTCGGTCTCCGGTCATCCATATCTTCCCCCGACTACTAAGTTTACTGCTCAAAGGGACCCCTCCCATTGTCAACGTCCACACTTTTCTCTGCTCACCTTGCCTTCAATCAGTAACCCTTGACACGAGTGACATTCCCGGTGGTGCCGTTCCCGTACTCCAGGAGATTGCTTCATCCTGTCCAAATGTACTGCATTTTTGCTGTATTGGCGGACAACGGTTGACTGAAGGCGCACTCTGCAATATCATATGTCAATGGCAAAGGCTCGAGGAACTCATCTTCCCCCCACTATACCGCAGGTCAATCATTCATCTGGGTGGTCTACTCTCCCTGCGCAGACTATTTTTGTACCTTACACCTGGCGAAAAATGGGTTCAAGACAATCTCCATTGGGAGTTGAAGACGCTCAGCGAGTTACGGATCTATGCGGTCCCGGGTCCAAGCATCTGCGTCGCCGCGTTACCCTTGATATTCCATAACGTGGAGTCAACCTCTCCCATGATGTCTTTAGACCACTTGGAAATTCAAACATTGGGCAGAGAAGGACGATGGACGGCGTCGGATGCTATTTCTGCTATCGTTCGATCCCCATCTCGATCCGTATCTGCTAAATCACTCAAAAGCCTTGTAATGTTCGTCGGCTCTGATTTTGCCTCTCCTCAACCGTCAGACTGGGACGAAGCAACAAATCTGCTAACAGCTTTCACAAATCTCAGGACGTTCCAAGTGCCGCTTTGTTCAAGCATAAAATTAGGGTTATCCAGGTCTCAGCTTTTCCGCCTTCTGCAAAGTTGGCCGTTGGTCGAAGACATCCATATCCGATTGGATACGCCCCTAACCATTTACGACCTCCTGGATATCGTCTCTCTTTATCCATGTCTCAAGCGCTTCAACGTGAACGTCTCGTTCACCATGAAGAATGTTACGTCTCTCAGCGAAGACCAGGACATTTTGTTCCCCAATAACGCAGTCACCTTCCTTTGTCTCCTCTGGGAAGGATCGACCGATCAGCAAGAGTTGGTGATGTCGCATGATGCTCATGCAGTTGCGACACTTCTTCTTAGCATGTTCCCTTGTCTGCAGTTCATTGGCTACGCCGATTACATCGACAAGGGTAATAGGGAAGTGCTGCGGCAGATTACGCACCCATCCTGGGTAGACGTAATGTCGGCGGTACATAGAATGCACTCGGAGTCCAAGCGTAGTATGCACATACCTTGAAAGTGATATAGTGTCTCTGGTCGAAACACCTAGTGTCAGCTGGAGACCCAAGTATAGCTTGTTTTTATGGTACCTATTCAATGACACTGTTGCTCCTTCTCAATATAACACGGCAATCTCTTACATACTACGTACTCTTTTTTCTCATTGAAAGCCAATTTCAAATTGAACACTGTCATATATATTGCCTAGTCTTTGGCGTGCACCGGGGGCCCGGTACTAGTATGTCTGGAGGCCCAAGGACTAGGCTCACTAGCAAGAATGTAGTAAGCACTACCTTGAATGTCGCAAACTTGATTAAGCCTCCTGGGCTTAACTAAAAGCTCGCGTTCCGAATGCTTTGAGGTATCAATGTCTGATTTTCTCCATCAATGACGAGGTCTTGACCGTCTTGTTCGGACATCAGTGCACGCTCTCAACGCGTTAACGGACGTGGTTTGGACGCGGTGCATATCGAGCAGCTTCAAGGATTTTTCAACTCCGCGACGGAGTTTCAAGCTATGATAAGCGCGCGCCTCCTGCGTGGCGGCCTCCACTTGCACACTGGTTCTAACTACGTCTTCTGTATCTTCGTACTCCGCCCTTTTCTCTCCACAAGGATACCCCAAGGCCTCACCCATTTTCGTTTCCTGTCTTCGCCCCATCTACTTCATCGTCTGCTTACGCTATGCATCCTTGCCTGCAAGTCACGGAACTCATAATCAACATCGTAACTCATCTAGCCGGGGATGACGAAGCTTTTCTGCCGCGTATTGCAGCGGTATGCAAAACCTTTCGGGACCCAGCGTTGGATGCACTCTATTGGACAGTCGGTTTCAACAAGTTCTTCTTATGCTTAGGAAGAGATGTGATGACATACGAAGCATCCGGGCAAGCTGATGTGAGTATCATGTATATTCCGCTTACTTCGGCGACTAACACTCTTGCAAGGCTAACCTCCAGGTGCTTAGGATGAGGCGTGCGCTGGAAACGGATGATTGGAGAATCCTAATGTCGTATGGGCAAAGGGTTCGGAATCTCTCATATCCGTGCAAAGAAGACCCCTCGCAGTGCCAAATCCAGCACGATATCTATGAGGCACTCGCCCAGTCCCCCGCCCTGCATGTCTTCCCGCGACTACTAAGCTTGACTTTAAAAGACATCCCTCCCGTTATCGAAGTCCAGTCTTTTCTTTGTGCACCTTCGCTTCAGACCATAACCATGCATGTGGGAGACGTGCCCGGGGATGTCGTTCCAGTACTCGATAATATTGCTTCGTCATGCCCCAATGTTCTCTACTTCCGCTGTATTGGAGGGGAGAAGTTACCGGAGGATGCACTCTATAGTGCCTTGTGCCGTTGGCTAAGGCTCAGGGAACTACTCATGCCTTCACTCTACCGAAAGTCGATTACTATCCTAGGCGACTTACCTTGCCTACGCAGGATTTGGTTATGTGTTTCCCACAACGAGAGATGGATCCAAGCCAGAATTCCTTGGAGTTTGAAGACACTAGATGAATTACGGATCTACGCGTTTGGTGATCCCGGAGTCTGTGATGTCGCTCTGCCATTGATTTTCCAGACTACGAAGCCGACCCCGTCTATGACATCTTTGCGCCATTTGCAAGTCCACATTCTAGGCATAACCGACCGGTGGACGATGCACGACGCAATAACCGTAATCGTTAGAGCTCCTTCTGAATCTGCGTCGGCAAAGTCACTTGAAAGCCTCGAGATCTTCCTTGAAACTGGTATTGCATCGACTGAAGCATCAAACTGGGAAGACGCTATAGAGCTCTTAGCGGCTTTTCAGAACCTCAAGACGTTCAAAATCCTGCCTGGATCGTCCCGCTCCATGCTGGGAATATCCAAGAATCAACTCATCCGTCTTCTTCGAAGCTGGCCGTTGATTGAAGACATAGACTTTCGATTAGATATCCCTCTGAACATTCACGATCTCGTCTATATCATTGCTTTGTCCCAGCAACTTCAACGGTTCAAAGTAAACGTCTCGATCGCTATGGAAGATGTGACTTCGCTCGATCAAGATCAAGATTCTGCATTTCCTCAAAACACCGTCACCTCGCTTTGCCTCCTCTGGGAGGGCTGTGAGGACCAGCACTCCGTGACACGCAACGACATCCAAGTTATCGCTCGCCTTCTCTTCAAGCTTACGCCTTCCCTCGATAATATTAGCTACGCTGACCATAGCGGAGGTGGGGCGTCGACGCTGGGTACGCCACCCTCTTGGACGGACGTGATGTCGGTGGTGCGTGAATTGCAGTCGGAGTACAAGTAAATTAGTGCATGAATCCTTGATGAAATACGTAAATTATTCAAGACGTGGTTTGTCAGTAGCACTTTGAAAGCGTTGACTAAGTAAAATTTCTCTGTATAACACAGTCCGCCTGCCATCTGATATATGTTACTGCAAATATACGTATGTTTGCGATCTTGGTTATGAACGCTGGAAAGGTAAATATGACATGTTTCACGCTGCTTGTGGTATGCTAGCTTCGTCACCCTTCAAACAGCAGCGGGAAATAATTACTCACATCTTTTCGCGACTCGCTTTCGTTGAATTTCCATTTCATGCAAGACACCAGCCCACAGAGTCGCGTCGCTCTTTACATGCGACGTTGAACCAACATGCTCCAGATTCGGAGCCACAGCTATCAGTAAGCGTGCGAGAACCCCTTTTAGCGACGCGAATTTAGGCGAACCTCCCCAGGCCAGACACAATTCGACCACTTGGCTGTCGCCAGAGGCCGCCTGAATCTGCGAATCATGGTCATCCCTCATGTCCTGGGCGTCAGACTCGAATATGAGCACATCTACCCCCAGCCTTCGCAGACGAGGACATGTACGTAATACCTCAATCAGCTCCGACACCCTCAGCGGATGGAGCGTTGCCAGCTGTAGCTGCACAATGTGTGGCCACATGTGCAAGAGCTCGATGAGCTGTGTTCCCGTGAAGTCGAGCGGAGGCTTAGTGCCAGGGCGAGTGAGGGTGAGGTTGGTTAGCCGAGAGAAGCAAGACAAGAACAATGTTCCATCCTCGTCTTCCTCTGCGAGGCTCGTAGAGTAAAAGTTGATTATCATGATTTCTTCTAGACTGTCGTGCGTGATACACCGTGAAAGAGCGCTCGAAAGCGTTGCTAAGGTAGAAAGAGACGGCGTTCGCTGAGCCGGAGTTTGGATTCGTACGAAAAGCCGGCGAAGGCTGGCGGTAGGTCTGGCTTGATCCTCGTCCGACAGGAAGAGAGCTAAAAGGGCGTCCGAGCACACATCGTAAGACTGTCCCTTTAAGTGCAGCTCATGGAGGCGCTGTATCCCGTGACAGATTCCGCTCTGGAACCAGCTGTCGTGGCTCAAGTTGCTCACGTCAACGTGGAGCACGCGGAGATATTGCAACGTTTTCGCCACTGAGAGGATGTCTGAGTCTAGAGGACAGCAGTTCAGAACGCGTAGCCTGTCCCACTGGTTCAGCGAATCCACTAGAGAAGTTGACAAGTGACTTCCCCATTGTGAGTCTGATGCTGACAGCGTGAAGATATCCACAGCAGGACACAATGAAGCAATATCCGGAAGTTCATTAATGAAGCCGGGGAGAAGCGCTTCCGGACGCACTCGAACTATGACTTGCCGTAATGCCGGCCCGAAGAACATCAACTTTGCGATGCTTGCGGGGACATCGGTGTATATCAACAGGTTAAGAGCCCGCAGGTTGGGAAACAGATGGGGGCGCGAGGCGCGATGCAGTGCGTCGACAACTGCTGAAGAGATGACGACTTGTGTAGTGCAGGAGTGAGCAAGTGTTCTCACGCGGGCCGCGTACGAAATCAGAACACCAGTTTCTTTCGGAGTCAGCTCCCACCGAAGTCGCTGTGAAGGATGGTGAACCTTCCGTTCACCGCGTTACGTAGTAAAGATGGCACATGGACACGTACACGATCCGGAATGCAATTTAAGATGGTTGATATGTTGGTGATGTTTGCATAGAGGGCGTCAAGTGCGGGCTCCTTAAATACTTTGCATACTCTTGCCAACCGGCCCAGTGACGACTTACTCTCAATATGCGCGAGTATGGCTTCCAAGAGTTCGGCGATACAGAGGCAAGTATGCATGTCTAATGGAAGGCGGTTGCTGTTACCGGTAACTGGAGTAAATCAGTCGAGCGATAAACCACAGCCAGGAGACGTACTCAAATGCAAGGGAAATGGGTGACGGGCGAGGTTCGATATCGCTGTGGGATGAGAAGAGTGCTTTCATGTATCAAGGGTTTACTGGCAGTGTCTGTGCATTTTGATGTAGAGCGAGGCGCTGCTTTCTGACCAACGGTGCCTCGTATCAATGGTACATGGATTCATTCTGACGACGGTCGTCTTAGACTTGTGCCGTCAAGCACAGCTGTGGGAAAGATCCGGTATTCTCCGGTCCGCGAGTCGGCGTTGGGCATAATCTTCCCGTAAGCGCCCGGATAAACGCCCGCCATAAACAACGTATCTAGCTGTTCTATACGAAACGTTGGGAGGAAGCCGCTATATCGCATAATCCTCCTATCAGAAAGGACTTCTGAAACGCTTAGGCTCAGGTACTGGCCGCTCGACAGGCCATAGGCACCATCATCCTGCCCGCCGTGCATCTGACTTGACCGTCGTGCGAACCATGTGATCCTGGTGGGCGTATGATTATCTAAACTCACATTGATGGGCTGATCCTCCGACACTGACGCATGCGAAACCAGACAGTGATGTACTCGGTGATGAACTATATTTGTCCTCCAAGTATCGCTCACCAACCAGAGCGCAAACAGAGCTCTAGGAGGTGAAGGAACTTGACAATTCGTTACAGGGTGCCTCCACGCGCGCTGATTATGGACTAGTGTCTGCTCCCATGAGCTAGGTGCCCAGGGTTGCTTTGAAGCAGGCTCCCTAGGGAAGGATACCGGTTCAGCTCGAAGTTTGCGTCTACTAAGTCTATTGTCCACCTGTGACTTGCTAATCAGATCGATATGCTTCGGCGAACATTTCTCACTCTTGTGATGATGTCTCTACGCAGCGAAGACGATATGGTCACGGATTCATTATTCAAAGCTGAATGCAATCCCTTGAACACCTTTGGCGACAACTCTGGGCACTATTCGCCGGAATACTACATAATGAGGTGCTTCGAAACAGCGTCCAATCTTACTCTGCGTTCAGTCCGTTGGTCTGCTCCACCTGCACTTGTCATAGTTATTTAGTGGGTCTGGGGCTGCTCCTCCTTACCTACCCGGATGGTCAGTGCTGGTGGGTAGTCGGCTGCAACCTACCCCCCGGTGGTATTCACTGTGCCCGACGACTAGATGGTTAGGCGTATGGGATCACTGCAACGTATGACTCTACAGCCGGAATTCGCTGAAGCGCTGCTGAAGCGCTGACGCGCTTGACGGGTCCCGGTCAGTACTTCAAAGCTTCAGTACTTCAGTACCGACGGAGTCGAATTAGAGCTCCGCATCGGTGCTTAAATCCTGCGATGAGTGCGCGCTTCCGACGTGAACGCATGCGCCCTTCCTTCGTTCTCTATATCATGTTCCCGGCACCCACCCGGAAATGTTTCGTTTCCTATTTCACTTCGTAACAGCTTATTCATAGCCTGATATGTTCACGTCTCCAGGAACACACAGCTATTCACGCCCCTCAGCTGACCACATCCCACGGCTCCGATGGCTGAACAAGACCTAAAAATAACCTCACTATGCGCCTTGATAGCACCCTTAGTCGGTCAGAAGCCCAACGCTATTTTTGTGCGCATCTTTGTTACGCACCTACACTGTACGTGCTAACAAGTTACATCACGGGCAGAAACACGATGTACGACAATCCACTAGCCTAGAAGGATATCTTGTCGTGGTCAAAACGACGGGCATTACGATGTTGAACGCGACGACAAAACCAAGCACATGGGAGAAATCCCACAAATTGAGCGTAAACGATGAGATTCTCTTGTCTGCTCAGGTACCTGGCCGATGCACCGTTCCTGGTGGATCAAAGCCTCTCGAGGATACCTTGTCCGTGCCTTTATGATCTCACTTGTCGGTATGAAGAGCAAAGGCGCCCATTGGCTCGCGAGATAGTATTTTGCCCACTTCTGCATGGTACCGGCGTACCTTGCCAGCTGGACGATACAATGACACGCTCACGCATCGGATGGGATGTGGATTTCAGGTCCGTGCTGTGCTTTTTAAAAGGTATAAATTGGAGGTGAACATGAGCTAGGTCTTCAGCAAGCAGCCTCACTCAGCTCGCTTACTAGCCATTACCCCATCCCAGTCACTTCAGACACATGAAGCGCTTTGCAGCAGCCTCGTCGCTCGCCTTTGCCTCTGGCGCCATGGCGCGATCTATGACAGTCTATAATGGCTGCCCATTCACGATTTGGCCCGCTGTGCGTACACTCCGTCTATGTATCCTATGGTGTGCTTTGACTAAGACTGCCAACGTCGTTGCAGATGTATACAGGCTCGGGAACGGCCCCGTCATACACGACTGGCTGGTCCGCGGACGAATACACTGCCGTCACATTCGATGTTCCCGACAACTGGACCGCGGGGCGCATCTGGGCGCGCCGCGACTGCGACTTCAGCACCAACCCGGGCCCAAACTCGTGCCTTGATGGAGGGTGCAATGGCGGACTCGTGTGCACGGATCCTGTGCGGTTTCTTCCTATCAGCTCAGTCTGATATAAATCTGACGACTTGGTATGCAATCCTGTAGGGTGTCCCGCCCGCGTCTCTTGCCGAGTTCACGCTCGATGCAAATGGCGTTGACTACTATGATGGTGCGTTATCATCTTCATTTTTTAACGTTTGGGTCAATACTTAAACGCCTTGCAACGTTCGTCGATACAGTCTCCCTAGTAGACGGCTACAACCTCCCAGTCGAGATCAACAACACCGGTGGATGTGGCGTTGCCTCATGCCCCGTTGATCTCGGTCCCGACTGTCCCGCTGCTCTGCAGGGCCCGTACGATTCCACGGGTTTCCCCGTCGGCTGCAAGTCCGCTTGCGATGCTAACTTGGACGGTGATCCCTGTACGTCTCTTGACCTTACCCTCCTTCATGTCAGCATAGATTAACTCGCACCTGCAGCAAACTCGCCCAACTGCTGCACGGGCCAATATGATACGGCCGCGACGTGCCCCTCCTCTGGCGTAGCGTACTACAGCTACTTCAAGGACAACTGCCCCGACTCGTACTGCTACGCGTACGATGAGAGCTCCGGAACTGCGCTCTGGACGTGCACGTCCTTGCCCGACTACACTGTCACGTTCTGCCCGCCCTCTTAAACCAGTTCTATGAGTCGATCCGACATGGACGAGTATGCAACAATAGGCGCCGAGATTTTTGTTCCTTGCTATGAAATCTTGCAGAATGTATTTATTTTAGCGTAAGCTATGATCTAGCAAAGTGACAGTTGAATTATTAGTAGGAAGAACACAATGAGTCGATAGTGATATGTGGCGCAACCACCCGCCGTCAGTGTTCTGTCTAAACGTATCCAACAACACCTTGTACTGCGATGTTGCCCTGATATTTGTGTTTCAGCGTTATCCCCGTAGTATCGAATAAGTAACAGATCGCTAAGACGAGCGAACAGAAGGTGACGCTGAGTAGCAGTCTGGGATCAACCATATGGAGATAAGATGAAAATTTCAAATAGTACCAAATACAAATCGAAAATTGCGGGGACCACATCCGAACGTTTCTTTTTTTTTTTTNTTTTTTTTTGGATTCAACCAATGTTATTACGCGGACTTTGGGCCCGCCATTTGGAGATCGGAGCCATCCGCGGGGTCATACCCTACTAGTACTCTACTAGCTGTCCCACTTTGACCTACATCTACGAAACGTAGTGACAACAAAGCGTATACAAATGCTTGGGCGGCAGTACACCTCCCGGCTTTACCCCTGTGCCCAGGGGTGGTGGTACGTACTAAGCGAGATCGAACTAGCGATCGCATGACAGCAGGGCAGGGCCCCTCCCACCTGTCGGTAGCATCCGATGCTGTCCCATCAGGTTGTTACACCATCCTCAGTGCAGTAGCAGTAGCAGTTCAGCTGATAGAGCAGAAATCTAAGTGAAAAGGAGTGACACCGTGCCTTGTCTTCATCGACTCCCCCCTCCAATTCCACCCAGCCCTGACCTAACTCTCACAATCGGGCACTCTTCATACCAATTGGTACCAATTGGCAGCCGACATGGCCCCTGAATACCAACTTCCCATGGCCTTGGAAAAGGTGAACGCGGGGTTAGGCCCCAACGCTGTTGCGACAAGAGTCACAGGGGGTATCAGGGGTGGACATGTCCACCCCGGAGGTTTCGGAGGGGGGGTGGACAGGGGACCGAACCTATGGTCAAAATGGTACAGTAATCCATTGCACTGCAAAATTTTCACCATAACTTGTGCCCATTTACTTTAAATAACTGGCCCGGTTAGTTAAAATAACTTTATCATAACTTGCCGGGATTTATCCGGGTGTGGATACACATTGTATTTTAAATAACATTTGACAGGTTATGCTAAAGGTGGGGCACACAGTTTTGACAGTTATCTTAAATTATAGTTTCTCACGGCCGTCAGCCATGTCATTGCTCATCTGTTTATTTTAAATGAAAATGGAGTTAACATAAATGCGGATAAACTCCGCATTTGGATGGCAACAATCAAAGTCTGGCCCATGATGGTCAGAAACCAGATAATGACCTGGCAATGACTAATCATATGCCGGTCAATGGCCAATCAATGGCCAATCAATTGCCAGTCATTTGCCAGTCAATGGCGGGTTAATGGCGGGTTAATGGCCAATCAATGGCTGGTCATCAAATTTTTATGTGCAATAAAAAACCACTTATTTACTCTAAATGATCAGACTAATTATCAGCTATTGGTGATAAAAAGGAAGGGAGTACTATGGGACTTTAGGATTCATATTGTTTGTGAAGTGAGGGATTAAAAGCATATTTCTCTAACTAAATAATAACTTTCTATTTGGCCATTAACCCGCCATTAACCCGCCATTGACTGGCAAATGACTGGCAATTGATTGGCCATTGATTGGCCATTGACCGGCATATGATTAGTCATTGCCAGGTCATTATCTGGTTTCTGACCATCATGGGCCAGACTTTGATTGTTGCCATCCAAATGCGGAGTTTATCCGCATTTATGTTAACTCCATTTTCATTTAAAATAAACAGATGAGCAATGACATGGCTGACGGCCGTGAGAAACTATAATTTAAGATAACTGTCAAAACTGCGTGTCCCACTCTCCTACCCAGATGGATCGGTCGTGTTGAGTCGCACTGATATTAATATCAATTACAAAAGTTGTATTTGCTGCGTTGAATTCGGACTCCGCTGAATCGCCGAAACTTTTGAGCGACTTACATGACCGACCCTTTGGCAAAACTTGTAGGTGGCCGATCTCGGCTTGGTTTGCCGAGCCGCGTTCTCCCACAGCACCAGTGCATAATCAGTGAAACTTGAGTGAAACAATATTAATGTACTCTCGGTCAAAGGTTGTGATTCATGTTTGATCCACCTATCCGGCACATCCAAGGGTGTATGACAATGTCTTCCAAATTATAACAAAAAATAATAGAGCTGCCAGTCAACGAGGGGTCACTAGAGAGATGCCGACTCTTATTGGGCTGAAAGCCCCTATTTTCTATGTTCAAAATTTCAACACTTGTATAGCACAATTGTCTAAGCATTGTTAGGCATGAGCTCAATGCAAATGCATATAGTCCCAATATATTGTGTTAACAAGGGAGTTTGAATAAATGCAGGAGGTACTCTCGAGCTCATGCCCTGAATGAACACATGCTGAAGCATCAAGTATATGGGTTTTTTTAAGTCATGCTCGCCCAAACCCTTGACTTTAGCACCTGATATACAAGGATGGAGCAGTTTCACTTTATTTATTGTAATTGATACGTCTTTGAATATCTACAGGTGGGGTGTATACGATGTGGGCCAAGATATGGACTTGAGTGTGTCGATGAGCTAGCATTATTGCATAGCGCCGTGCGCCAGTGCACGGCAAAACCCGTCGCCTTTTGTTTCCTTGCTCACAGGCAAGCCCCAATCAGACTTTGCATAACATCAGTGCCCCCTCTATGTCAAAATGTGTCATGATTACATGATTGTAATTACAGTGCTTCACCGGGACCTCTGTACGGCCTCAGGCACTAGCCCTTGCCAACATTGCAGCGTTATCAATACGAATGTGGCAATAATGACAGTTGTGCTCCTTCAGCCAATCCAAAGCAGAGTGTACCTTTTCATAATGAACTAATAAAGGTTTTTCATATGTTTCCATTCACTCATTCGTGGGTGCTTTGGATCCTGCAAATAGAACACAGATGATAATGGTAATATCTTCCATGGAAGCTGGCAGGCACTCTGCAACACGGGTTGTATTCTGCGGACAGGTCATAATGTGGCCCTTCACCAGTTTCACGTGGATTGGCACTGTATAACACATGAATTGGGACGGCAAAGTTCAATCGTCACTTCTTCCACAACAATGAGGTTTCGCAGTGGCGCAGGGACAACACCAAGGTAATTGTTGTTGGCTAACGCTACCCGCAGAAGCTTGTGGGGTTTCAAGCCTTGTCGACAAGTCGAGTACACAGAAAGTACGATCTGTGCATTCAAGTCTGTACGGACTCCCTCCGGGTCCAACATGAGACTGCGAGCACCAAGGGGTAAAATGGGCAAGTCTGGCCCAACGAGACCGCAATGGAATGGGAAGAGGTAATGTCTGATTCGTAGCGGAGCAACATCGATGTCACGTAGTTTGGCATCACAAGCAGAGTCGACACAAACACATTGAGCACAGGCAGCACACGTATGAGAACGCATGGCAGGAGGGAAGTGACCTGCAAGAATTAAGCTTTAATACAGTCTCTCACCTCAGTAGATGTACATTCAGGCCAATTCGCACAAACTTGTTGGAGGTCCTCCTCATGGCACTCAGTCAATGCAACGTGGAGGATGTGATGCTTGAGCTTTGTAGTAAACCTCTTCAGTCTGGATCACAGCATCACAAGTGTGTCATCGGCATAAAACTCCATGTTCAGAGATGTGAGCACCCGCTTCAACGGTATCTCCCGAATACGCTGCTGAACTATGTTCAGAACATAGAGCTGAACATCAGGCATCCGATCATATTGTGCCCCGAGAATAGCACATCGGGGAGAACAAGAAAATTAGCGAGCGAGGAATAGAGAGCGACAGCACAGGAATGGGAGACGTGTGAGGAGGGTAAAAAGGTAAGCGGAAGACAGAGGCTAACAAGAGCAAGTGTAAGACATTGCCACTCAAATCCCACCGTCACATGACACAATCAATTTTCTAAACCACTCGAGAGAAATAGCACCTTAGCGGCCCCCTCCAAACCCATTGCCTTTATAGGCGACGGGAATTGGTGCCATGGGAGAACGCGGCTCGGCAAACCAAGCCGAGATCGGCCACCTACAAGTTTTGCCAGAGGGTCGGTCGTGTAAGTCGCTCAAAAGTTTCAGCGATTCGGCGGAGTCCAAATTCAACGCAGCGAATACAACTTTGTAATTGATATTAATATCAGTGCGACTCAACACGACCGATCCATCTGGGTAGGAGAGTGTGCGTGTCCCACCTTTAGCATAACCTATCAAATGTTATTTAAAATACAATGTGTATCCACACCCGGATAAATCCCGGCCAGTTATGATAAAGTTATTTCAACTAACCGGGCCAGTTATTTAGTGTAAATGGGCACAAGTTATGGTGAAATCTTTGCAGTGTCGGTGGCACGCCAGAACGATATCTATGTGTCGCCGCGAAAGTCAGAAACACGTTCGGAACGTTCGGATGTCCGGTACGGCTTTGGGCCTTGCCTTAGGAAGAACCAAAGGGGGTGGACACATGGTAGAAACACAAAAAACCTGTAATTTCCAGTGAATGCGTCGTTCTGAGCGCGGGGGCTCTCGGGACTCCTCAAATTCTCGAACGTTCTGGCGTTGGCTCTGCCACTCTCCTCCGGCAGCTTGATATCAAGGTCGTCAGTGACCTCCCCGGTGTTGGGTAAGTCTGACGTATTGAATTCACCTTGTATTATTGCTAAACAAAAACGATATAGTGAGAAATATCAGGACCATTTGTCCACGCTATCTAGTACGCTCTGTTCCTTCAACCCCGATTGATCGTACTTGTACTAATCAATCAGTCTTCCGTGTTTCAAATGAGAGCTCGACGCCTGATGACTTTTTGCGTGGCGATCTTTCCGCTCAAAAAGAGGTAAGGTGTTAATGGCTCGTCGCATTCAAGGTGATTACATGTCATCCAAGCTGTTTTCAGAATGGGAGATTTGCCCGGAGAGAGCACGTCTGTCATCCAATGCAATCGACGCAGGCTTCAAGGTGTGTAGTTACTTTATAGGATGCTTACACATTTATACCTGGAGCTGATTTGCCTTCGAGATTCGCCCCACTGAAGAGGAACCTAAAGAGATGGAACCCGAGTTCAACAAACTTTGGGGCACTTATTTCAAGGACAAACCTGACAAGCCTATCATGTTTTGTGTGATTGTTGCTGGAGGTAAAGTTATCTGTAATGTTACATATCCACGCTGTTGTGTCTAAAGGACTCTCCACTAGCATATGCAGATCACACTCTTTTACCGCCTGGGAAGTATATCACGATGTAGGTTTGTTGCCGTTATCGTCGTTTCGGCAGTACTCAACTAGTCATCAGGTTCCAGTATCTTGTGCGTTGCATGGACCTTGCTATTGAATGACATACTCAATGATTATCAGGAATACCCCGCAAGTCGCGGCAAGGTCAGCATCTCCCTGGGTTTACTGTTGAGACATCTCTGGCCGAGAAGGCTGACGCGCTGACGACGCCAGATTCATATTCAATCTGCCAACCCTTACGCCGAGTCCTTCTTTGACAGTGGCTTCATGAGCGATAAAGCCGACTTCGCCCCGATCAGGTGGAGCTACAAGAAGACCAGAGAAGTGGTCAGGAGGATGGACGGTAAACTTCAGTCTTTTTAAAGTGATCACCACAAGACTGACATGCGGTCGGCGTGATAGCTTTTCGCGGCGAACTGACTTCGCACCATCTCCACTTCCACCCAGCGTCCCCGGCAGCATGTAAGGGCATCGACATTCAGACGGCGAAGCAGATCCTGCCGAATGGGCTCACTGTCGGAATACACATGGGAACATGGCACAGGCCCTCTGAGCCTTACGACGCAAGCAAGATCCACTACGATATCAAATACACGAAGGAGGACGATGCTGCCATAGATGACTGGATCGCCGGTATGTCATGTTTCACTAAGCTCGTGTGAAATGGTACTAATCGACGTTTTCAGATCACGTCGAAACAACATGGCACAGTCTTGGAACATGCGGTCCGCGTTTTTCTCCTAACTTAGTAGTCTCGATACCCCTAGCTGACTATAACATCTTCAGCAATGAAGCCTCTTGAACAGGGAGGTGTGGTCGACAAAAAACTCAACGTCTACGGTACCCTATCAACACGGTCGTCTAGTTTTGTTGCTGATCATATCTCGAAAGGCACCGAAAACCTCAAATGTGTCGACCTCAGTATCCGCCCTGGCAATCTCGGTGCCAACACCTACTCCGCTGCCCTGCTCATAGGCGAGAAAGCGGCGGATTTACTTTGTGAAGAGCTTGGTGTGTGTTTTTGAGAGCTCTATGTCGTCCAGTTTGTGTGTTATACCACATTTTAGGCATCAAAGTAAGAATTCCTCATGCCCCAGTCCCACACGCCCCTGCCCTGCGAGGTGTTGCAGCAACCCAGGTTCGGTAAGCCGTGGCATAGAAGAGCGCTGAGTAACGCAGAAAGAACTGTTGTCTGCACGTTTTGCATTCAACCCGTTCTCCACACCTTTCCATGGTTTGACATGTAATTTTCATGTATGTGAGGACGCATTGGAACCGAGATCCCCAGAACCCGTCGTGTGTCGGAATTTGCAATGTCTGGCGAGGATGTGGCGCGGATATGACAGCACCCCAGAGAAAGAGTTATAAACTTGCTACGTTAGATCAACCAAGATTGCTCTCGTACCATGAAAGAAAAAAAACAAGCTCCGTCCGCCCTGGCATATGTGAGCTTCTAGTCCTACACGCTAGTCTCAATATCATGCATATCAATCATATTACTCCCTGAGCCATCTATCCCTGGCATCTTCACGTTCGAGCGCCAAGTGCGGATCAGTACCAGAAGTATTACCTCTCCGTACCCTACAGCTAACACATTGTTTACCTCCGCAAACCTCTTGGCACACGTGTTACCATAGGCTAGCAGAATTCACACCAGTCCATTGTGCTACGCGAAGATACCCTAACAACCCGGTCGTATATGTAGTAGTCTGTTACAAGCGCCTTAGATTGCGAATCCTGGACCGTTGCTTTGGACCACTAGTATCTTGGCATCCCGTGGGTCAGCCTATCGTCATCAAACACGTATCAGACGGGTAGATATTAATTTTATTCAACTAGCCCTACTTCAACCTTCCATCGGACCAACGCCGCATCACCCCAACCATAATGTTAACCATAAAGCCTCAAACACTTGGCCTGCTAGGTGAGTTTGACAAGGTGGCGGATTTATAGCCTTACCATGAACGCATTCCGTGCTGTCAGGATTGGTCATTTTCAAGACGCCACCTCGGCATGATCTTGCAAACGTATTATGCCGGCTATGCCGGCTTTGCTTGACTCGGTAAGCTAACAGGGAGATGCGACACTCACATACATATAAAAGTTCGATATCAAGATGGGCAGTAGTACACTGTCTCCTCCGTCTACAGCATCACGGCATGGGAAATTCTATAGAGTCTTCCAAGATTTGCTCGCATGATTTCGACGTAAGTTTAGCTCGTCATTAGAAAATTTTTCCTTCTAATCTCTTTTCAGGAAATTCGTAATATATTCCAAGACCTCTTCAACCAGTATGACATACCCTACCCCGCATCCGGGTCAGTCCCCCTTGACTCCAGCTACTTTTCCGACTGCTGCGCCTATGCACTTTCAAAGGGTTACACTATCACTCGGTCGTCCCAGATATTCCGCTCCATCCATGTTGGCTCGGTGATGGGTCAGATTGCGTATGGACACCTCCCGGACCGCGCTTCACAGATCTACATGGCCATGTTCACCGGCGTCCTTGTCGTTATTGACACACTTGCACAGTTCGACGTAGAGCGCGTCCGTCCGTTCTACGGGTGCTTCATCAATGGACACACCCAGCCAGATCCTGAGCTCGAACTCGTCGCGCAGACTCTTCGCGACGCCACGAAACTGTATCCTCCTGTTCAGGCAGCGATGATCGTCAATTCCGCACTCACATTCATTAACGGAAGTGTGATTGAAACTGAGTTGCGCAATTTGAAGGTGCGTGACCGAATACGCAGTTATACACCATGCAGCTGCTGAGATGACTTTATTGGAATAGCTGTCCTCGGACGCACCAGAGTACCCGTACTTTGTGCGAGCGCTGACAGGCATCGCCGAAGCCTATTCCATCATAGTCTTCCCTGCCGCCGTCCCACTGGAGATATACATCCAGGCGCTTCCTGCCCTTGGGATCTGGATCAACGCGACCAAGTGCGCCATTTTTTCCTTCTACAATCCCAATCCTAAGCAGAGCCGACATGGTATAGCGACGTCCTCTCCTTTTATAAGGAGGAACTTGAGGGCGAAAACAATAACTACGTTTCCCGAGTCGCCCATTCGAGGGGAATCAGCAAAATTAATGCTCTGCGTTCCATTGCCGAAGAGGCGATCAGTGCGGACCGCCGGGTACATAAAATCCTCGGTGCAGACAAGCAGATGGGCGAGATATACGCTAAGTTCAGGGAAGGGTACACGTTGTTCCACGTTGCTTCGAGCCGGTACAGACTACATGACCTGAGTCTATGGGAGCACACGTAATTCTATAGCGACCACATAGTCGCTGCGCATTTGAATCTCAAATACATAATGTCGATTAAGTTACCGGCGGAATGATACAAATAATGATACCACGGACATGGAAAGCAGGGGTTTGCCTAAAGCCGTAATCTACTAACCTCCTCCAGCACCGCGCACCACGGGGATAACGACTGACAAGGAATGTAAGATGCCGATGAGGTCATATGACCAGCCTTTTGAAGGTTATTCTCAAAGTCCTCTAGTGACTGATATCTAACCCTCCCGCGCTCCACGTACCTGTGTCCGACACATTGTAAACATGGCATCGTCCCCTTCAAGAGACACGCCGTAGGTGAAACGAGATCCGTAGGTACACTTTGGCTAGGCCGTTCAAGCCCATCGGCCTCCCAGTCCATCCACACGTGCGTGAGCTGTGAGTCTAGGTTCGGTGCACCAATTAGTAGCCCATTGCCACCCGCACCGCCCACATCTCGTGCCCGCACAACAACGTTCACATCCATCCATTCCATCCTCGGACACACCCCCAGCACATGGCCCATATCCTTCAGCCCAAGCGCATCGCGCAGGCGGAGATGCGCACGCTTTAGACATGGCCACGCGCCAAGCACCGCAATCACCCGCTCTGCGCCCATATCAAGTGCTGCCTTGGGGGAGAGAACGAGATCCATGCGTTCGATGCGGCCGAACGTGCGCGAAAGGCGCTCGAGCCCCGTTGGCTCATCGAAGAGCGCGCTGTAGCTTGTGTATGCGGACTTGTTCTCGATGCGTAGGTGCGTGAGCGCATCAGGGGCTATGAACTCGGCTAGCGCGTCGGAGAGGGGAGTGAGCGAGAGATGCGATGGTGGGGCGCCTTGGGATTTGTGCTGCGTGAGCATGCCGAATGTCGGAGTGATGGTGATGTAAAGGCTGCGCACGCGGGGGTGGGAAAGGTCGGGTGGATCGTTGTCAAGGGGAGCAGTGGTGACGTAGGACGCCGGTGAATATGATGAGCAGGAAAGCTGGCGTTGAGAGAACAGGAGTGCGATGGCGCTGGCACAAGTCTTGTACGAATCGGCACGAATGTGGAGCTCATCGAGACACCGAAGATATGATTGTGTACCATCAAGTAGCCATGGATCGTTCGGGTTTAGACAAAGATGCAAGGTCCGAAGGTTGGATAGATGCGGAAGTACCTCGAGAGTCTGTTTGTCAAGTTCCTTGCAGTCCAGAGATTTGAGGCAGCTCCATTGCGAAAAAACGTCGGGGAATATCGCTGAGGCACACGACCTCTTAGCTCTGCGATAGATTTGCGAATAAGCAAAGCTGTTCACGAATGGACAATCCAACGTCATGCGTTGAATAGCTGAACCAGATGAAATGTTCTCCAGTTCGTCGTCTACTATGAGCTCCTGGAGAGAATGGCCGCTAAATAGGGGTAGGGATGATACCATATCGTCGTGCAGCAGGATTTGTAATTTCTTCAATTTCGGGAAAAGGCATGGTACGGGACACGGAGAAAGGGCACGACCAATATTTGAGCGGACCCGCCCAGCTTTGCGTGAAGAGCAAGGATATGAGAGCTTCTTGACGCGTGCGGCATAGGGTAGGAGTATGTCCCAGTCACGGCTTGACAACCTCCGTTTAAACTCGAGTGTCTGCTTGACGTCCAAGAATATCTAGAGTCAGCACCACTTTTACTTCAGTACCGGTATGGTAAGGTACTTACCCGCCAGACATCAATTGCACCCTGATGACGTGCGCCACTATCAGCACCGGTGCCAATGTCTAGATGGACCATGCGAAACTCCCATCCACACAGCTTGGGGTCGACGGTCATCAGCAGGGTGTCAAAGTCCATCTCTGCGTACAGCACATCGAGCACAGGATCCTTGAATGCCTTGCATACGCGGGCGAGTGGCGCGAGCGATGAGTTGTCAGGGATGTACTCAAGGATGACGTCGAGGATCTCGTGGAGCTGGAGACAGAGGTGCATGATTGGTGCAAGGGAGTAACGATAGGTGCTGTAGAGGATAAGCGTCCGGAGATGGAGTCGTACAGGAACCACGCACTTCTTTTGAAGGAGATTGAAACCCGAGTCGGCATGAATCAGAACGGGGGGTACCAAGAAGCAGAGGACGGCGAATCCTACTCCTATATGAAAGGAGCTTTGCGGTCGGCTCATAAACTAGTACCCTGATAACCTCGGGACCATCTTTGGTATAATGAATTGGTGTTCACAACGCTTTGGACCATGAGCATGGATCGATGATGACGAGGTGAGTACCGGTGATGTACTCAGCCTTTACGCTGTTGGAAATGTATGGTTTTCACAGGCCTGGTACAGGTCTGGGCCAATGCAATCGATGGACCAAGGAGATTCGTCTCGGGTGGGCAGAAGGTCAATTCTGACATACCTGAGTGAGTTTTGGTTACCACGTTCGTTACGAGACATCCTCATCTGGCCAAAATCCGGCTCGAGTTTAGAATGAATGAATGCATGGGAGAAGGACGCGAATAAGCTTAGGTGTTCCGTAAAGACTAGGGCGCCGGCACCGCCGAGGAACTCCGGAACTATCCGACGGGATGGCATCGGAGGAGGCACCGACAGGGGCAAACCTGCCCAATTCGGAGTCCGCTGCCGTCCACACAGCCACCGGCTGCGTAGTGCTGGATCACTGCTGGATCCATATCTTGCAACTCGACGATTCTGCCGACATGTCACTGGCAGATCTGAGGCGATGGCCGATGCTGGCCGACGCTGCCCAAGGCAGATGACTCCTTCGCTCAAACATGCTGGGCTATACAATCGAGCAGTACCTCCTCGACCGTGCCAATATCCACGACACGATCACTAAGATGGTGTGTAAGGTCCTATTATTTTCTACGCTCAGACTTATTCTGTGCTTGCTCGCTAGGCCCTCTACGCCGATCGTAGAAACTACGAAGGTACATTGCGCGAGGTCTTGGTGAAAGAAGGGCTGTCGATCGATTACACCGCGCTCGCTGGCGGAGAGCCTCAAAGTGAGCATCCGCTCCTTTTCATTCTCTTTGTTTGTTCATCGTTTTGCGCTCTACATAGCACCGACGCCTCGAGATCACGTCAGTGCATGGAAAGGAATGATGGGATTCATAGATAACGCGCATCACCTCACCACGTACTCCCTCGTGTTGCTTCCTGCATGGAGTCGGACTTCTAACGCTGATCGTCACACAGGTGCCTCCTTGCAGAGCTACCACAGCCAGCCGCAGACGTACCGCCCCCAACCACCGCAAAGGCGCAAGGGAGCACGATGGTCACGATGCATAGGGAGAATGTGAAGGGTGATAAGCTGCTGCAAAACGGGGTGCGTCATATCTTGCTCGTGTGCGGGCCCGCACTGATCCTCTTTATTTCTTGATCACAGCAAATCTACGACTTCGAGCTTCGAAAAGAGGAGGTTTCTGGAGGAGGTAACCCATGGCACATCTCGTTTATCAAGATTACTCCCGTCTGGTTTGAAGGGAATATGGAGATCATCATCCCACCACCGCCGTCATCATGAGTCCCCCCTCGTACGTGTACAGACCGTATACCAACCCTGAGTATCTCCGTATTTTCTCTGCCAACAGAAATACAGCACTTCCGGCCTTCTCGTCGTCAACACGAGCCAAGTAGGTCGACATGACAAAGCCTACCTATAATATTGTAATCCAAGTTGACGGAGTAGAAGGCCTATTCATCGCTCCTAACAACAGAGTGGTCAAAGTAATGTGAACACGAGAGTTGTTCTACGTTCTTCCCGCGATTGAAGGCATCTTGTTTCTTCCAAAGGTAAAGACGGCTGCAAGATGCACCTCCACATATTCGAGACTTCCAGCGGTACGTGTAAAAAGGTGGCACAAACTTGAAGGCAACTATACCAGAAGTCTGTTCCAAGTCTGCTCTGCATCCCGAAGGCGACGAGCGTCAGTATGATGTTGCCCGGTCGTCCTCGTGGCTGTGTCGTACACTACCGTGCCCACCGATCTTGCCCTTGTGACTGTTGTCATGCAGGCCACCGCGTGGCTTTGAACCTCTACACGTGCCAGTGGGACGATCCTGACCACTCTGAGGGGTATATAACGATGTAGCTTATCATGCATCATCATGAGTCGGAGTAAGTTAATCTCTACCACTCGTCCTTCTCCCAACATACATCGGCTTACGGCCTAACATACGGTTTCCTAACATTGCTCTACCTCAACGGTTGTATCCGTGAATATCCACAACAAGGCTTCCATGTATTGCAGATCGACAATTTCGAGTATTTGGTGAGTGACAATTTGAAGAATCTATCAATAGCATATTGCGACCCCATCCTGATGACGAACCTCACAGGAACAGAACGCCTTCCTCACATGTTTGCCCAGGTTGCGGCTTTCGGACGACAGATCGGCTGGTGATGACGCACCGCCAAAAGACCATTATAGAGTGTTCCACTCGCTAGCTTACGCAGTCCATCCTAATAACCCTCTGTTTAACCGTCGATGGATCGACAGTGCTCTTCTTCTTCCCCAGGGTCTATCCACCACTACTCTATGTGCAGTTACTATTGATCGCCTTCAGATGGCTTTGGATTAGTGTAGCGAAATTCGTTTTATTGTAATTAATTTATAGCACTATAGCTATGTTCGCTCATTTATCGTATCGTAGAGTCATAATACTTTTATCGGGGCAACGTTTTCGCGTTGATGACTTTGCAAGATGTCAGCGCCGTCTCATCCCCGTCGAGGCCGACGTGGTCAATCTCGCTCAGGGTCGACTGTGATTCTCAATCTCAACGTTCTTCGGCACGTCAACTGACCGACTAAGACGTCCGCCCGAGCCCCGCCGGTGTCGGACGAGAAGCAGGACCATTTGCTAGTTGGCTGAAAACCTGACGTAACGTGTCAAAAGTCAACATCCATTTCTCGAAGTGCTGACAGCTGATGGAAAGAACGGAATGGCACCCCCGGACTGGATTCACGTTCAAGGCGCCCCGGTTTTCCAACCTGTGAGGTCGTCGAGGTGAAGCTTTTCTTGACTTATAGTAAGTAGAGCCACCTAAAGATTCCGGCTTTCAGGTGGAACAACGAGGTCATTGCAGCCTCACAGTGAGCACGTTTTGGTCGAAAAGTGAATGCGCACTCGGCGGACGCGCCGCATGCGGATGTAGATTGACGTGCCGCGGGAAGGCAGATGGCTGTGCTGCTGCCTCAAAAGGATACAAGTGTCAGCCGATGTCAGCTGAGTCAGCATAGGGGGCGGAAATGAATCTGCATCCTTGCCAGAGTTCGCCGTGCAAGCTCCAAGGGCCATACGTTCTGTGGCCGCTCATATCGCCCCGGCCATGTGTATCTGCGACGCCGGAGACCTGCGTCTTTTCTTTCTTACCTTCACTTTTGTCTGACGCTCGATTTTAGCTCTCTTCCCTCTTCTCTCTCTCTCGATCGTTCCCTCTATTTCATCTTCATCTTTGTCTCACTTCCTTTCGGTTCCTTCGCCTCACCTCCCTGCTTCTCGTTCATTTGGGGACCTCATCTTCGGCGCATACAAGCACCCACATCTATCAACACAGACATATCTTAAACACGCTGCAGTACCCGTCAACCACCAATGCCTAAGACCACGAGCGTGCAGCTTCCCGACCTCCTCTCCCTTACCTCCGCGTTCGAACTCAACGCCAATCGACAATGCAAATCTGTCACCCTCGGCTCCGAGGCATGGCTCGCCGACGTCGGTCTCCTTCCGCCCACGTCCGCTGAACCAGCGAACTCTTCGGACGTAGAGTGGAAGACTCGTAATGGTTGTACTTGGCGCGCCCTCAGGATTGGTTTATGGGCCTCGGTGTGCTTTCCGAGGGCGGACGCACCGCAGCTACGCATCGCGACGGACTATCTGAGCCTGCTCGTGCTGGACGTTGAAGAGACGTTCAAGCAGAATCCTGTGGCCGACGGGGATCGTAAGCGGGATCCATTCGCGCTGTACGTGCTGTATTCCACTCCTTCCCCCCTATCCCATCGCGTCCGCCCATTGTGCTAATTATACGCCTCATGCCTATCACGATCTCCTCGCCCCATTTCACGCACATCCCCCTATCACAACGGATGATCGCCTCATGCAACGCAACCCTTCTGATTGGACTCGAAAACAGAATGGCCGAACCCCTGGCCCGCAGCGCGATGCGCAGCCCGGCGTGGTACATCCGTCTGTGTTCCACCCAACGCGCCTACCGTCTATCTCGCGCGCGCCTCGCAGCGGACTTCAAGGCGGGCATCACGCCGGATCTCGAATCATTCGTCCCGCTTCGGCGAGATGCGTCCGGTGCACGTTTGCTCGCGCTCATGCTGGAGCATGCGATGGGCATCGCTCTGCCTACGGATATGGGTGTGCGGAGCGTGCTGGATAAACTGGCAGAGTATACCGTGGACATCGTCGCTTGGTGTGAGGTGAGTCGTCTTTTCCACATCCCTCCTCTCTGTTCTTGGCCTCTCCCCGTGTTCTCTCCCAGTCAACGCTAACGAACCGCATACACACAGGATATAATCGCCCTCCCGCGCACCCACCCCTCTCCTTCTTCCCCAACTCTACTCACTGTCCTTCGCGCCGAAAAAGACCTGACTCTCGCCGGCGCCCTTAACCATGCCGGGCAGCTTATACGCGACGCCGTCGCCGCTTTCCTCGCCACAGAGCGCCTACTTCCATCCACGCTTGCCTCCCTCTCATCGGCTTCGGGTAGCGAGGACGCAATCCGAGCAGACGCGGACGCGTATGTTCACGGGCTCAGGGACATCATCGCTGGGAGCGTCAATTGGATGTACGAAAGTGGGCGCTATCTCGGCCACAAAGGGCCCGAGGTAAGGGCATTCGGGTGGGTGTTCCTCGAAGATGCGCAGCCGGCGTAGGTCAGGTTGACTGCAAACGACATGTCGCCTTATGACTGTCACCAATCTTAAACCGCACCTTCGGTCAATACCAGCACCTCAAACCACGTTAATAGTGGTTCTGCAGAGGGAATATCATCGGGGATCTTTCCCCGAACTCAAAATTCGGCGTTCGGACGTTCTCTGCGCTTTTTGCGCTAATTAAACATCATTGTGTATTTCTTTTCCGTCTACCTCATCCCACTCTCGCCCCTTTCTCCGTAGATATTAGACGACCTCTTACGACCCTCCTTCCTCTCCGCTCATCATATTTGCTCTGCTTTTCGCCCTTATTTACTCATCAGTCACAGCACAATCACACACATACAGATACCTCTGCCTCCCTTTGGACTTCCTTCATTCCGCACGCTTATACACTGAATACTCCCCACATTACCTCAACGCATGCAGTTGTCATACCAGTTATTTACCCTCCCTGTATCTATTACTTGAACAACGTTGATTGGACACTTACCGTTACAGTTACGGTTACAGTTGGACACTGGAGCCTCGGTCTAATGTTTCAAAACCGATGACGCAAAAGCTTCATCGCGTCAGCGGCGGCCGGCCGGCATCTTCCAGGGCGTCGGCCCTCTTTGAACGCTCTTATGAGCAACTAAATCAGAGAAATAGCTTGATAGTCGTATGATTTTTCTGGTGCAGGGAATTGGTGTTGATGTAGAGGGTGCCCATCAATTCCTGAACATCAGTGTAAACATAGAAGATCTCAATCAGGGACTTTCGCGTGTTGATATAAAGACCACAGCGCCACACCATGCGAGCCCCTCAACAGAAGAGTAGTACTACATCGTAAATGCCCGCCTGATGATACCATAGCATCAAAGGTGTCGGCCCTAACGACTCAGACCTTTCGCTGCATGTCCTGAACTCAGTCTGGCGGTCCTCGGGTGGAGGCGCCCAGTCTCTTTGTCTCGTATAATGCTGTGCTGCACCGCTTCGGCTATAGCTCGGGATCCTCGGGAGAAGAAAAGAAGTGGAGCCGTGGGAGAAGTGGAAGGATAGAAGAAGGAGATGATTGAAATGGCAGCGCGGACGAGCCGAGTCTCTCGTCCTTTTTCTCCAGCCCGGCGACCTGCTGTATACCCTCAGCTTGCGCGAGAGGTCTACTTTCCCCCGACTCATTCGCTTATACTACAACTTCTAGGGCCTAGGAACTCAGGTTCTAACAACTCATCAACGCCTTCAACGGGCGGTGGGAACATTACTCGATAGTCGAATCCTATACCCAATATCAAACTCTATACAATTCTGGACAAGTCTTGTGCCCGGGTTTGTGGCCTACATAAGGAACGAGTGAGTATACTTCCACATTGCCACCACCTATCTCATCTCATAGCCTGAAGAGCACTCTCGCTACCTAGTATGGCATGGATAAAGGCATGTCTACAGCTGGCGGCAGTGACAGCCTACTATATATCGTCTACTAGTCCGAATCCGCCTCAATCGACGCATAAGTCGCTGACGACGAGTAGTTTCCAAAAGCCTTCATTTGACAATCTCACCGTTCGGGTACTTGTCCCGCTGGGCAAAGTAGGTTCTTTCTCCCGTAGTCCTCCAATGTGTCTATTTTGTTTGTTTGTGGGTTGATGTCATGCTTACATAAATGACTATGACAGTACGCAATCGTAGTCCCGGCCATTGCCGAGGCGCTCATTGCCCTCGCTCTCTCATATTCCTCCTCACCCTACTCCTCTAAAATCCTGTCCATACTTGGGTATAATGTTCTGACGCCAGTTCCATCGACCCTCTACATCACAGGCTCCATTCTTGCCATCCTCGGTGGCGTTGCCCGCGTGCAATGCTTTCGTGCACTCGGGAAGCAATTCACGTTCAACATCGGCGTGCTCAAGGACCATTCGCTTGTCACGTCTGGACCTTATTCGTGGGTTCGGCACCCGAGCTACACATTTGCGTGGCTGCAAATGGCGGGTATCGCTCTCATGCACGCTGCTCCTGACTCCGCCACCGGCAGTGGATTGAGCGCAGGGACTGGTTCATGGCTGCGTGAGGCGGATGCACTGCTGGTGGTGAGAGCGGGTATTGTCCTCACGTGGGGGGTTTCAGTCGCTGGTATAACAAGGATGTTTATGATGCGGCTACCGGTGGAAGACAGCTTTCTGCATAGGCATTTTGGGACGGAATGGGAGGTGTTTGCAAAGAGAGTGAAGTACAGATTGATTCCTGGAGTTTATTAAGTCAAGTACGTAGGCTATTGGTCCTTCACGCCATTTGATAAGAACGAAGAACATCAGTCAAGCGCATGACAAGCACCAGTTACACCAATGGAGTATGTAAATTTGTGATCTTTGTAACATTTGGGACGAAAGTTTGCTCAGGTTTCCGCCTTCTTGTTCTCGTTCTTATGCTAGTGCTATACTATACGGTGTCTTCTGTCTCCTGTGCATTTGCAAATTACCCTACTTAGTATACGCTGCTGTAAACTCTACACAAGTGGTTGTGTTAGGGTCTCAGTGTGCTGATGTATTCCACATGAAAACAAGCCACGGCAAGCTAAACACGTCTTAGCTGAGGATACATGCAGCAGGTAATGTCTTTTAGTATCTGTACAGATTGACAAGATATTCTAAGAAAGGGCAGCCCTGCTTCTCATGTGAATCATGTGTGAGGGAGGAAGAGCGGATCCGCACAAGGCACTGTTTGAAAGCTAGTGCAAACACATCCGTTTTCAGGATGCGGGACAAAAAGTGACGGTATACTCGGGCTTGGAAGCGCAAACCCAGAGTGCCGTCGATCCTTCGTCATACACGTAAGCTAGCGCGTTAGGGCAGTTCCCCTTGAAGTAGCTGAAGTACTGCACACCGGACGGTGGGCATGTGGCGGGCGTACTGTAATTGCCGGTACAGCAATCGGGCGAGTTCGCTAGAGTGACAAATTGAATAGCGTTAGCGCACGTTCGCAAATAAGCATTGTACGCACAAGGGTCCCCTGAGATTTTGGCTTCACATGCGGACATACAACCAATAGGGGCACCAGAGGAGTCAAAAGGCCCTTGAAGAGGTTCAGGACAGTTGGTATTGAGGTCGACCGGACAGCTGGGAGTACCGCAGTTGGCGGAGTCGGTAATTTCCAACGGAAGGTTAAAACCATCGACAACGGAGACTTCCCGCCAGTATGATAAGATTGGTAGGACAGTGAAAAGGTATATTGAAGCTCACCATCTACATAGTCTTGCTCATCTGAATCAAGGGCAAACTCAGCCAGCGTAGCGGGAGCAGAGCCGGGCCCTGAGCACTCGAGACCACCATCGCAGCCACCATCGATGCATGCACCAGTGCTGGTACTAAAATCACAGTCGCGTCGGCCCCAGATGCGGCCACGCCAACCGGTAGGTGCGTCAAACGTAACTTGCGTGTCGGGGGGAGCCTCCCAACCGGTTGCATAACTGGGTGCTGCACCGGTTTCGGTGTACATCTGGGAGAACTATTCATCAGGGTGAAATATACAACATACAGCGTTGATCACTTACGGCTGGCCAGATAGTAAATGAACAGTTGTTCTGCACTGTCACAGAGCGTGCAATCGTATCAGATACAAAGGCAAACAGCGAGAGTTTGATTGCATAGTTCATGTTTTGAGTGTTTGTTAGAGAAAGAAGGGGGGACAGTGATATCAACGCGGTTGATCTCCTTGCTTTTATTCTCTGTCCGGCCTGTATGTGCCTGGATCGTGGTCTATTCAGTATCTGCCACGAATCAAGGCACGAGAAACATCGCCAAGCGTTTTGAATCTACCTCTTCCTGCTGAGAGCAACGCATGCAACAGCATCTGATCTTCTCCTCGCACATGAACACGATTCGAGGTACGCACAGGATGTGATGTATGTGATGCTGGTCCCTCTCCAACAACACTCATGGTTTCGGGAAGAACTCCCCTGAAATATGATTGTGGCTGACGTTCTTGCCGTTGTGGACGGGGACGCTGTGAAGGATGGTTATAATCCCCTGTTTTACCCATGAGAGAGCCAATATCAGCCGCTACGGTACCCCGATACTTTATCTTGATAGACCCACGCCAGCTACATTATCGACATTTGGTTGATGTGTGGGTAATGTGACTTGAAGAGTACCGATTCTCGGCTCAGGCTATGCTTGATGGTAACTAGCCTTAGAGCAGAACTAAAAACATCAGGTGAGCCGTTTAACACAAGAAGGCTGAATGTTCAATTTGTGTAGCGGCTTGCCAGAACATACAACGCAGAACTTGACAACTAAGTTGACATGCATCAACTTTCCGTGGCAACTCGCCTGGGCGAGCATGCTAGGAGGATTGTGCATGGACAAACAGAATGACAGAACTACTTGAAGCGCCGTGTTTGGCGGAGTTCAAGGTACAGACGGCTTCTTCCGCTTTCGGTCTCGGGCCTCGGATGTGCGCAACTAGGTGCGCACACACGGTTGCCTTATAACACTTGGGTCAGAGAGATTTCCCTACAGCATTCAGAGCGTAGTCACAACGAAAAGTAGGATGAATGTACTAAAGTCTCGCTAAGTATTATGGACTATATTTCGTGATCCTAGAAATAAGTAGCATTGGCTCTGATATATGTATAACATATGGATGAATTCATGAAAGCGAGTTGCAAGCGAATGATATACCGTAGCTCAGTTTGATCAACACCAAATTCTGTCTACTTTGTACTCGTGCATACAGACATAAAACCCAATTCTTATTCCACCAAAAACCCAAAGTACAACAAGCACTACATTTCTACAACATCATTAAGCATCGCTTTAAGAGGCAGGGCAGAAAGTGACGGTGTAGTCAGGCATGGACGAGCAAGTCCAGAGCGCCGTGCCGGAGCTCTCGTCGTACGCGTAGCAGTACGAGTTCGGGCAGTTGTCCTTGAAGTAGCTGTAGTATGCAACGCCAGACGGCGGGCACGTCGCAGCCGTGTCGTACTGGCCAGAGCAGCAGTTGGCAGAGTTGGCTGGAGATGCGGATCAGCCAACGCGAACATCACATGGAGAGCATTAAAAACGTACACGGGTCGCCGTCCAAGTTAGCATCGCAGGCGGACTTGCATCCGACGGGGAAGCCGGTGGAGTCGTAGGGGCCCTGGAGAGCAGCAGGGCAGTTGGGGCCAAGGTCGACAGGGCACGATGCGACACTGCATCCGCCAGTGTTGGTGATCTCGACGGGGAGGTTGTAGCCGTCGACGAGAGAAACTGATGAACGATAACCGTTAGACATACGCTTGTCGTTGTTATGGACGCAAAAACCAACCGTCATAGTAGTCGACACCGTTAGCGTCGAGAGTAAACTCGGCCAGCGAGGCGGGAGGGACACCCTATACGAATAGAATCACCAGTCAGATATCGCCATATCTTAACAGCACATTAAGAGATAGAATACCCACAGGCTGAGTGCACTCGAGACCGCCGTTGCAGCCACCATCAACGCATGAGTTGGGGCCAGGGTTCGTGCTGAAGTCGCAGTCGCGGCGACCCCAGATACGACCGGCGGTCCAGTTGTCGGGGACGTCGAAGGTGACAGAGGTGTACGCGGCAGCCTCCCAGCCGGTGGAGTAGCTGGGGGCAGCACCAGAGCCGGTGTACATCTAAGGAAAGCATCAGTAAGATAACGATGTCAGACGATGGGGGATATTGCAATGCGTACACCAGGCCAAACGGTGAACGGGCAGCCGTTGTACACCGTCATGGAGCGCCCGAGCGCACCAGAGGCGAAGACGAGGGAAGAGACGGCGAAGGCGCGCTTCATTTCTGAGAGGGGTTCGAAGAGAGGCGGATGCTGAGAGGCAAGAGCTTGCTGAGGATTTGAGCGTAGCTCAACGTCGCCTTTTACACATACCTCGTCCTTCGCGTGCCAAAAGCGTGTCTGGGAGAGGGCCTAAGCCGACATGAATTACCAACGTGTAAAGGTACGGAAAACGTCACCAGAAATCACTGTCGCTGCCGACCAGAGTCCACCAGACCTGCGCGGGTGGCAAGTTTTGAGCCTCTCCCCGCACGCCAACGCGACAAAGGCACGCCATGGACGTAATAACTGTGTGCTCGCTTTACGATCAGGTACAGCCGGGAAGGTCGGACGGTCGGTATTCCCATCTCCTGAAAGGTAAAAAGGTTATTAGAGTGCAAAGTTGAACGCCGACGGCGCTTAAGACGATGGTTTACCTCTTCGCGTAAGTCGAAAATAGCAACAGAGTAAACCCCCGCACGCGTATTTCGCGTCGGTCCACCGTGTTGTCGATGTTGAGAGGCTCCTCGACAAAAATAAACGCGGACGTAGATAGACGTGATGATCATTGGGTGCGTGGTTAAGTTCGTGCGAGAGCCGCGCGACACAACATGCTGGCGAGGTTATTTATAACTCCTGTGCATGATGGTGGTTGACAGCGCTGGGCTAAAGTTATCAGCTGAATACCTCGATTAAGGAGTCGCAATGTCTCACCCACCATTCCGGGAAGAGATAACACAGCAACAATACATGATAAGGGAGGTGGTGACGATGAGTGGATGGAAGAGTAGACGCTCGCGGTCACACAGCGTTTCGGAGCTTGGAGTTTGTCGGTGCTTAAATTTAAAGTTGAAGGACCGAACTACAGGCTCCGGCACCGATCTTTGGCGCCGATGAAACTTTACGCGCTACTATGTCCCTTTCAACAGTCATATATTGTAGTTCGAAAAGCTTAATCAACTGTCATAGGTATCGTAAGTGTAAGGGTCGCTCATCATCTCAGGACACATAGAAGCTTCGAATCTTTCAAGCTCATACATGTCTGCATAGTCCAGCACTGGCACGTCGACTTCTCCTTCTTCGAACTCGTCCTCAAACTTATGCGAGACGTCAATGGGAACGCTAAGCTGTTCGCTTGTAGAATCCTGAGATGAAATACTGGTCTTCGTGAGATCAATGGGCCCTCCCCGGTCGAAGAACTGTGGTGGACCACAAAGCGCATCCCCCGAGCCGTGTACGATCTGTTCAGCTATGGGTAGCATAACCCTAGCAGGCGTATACAAATGCCTACGGTGTACTTGCGTTCTCTCGTCATCACTTAACTTTGAATAGCTCTCCTGAATGCTACAAAAGGCATTGACTCGGTCAGTAATCTGAATAACTTATAGACTGATGCGACTGGGACTTACTGGGCTTCAAAATGCTCTCTGATAACGTCCGCGCTGCTAGAGGACACCTTACAGTATGGATCTGGACATTGGTAGATTCTAAACGAAGCAATAAATGCGTAGCTTAAGTACAGCACTTCTATGTCAGGAAGGAGTCTTACAATTCGCCAGACTTGGTACGCTTCGAGGTGATGTTATGCCAGTAGTGGTTCTTGAAAGTGGTAAATGTTTGATACTTCGTCAGAGGGCTTGCGAGTGGGTCTGTCATTTTTGATAGACTTGATCAGTCGAACACCACAGAGTTAGAGGAAGTTATCGCCGGTTTAAACAAGAGATCGAGAAGATATCAAACTGCGACGGCTGCGACATTCGAGCTGTTTATAGGATGCGTGGCAGGTCCAAGCCAGCCGCAAAATGATTTGTCTTTGGCAAGACGAGACCGCGTCATAATACTCGGAGCATGGACCAGGCGCTTGGACCAGAGGCTCCTTCAGACTTGTAGATGCTTTAGTCTCAGCATGTGTAGTCCTGCGGATAGGAGAGGTGACGGTGCATAGTGTGATGCACTGGTGATGCACTACGGCATCGCGGGTTCGGACCCGATTCCCTATGAATCAGCATCGCTGTGATTTAAGAATATAATCGTGGGTATACAACATAATGATGGATGGCAGCTCGTTAAAGCTCCATTATCTCCAGACACCGCCATGGTCATCAATTCCACTGGGAGAAACGCCACTCGTCAAACGGATCATAAGGCGCCAGTTTCTTCATGAGCTCAGGACACAGGCAGGCTTCGAACCTATCCAGCTCGTACTTCTCTGCATAGTCGAGCAACGGCACGTCGACCTCTCCCTCCTCGAACTCTTGTTTAAACTGATATGAAACATCTGGAAGTGACTGAGCGGACGCGGTACTGGTTTGGTTGAAACCGCCAATATCCTTGACGGGTTGGATGCCAAATGACTGATCAGACGCGCAGAGATCTTCTCCAGTACCAAAGATAGTGAGCTCCAATCTCGGGCTGATGACGTCGAGAGATAGACCAGAGTGCCAAGGGTGGTTTGGTAGACTACTGTGAATTCCTAGTTTGCTGGCTAGAGTATTGATACTACCAGTGTATATTTGTTTAGCTTACTCCAGCTGGAGCGTAACAGTTGTGGCGAGTCTTACTGAGAATCGAAATGAGCTTGTATTTCAGCGACGTGTTTAAACGATAGCTTGCACTCTAGGACCGGACACATGAAATATCTCGATAGAAAGTCAGATTTAGGAAAGGAGAGAGGTCAAAGCTTACAATTTTCCGCTGGTGTCCATTCTTTGAGGAAAGATAGCTTCCTTTCCTTGATCTCTGCACGAAGTGTACAGGGCGTGTTTGGTGAACATGTCCCGCATAGTCGTAGATACGATGAAACGCGGGATATTGACAAAGTAGGATTGGAAAGCCGAGGAGGGGGTCAGAAAGAAGGAGAGATGACTTGGGTAAAGTAACAATCGATATATGATTTCTTACAGCAGTTTAACGGAGGAGTGGCAGTCACCTTCGTAATTGGGCGAGCATGGACCACATCCGGTGCCTGGTTACGACCAGAGTGCGCAATGACCTCGTTTGGTGGAGTCGCGTATCCTCGAGATTAAGACACAATGGATACTAGAACGTTGGATAGGGAGCTTGGTCCGTCGTTGCAATTAATGTAACGCCAGCGAACAAGAGCGGAGAGTCGCAAAATCGGCAAAGTCCGAAGGCTCTTCCCTACATTCAGGGGCTATTGAGGCCAAATGGAGAATGGAGGGTGAAAGCAAGGGCGCGTCCTGGCAATTGCCCGTGTCGCGCTCAACGACCCGCGTGTCCCATCCAACCCTTGTTTCTGCCCATCTGTTCTCCAGTGACCTCCTGCGCTTCACTCTTGACATCCTTCGACCAGTGTAACATGCCACGCAAAGAGAACGCCAATGCTTCAATCTCAGCTCAGGCTCAACAAGATCTCGTCTCCGACGGTATACAGAACTATGAGCTCCCAAAGTCGCTCGTCACAAAGATCGCAAAATCTGCAGTGAGCTACCATTTCTATATAATCTATCGAACCCTCTACTCATGTGAACCGCATGTAGATACCCGATACGGCTAAACTTCAGAAGGAGACCGTGCTTTCGCTGGTGAAGGGCTCGACGGTGTTCATTAATTACCTTGGTGAGTTGGTCGTCAGTGTTTTCTCTTTGCAACCTAATAATATACAAATGCCACTTGTAGCTGCCACGTATGTATCCTAGGTCACATCTTTTCGCTTCTAAAGCCTCTGTTGACCCACATTCAGCGCTCATGATGTCGCCCACTCAAAGCAACACAAAAGCATTTCCGCGTCCGATGTCCTCAAGGCTCTTGAGCTCATCGAATTCGGAGACCTGGTAGAACCACTGCAGGCAGAACTGCAGAGTACGTCCTTCATACTTCCGAATACTCTTTCACCTATCTAACCGCGCATACACCCACCCTCGTCCTCATTACCCTGGTTCCATCCTCAGTCTACCGTGACACGGTCAAAACAGACAAGTCTCGCAAGGGCGCTTCTGCGCGAGGCGCCAACTCATCCACCGCAAAAACGAAAGACTCCGCCCCTCTCTCCATTTCGCTTTCGACAAAGGGGAAGGGGAAGGCTGCCGCCACTCCGGCTTCGGCAGCGTCGACTACGGCCAAAACTCAAGTACACGCGGACCAGGTGGCCGCGAGCGTTTCGGGCATGAGCATATCAGGGCCAAATGGCGGCGCTAGCGAGCGGGCTGACGAAGAGATGGATGATGACGTTGGCGAGGAGGACGAGGAACTGGGCGGGTACGAAGAAGAGGTTGAGCCGGAACTTGTTGGCGGGGAAGATGAAGACCCTGGCGATGAGGGTGTCGACGAGGAGGACGACGACGGCGAGGTGGAGGGCGGTGAGACGGAGGATGCCATAGTGCTTGAGGGAGAGGAGACGAGGCGGGACGTCAAAAGGCTCGAGGTGCATGCAGATGAGGGCGAGGTGGAGTAAGGAGTTTGCAATGTACGCTCTCTATTCCAGATTTGTATACCCACTCGCTTTCGAACCAGACTTAATGCACCACACCCCACTTTTGAGATATTGCACGATGTCAGGGGCTATCTTCCGGTCACCTAAAACGCCTGAGAAACACCTGCCAGTTGTCTGGAAATACCCTCCCCGAAGGAAGACCGAGGGGTCCGAGGTCTGACACGAGGATGAGTCAGCCTCGGATTCAGGATCGCGTCAAGATGCTGTGAAAGCCATGTTATTCAATTTCTCACATGACTATGCTAACGTTTCGCGCCAAATCGGGTCCTCCGAGGCGCGCTACTTCTCATGTCAAACGACAGAAGGTAGTCCAAGACTCTAGGGCTTATTGGCCGGGATATCCTTTAGCCAAGTGCTTTCTAAGATCTTTGTCATCCTCGTGTCACGCAAATCGTCCTCACGACTCGACAATCGCGGTGCCAGAAGGTGCCAGCTTGCAATGGTATAAAGACAAACCGGACCGCACCATCGACGTCATCTCACGCCCTCTGGCGCATCGGCCTCTGTGTTATTCGCTTTCTTACTGGACCCTCTACAGCCACAACATTCAGCCGACACGCTCACGCGCACCTCTCTCACTTGCCCCACCATGAGCAACGCCGACATTGCAACCCTAGCTGACGAACATGAGTCCAAGCATCAGCAGGAGACCAAGACGGGGTCCGAGAACGTAGAAGCTGGGGAAGTCGAACGCACACAGCCTCGTGATCTTGGTGATGGCATCCCCGACGGCGGCCTTCTCGCGTGGCTACAGGTCGTGGGTGCCTTTCTCGTATTCGCCAACACCTGGTGAGTGTTCTCTCGTCGCATATCTCTGACATATTCGCTCATGCCTTTGTAACCCGGTTCGTAGGGGCATCTGCAATACCTTTGGCGCGTATCAAACGTACTACGAAGGCGCCCTCCTCTCCTCCCAAAGTGCAGAACAGATTTCATGGATCGGCTCGCTGCAGCCGTTTCTACTGCTCGTTATCAGCGTACTCACTGGGCCGTTTTTTGATATGGGCTACTTCCGTTCACTGACCATCTCCGGGTCGATTCTGATGGTCCTGGGAGTCATGATGACGAGCATTGCAACCGAGTATTGGCAGATCATACTCGCTCAGGGAGTCGCGTTCGGGCTGGGCTCAGGGATGTTGTTCACACCTGCAATCGCGGTCGTAGCGACGTATTTCAAGAAGAGAAGAAGCTTTGCCGTAGGTATTTCGGCGAGTGGCAGCAGTATTGGTATGTGGTTTGTCTCATGATTTACGTGGTTTGCTCTGATGTAAGGTACCACTGCAGGCGGCGTCATATACCCTATCGTATTTCGTCAACTCGTCGGCTCTGCGGGCTTCGGCTGGGCGACCCGTGCTATTGGGTTTATCGCACTCGGAACGCAGCTCATCGCACTTGCCGTCATGCGCCAGCGCGTTGTTCCGAAAACAAACCAGCGCCGCGCGCTCTTCGACCTATCCGCCTTCAAAAACGTACCCTTCCTACTATTCTCTTTCGGGTGCTTCATGGGCTTCATGGGCCTATATATCCCCTTCTTTTACATCTCCTCCTACGCACTCTCCAAGACCACCGCCTCCGAAGAGCTCGCATTTTACTTCCTCTCCATCCTCAACGCGACAAGTACGTTCGGACGTATAATCCCGAACTTCATCGCGGACTACATCGGCCCGCTAAACACGATCCTGCCCTGCACGTTTGCGTCAGCGATCCTCGCGTTCGGGTGGCTGGGCGTGGACAACGTGGGCGGGCTTCTCGCGTTCTCAATCATATACGGCTTCACAAGTGGGACCTTTGTGTCGCTGCCTGCGTCGACGGTTGCGTCACTGACGCCGGATCTCACCCGTGTGGGGACGTGGATGGGGATGTGCTTCGCCGCCGCGGGGCTGGGCGTGCTGGTCGGCACGCCTGTAGCAGGCGCGTTGATTGACATTGAAAACGGAGTGTATTGGAAGGCACAGTTGTTCTGCGCGATCTTGATTCTTGTTGGTGCTGTGTCGATCGCAGCTGCACGTGTATTGAGGGCAGGGGTAAAAATAGTTTGGGCATAATCGTCGGACGAGCGAGCGTTGATTTCATAAATATATACGCTACACAAGTACTAATAAACCAATGCGCAAACTGAACTGACTCTGCGGAGCTGTGGTACATAGAGTTATGATTACTTTCCACTGATGTCCGTGTTCATGGTGGATGAACAGAACGAGGGCCCGTCATGCAGGCGAACGAAGCAAAGGAGCTTCTGCGGGTGACTGGTAGTCATTGTCATGAGGGTATTCGGCAGGGACCATAGGAGGGACACTGGAGAAGATCACGTCGGTCAGTTCAGTGCCGTCAGTCCCATCTACGGAGTCGTGTCGGATGTGCTTCCGAGTGTTCAGAATCATCCAAGGCCCAACCATAGTCAGGAAAATGAACTCGAATATACTCTCTATGTCCCAGTACGCGATAGACTAGAAATGTTTCATGTTAGCTTGTGATCAGGATAGTATGGCGCGAAGGTCTCTACCTGGTTGAGTGACGGCGCGTTGGCCATCGTGTTGATGACCAATGCAAGAAATGCTCTATTGACACGCTTAGCTAACAGCACTAAAAGTATCTGGACCTTGCATGGAGTCTGGATACGCACATCACGAAATAGACCAGGTTATCCCTGACCACGATCGACATGAGTGTCTTGCCGGAATTAGTAGAGAACTTGTAGTTCGCCGGATAGCTCTTGACGGCGTGAAAAGCGACCAACACGCTAATAATTACCTCAAAGGCTGCCAACGCACCATTCGCAGCTGACGGTACCCAGTTAACGCTCGCTGGAGTGTCGGTGACGCAGTAGCGGATGCCGTAGTTATTGGCCACATCTACAGATAAGATCGGTCATTGCGAATACCCGGCCACTGCGCGACTCACAGGACATAGATGGCCCATTGGCCCATATGACAATGTTGGAAGCGAAGCTCACTGCTTGAGCTGCCACGAAACTTGACACCAATAGCCACGAGATCTTGTTCGGCCGTCCAATAATCACGTATGCTCGTATTGCCAGCATCGCTGGTTCGAAGCGCTTCAGTTCCTGTCCGAGTGGAGTTTAACGTCTGTACGGTACTCGCCTTGTAAGATGAGTATGATGATGTCTTTAGATAGTTCGTTTAAGACGAATACAAGAAAACCTAACAAAAAATGAGCGCGATGTAAAGCGCAGTGGCAGAGGGCATACAGCTTCCAGACGCCCATGTCAATATTGTGGTAAGGAAAGGTGACTGTGATTGGAAAGTGACTTACGACTAATGAGGGTGGCATCTGCTTGTAAGCGTATATGAACCGTGTAAGGCAGCATTGAATGTCTTACTTCGTTGGATCGTACGGAATTGAAGCTATACACTAGACTTCATAAGCTTCATGCACGGGAAACAAGTGACTTTATGCTTACACCAAGCTGTCCTGGATAATCATCGCGTCAGAGAGTGCTTCGCTTCGCAACTGTACAACTCACGCCGCCCATAACATACCAAGGTAGCGAAGCTGTAGCCATGAGACATCAACGCTCTCCGAGGGTCGATGGATTCAGAGGCTCACCAGTACGTAGAGAACTACCGCCAAAGAAAATTTCTGAGTCTGTCACACATTCATTGGCCTGTCCATAGTGTAATCCGTCAGACGTACCCATATCATGCTGATCTGAAGCCGCTTTAGACATTGGCCTTTTCCATCCCGACACATAGCAACAACACACCTCAAGTCCCAGGTTGAGAACTGAACAACGTCGGTGCTTAGTTCGCCAACGCGTAAACACACAGATTCCAGGTCACCACGCACAATAATCGTAGGCCATTAGCGAGACGGCGGCAGCTGTTCCAAGTTAAGGGTTTGCACTCGAATTAAGTGATATAGCAACGCACCTCGAGCGTAGTTGGTCAGAACCTGGGATCTCGCTGCCTCCATAAGCTCTTCTTGAAGCGTATCTGTGTTCATGATGTCGGGAGGGTTGAAGGCGAGGGATGCGCGTGCGTTCGCGCGCAACATCAATGCAGAAATTTATACTCCGAAGGCTAGTGAACTGTGGAAGTCCTCGAGGCCGCAAGACGCATAGGGACGGCTTGTGGGCGGCCCTTGATGGGGACCGAACCCGAGTCTTTTAGTCTTTATAAGCTGTGCCGTCGACTATGACGTTGCCCCACTTGACTCACCTGTCTCGGAGGCTGTTAAAACTGAGCTGAAGCCTCGGCCTCAAGTTCCGGTATTCAACAACAAGGTAAGCAGTCCAGTAGGCGTCTTTCAAGCCAACAGTACGAGGCCAGGAAATACACGAGAGCTAAGGCCCTAAATGGTTCCATTAATGGACGTGGGGTAGGTTGACGTCGAACTGGTGCATGAAGGGCGAAACCATCGCCATGGCTGATAGTGGTGCTATCATGGGACTATGTACACTTGATGTACCCTGACATTTGATCATGGGCAGAGCGATCATCCATCAAGCAAACGGAAGCATTCAAACGGAAACAAAAAAAAATCGGCTATTATCGTCCGAAAGGCATACAGGCAATGCCGAGATCACATCTTTACACGCGACCAGCATTAATATTGACACTTGGATTATATTAATTGTCCCACCATTCATCTCAGCTTCCCCCCGCCACACGAGCAGATCTCGGGAAAACCGGGTATCACTGTAATAAAACCAGAGATTTTATACGCTTCGGATTTTGGCACACCTAATTGGATCATTGGGGTCCGCCATCTGTATTACGAATGTTTCATTTGGCTTTCATACAGACGAGTGGGTCTCCCTTGTAGCCTCTGTGGAAACGGAAGACGTCGCAGCAAACCGCATTGGCGCACTTGCCTGTGTTTCTGACTGCGTTCCGTTTACATCACTGTCATGTTGTCTCTGCAAGCTAAGCACCATCCATGGTCCAATCATGGTAAGATGAATAAATCGTGTCATCTTCGCAATGATCCAGCATGAAGCGCACTGAATCCAAGCGTTAGTTTTCGGGATGGAAAGACAAGTAGTGCTTGCGAGCGTACCGGCCCTGGACTAGCTATAGGAGAACCCTCGATGATGTTGACAACCAGAGCAAAAAGCGCGCTTGTATATTGGTTAGAGACGAAGATATTATCACAGTAATGTTGACTCACGTACATGAGAAAGTATATCAGGTTATCCTGCACAATGACCGACTTCATAGTGCACAACGATCGTTTTGGAGATCTCCAGAAAGGAGTAGGCAAATGTTTTAGGGCATATCTGAACACAAAACCGCTAAGAAGGACCTCGAATCCCAAAATGATGCTGTTCGATGCGGGGAGAAGCCAAGTGTATTCTGCTGGGTAATACAGCTGACATGTCGCGATATTTGCGTACTGTAACTCGTCTTTGGAATGTGGTGTCAGTGCATGTAGCCAATTGTTACTTTAACCAGCAACCTACCGTCAAACTTGAAGGCGACAATCCATGTTACGATGCCTACGGCAGAATTGGCGATATGCGTAACAATGAAACCCGTAAGAAGAGGGAAAAGGACCAGCTTCGATTTCCCGTATAGCAGGTATACCCGGATAGCCAGCATCCCTGAGAATCAGTGATGAGCTCTTTGTATATTTATGTCAATTTATAGTAGGCCCAATACCTTGTAAGAGGAAAGTTATGATATCCTTCAGTGGGTCGCTGATAAGGAACATAGATAAACCTGCACCAAAGGAAACTTAATAAACAAGCGAAACCTAAGCGTAGTGAAAGAACATACATCTGGAAAAGTGTTATAAGAATAGTAACGAACAAAATTGCGTCGCTTACCCCTAGTTGTGGCGATTCAACACAATGTTTTCTTGCGATCAATGCGGAATACATACCTGCGGAGGTAAAACTATGTTCCAGGAGTATACTACACGCCATTAGCTAGAAGGTTAATATGATGGATATGTTACCTACAAAACTGGGTTCTAACGGAAACGCAGGCATGGATTATGTCTCAGTATTGGACTGAAAATGTGCACCTTGCACTCACATGCCCCAGAGCAGACCTACGTAGCGAAACTTTACATGTCAAAAATCAGTGTGCTTCACGAATGTACTACGTCGCTCGACAAGCCAATATATACGACGTCGACATTCTTGTAAATTTCCTAGACTGCTTATAATGAGTTATCACCACTAGCCAGTCAAACTGGATATTACCCATATTATGTCAACCTGGCAAGAATTAGCGCTTAGCATCGGATGAGTGTTTAGTTGAGATCTGTCACCTCAAGGGGAAGATTAAGAACTGATCACGGTCATGTTAGCACAATGCACGAACCGTCCAATAGTGGCCGCCGTCCTTACCGTAGTCATGTAACATAAAGACAAAGCCTGAGACTAAAAGGATAGATATTAGTCAAGCCAGTATCTTTGATTAGTGAAAAGGGTGGCTGACGCAGGCCGTTATCGAGAGCTAGTTGATTCTCCACCGCTAGTATAATTCGCTGGTTAATTCCTGGAACAAAAACAGTAGTCATAACTGTACAATGATGTCAGGACCGAGCTACACGGTCTCAGCTATATAGTAGTCTGCCTTACAGTGCTATGCCGCCGTGAAGAATGATCAATCTTGACGTCATGCACTGTAGCGAAGTTTCCATCCTGTCGCGGATCTATGTGCTCCACCGACCTGTTTTTGGACGTCGTGTAGCGGGTATTGGTCCTGGTCTAGATCCATAGCTTTGCAGGCGTCATCAGTATTCCCTGCGCGAACTTTCCGCGGTTGACGTAATGCCTTTACCGCTTGTGTATAATATCCGCTTTTTTGTGTACGAGCGTCAATATTGCATATTTGGATTCTATGATTCGTTTGGATTATCGTTCTGGTGTTGTGGCTCTGCAACCATACAGACGCATCGAAACGCTGCAAGCATGGAATAAATACAATTTCTTGCACATGTGATAAGCTGTTAGAGGGGAGATCGTTGCACAGGGCCTGAATAGTGCTAGCGAGGCACGTACTGGTATTTACAGCATCGGTAGGGATAGAGAAGCGATAGGTTATGTACGTGGTTGGGGATCACATTGAGTTGATTCTAGTCAGCGAATCAAGACAATTTGCTTGGTGCTGATGTCTCTAAGCGCACGTTAAATCCGCTGTTGTTGGTACCACAGCAAGGCGGACGTCCAAATGGCAGTCTTTAATGGGTTAATTAATCCCCGCTAGAATAATGACAACGCGTACGTGCAGTTTTGGAAGCTCTGCCATGCTGTGAACGTGGCAGCTAACGAACTTGCAGTGTCGGATTGCGCCCAACGTTAGTCTATGTGCCTTTCAGCTGCCGTGTTGCGGGGGAAGTCAGCTCCGCAAGTAATTTTGGCGCGTCATTTGACCTTGGACAGTGCAATGAACGTTTGAATGATAAATTGCTCCATTGTTGCAGGCACCGCATTCCCGATGTTTTGGAGATGCTGTGTTTATTAAATCCTCTAACACAGGGCACATGAAGCAATAACTAGATACCAATTATGTCAAAGCTATGTCAATTGTAGTCCAAATGATTAAGGAATAAGTGATGATGGAATATGCCAATTATATCTCAAATGCAGACGTGATTCATCTGCCAAATTTGAGGGCAGGATATTCCAAATTTACGTGAATGAAAACCCATATAATTATGTGATATGGTTTGGAATAATCTATGAGCATTTTTGCACTACCTCTTCTGAAAAGGCGACTACGTATAATTAAAGCAGATTATACTTGCACAGCATCTGTACTGGTAAAGCATACCAATAATGCAAATGTAATATTCTTAGATTCAAATATTTATCAAATATATCGATTATACATGTCGCCGCTCTTTGAGAAGAGGTAGTGCAAAAATGCTCATAGATTATTCCAAACCATATCACATAATTATATGGGTTTTCATTCACGTAAATTTGGAATATCCTGCCCTCAAATTTGGCAGATGAATCACGTCTGCATTTGAAGAATAATTGGCATATTCCATCATCACTTATTCCTTAATTATCATTTGGACTACAATTGACATAGCTTTGACATAATTGGTATCTAGTTATTGCTTCATGCACCCTGTGTAACACCTGTCACAAAAATCGCTGCATCATGAACACGCCACGAAGGGGGTTGAAACGTTGACTTTTTCACAAGCTAGCTGACATTTGGGCGCTCTTAGCCTAACACATTTGAGACTTCGCTCTCCTCTGACCCATAACGAGACACTTATACATAGTCTAGTCCATCCAGCTCATTCAACGACGCCCAAAGGAAGAAAATGCGGAACATCAAACTGGCATACTCCGGGACGCAAATCGCACCGTGGTGGTGATGTCTATTGCTTCCGACTGACTGGAGCCAAGCAAATTTCTGCCGTGTTTTCTCCGCGAACTGAGTATCATCCACGGCCCCACCATGGTGAGAAATAAGAACCGTGCCAGCTTTGCGATGATCCAGCATGATGCGCACTGGAATTTCTGGGTGAGACGCCTCCTGCAACACGGGCGGAAGACGACCTACCGGGTTGGCAAAGGGAGCGCCAGCAATGATGTTCACGACCAGACCAAAAAGCGCACTGTCTGTGAGTATCAGTATGGTCATACGCAAATGGTATACTTTGGAATATGCGGACATAAGGAAATAGACCAGGTTATCGTGCACGATTACCGATGCCATGGTGCACAACGACTGAGCCGGAGATCGCCAGAATGGCTTGGGTAGATGTTTGAACGCGTACCTCAGCGCGAATCCGCTGAGCATAACCTCAAAACCGAGCAAGGTGCTGTTGGATGCTGGCGAGAACCAGGCGAAACTCGTAGGCAGGTGGACCTCGCAGGTATGGAGGTACGCGATATTGAGCTCTTCTGAGGATATAGTCATGGCACTGAGCTTATAAGGTGGAGCATAGAATACACGTACGTTCGAGGCTGGGACCGATGACCCAGGTCATAAAGGCTATGGTAAAACTGACACCTTGTGCTGCTAGGAAGCCGACCACCAGACACAGGAGAACAAGCTTGGATTTACCAAATAGCAGGTATACCCGCATGGTCAGCATTGCTGTTGGGGTTTCAGTGGCATGTTAGCTGCACTTATACACGCTGTACCTTGTAAAAGGAACAAAAGAACATCTTGTGCAGGCTCATTGAGGATGAAGACCACAAAACCTGAATAACAAGATGTTTTCAGAAACATATCATACAGAGAAGTATGAAGCATCGCTAACATCTGTTTGAACGATTTGATATTTGCAAGCAATGATGAAGTTTGCACGCACTTCTGCGACATAGTGTAAGCGGTCGACATCACGGCACGAACAATATGTGACGCACATATCCGGTGAAAGGTATATCAAAAGAGTGCACTCAATATCGTTGGTTAGAGAACAAAATTGGTGCGACGGAGAATTCTGAGCTCACAGAACTGGGTTCTGACCAAAGCTCGACTGAGTTGCACGAACACAAGCGTACATATCGGCTGGCTCACATTCCCCACAGTAATCCCAGGTAGCGGAACTAACATGTGCGATAGCGATTGTCAGAGTTCAATAAAGGGATATGCAGGCAAATTGCATACCAGGATGTAGATGAACGTCATTGCTGAAAATCTCCTAGTCTGCGTGTAATGGTGAGGAGCAAGCGACCGCTTAGGAGATGCGACTGACCCATATTATATCATAAATACATCAGATTTCGACTATACCATATACAGTAGGCTAGTCTCACTTCGAGACCGAGATTGAGTACTATGAGGAATCTAAACTCTAAGACCTTGTGGGGATACTCTACTGACACATACCATAGTCATATGTCATAAACACAAAGCCAGCCACTGTTCAGGCATAATAAATCAGTCGAAACAGCAGTAAACTTGCGGGGAAGTAAGGCGCACACAGCCCCCGATTAAGCGTCAGTTGGTTCTCTACCTCTGCTATGATCTCGGAAGTAGTGTTTGACATCGTGAGTGAGGACAGAGATATTTAGAACCTGAGGACTGAGACAGTCGTGTACCCTTTGATATTTATATATCTATACCACATGACTTGTAGCCAGCGTCTCCAGAGATCTAGTACCTGGTATAGCATGTGGCTGCAGATGATGTGCACTACTGGGCAAGGGGCAGTCACAACTGTAAATATCGGACCAAGACCTTCCATGCAGGACCCCGTACACCAAGCCGCGCGTCACGGATACCACAGCCGCAAGTCGGCCAAGAAAGGCAATTATGGCACTATAGACGCTCCCACGATTCAACTCCGACTAGGTTGCGAGTCGCCTGCAACTCGAGTGAGTGAAGCATCAGATTTACTCTATTTACTGTCAGACGTAAACATGCGTATATCGTAGAGTTCTGTCACAGTATAGTTGTAATATTTAATCCATAGAAGTCTGTAGCCCATCATCCGAGGCAATTAAATGAGCCACTGGTGCTGGGAGTGAGTACTACTACTGCCACTTGCGAGTTGACAAGTGAGTTGAAGCAAGTTGTAAAATGTGAAAGCGAGGGCATTGGGACTCCGTAGTATATCTTCCATGCTTGTTTTTTCTAGTTGAACACTTGCACACAAAGGCTTGCCACAGAAGCCGCACACATGACTAATTGACACCTGCACAGATGTGTAAGAAATAAGGCAAGTGAAAGGAAGCTAGAAGTTATCACACTTTTTCACGGAGGCCATCCTCTGTCACTCCTTGCATTGCTTTCAAGGTATGACCGCTATGCAGCCATGATTCATCTGAGCGAAACAAAGTTCCACAGAGAAAGCAGTTTGAATCCTTGTTAATGGTATCAGCCTCCATTTTGGCCGTTGAAACTGTCAAGGTAAAGCGGGCGATCCTTGGGACAGGTGATAATAAATATTAAGCAAGGAAATCAAAGAAGGTTGCAGGAGTAAGACATACCCTCATGATTGCGATAAGGAAACTGGATGCATACTCAGATAGATGTCGGCGCGCTCAACGCGACGTAGATCGCGCGTGGGCTTTCACTGCGTTTCGCCTGTTTCTGGGCTAACCTTGGATAAGTCACCTACTGTTACCCAGTCGAGCGTACTCACACGCCTATCGTAGCTCGGGTTTCACACGCTTGAGTAACTCGATTCTCCGCACCTAGCCACCGGCTTCTAGTAGCCGGCTTCTTTTCGATCAGAACCATCTGCTCTTCCCGACCTCCTCGAGCCTTCTACTAGTCTATTCGGTTTCCCCTTCGTGTACCTGTGTCTACACGCTAATAGACATCTTGCTCTCATCTGGAAGGCGTATGCACCACTAAGAGCTCGACTAGGTGGCTTTGGCTCAGGTGAGTATAGCTAAAGCCACCACCTCGCCCGACTCGGAGCGCTCGGGCCTCCTGCACAGGGTATCGACACTTAAGTGTTCGACGACGCTCTCTCTCTCTCTTGCTTCCCCCCACCATCTCCCCCCTCGTCGTTCCCCCTCTTCCTGCTCAACAAGCACTCGAGCGCTCGTTTTCCGCCCACGAAGCTGCCTCGAGATGAGCTCAAGCAACGTAGGTTCAGAGCTTTTATTCTAATCTCGCAATATCCTCACTCGCGTGCACAGAACGACCCTCAAACGAAGTCCTGGGTGCGTGGTTGGTTACGCCGGCTGATTAAATGCTGATAATCATGCTCACTATCAGGTCTTTGCGAGCGACTCGAGTCGCCGGCTCCTTCATGGCCTTGGGTTTGCCACATATATCCTCCGCGTCCTCATCGTACTGACCCACTCTCAGCTCCATGTGGTCCAGTGTGGTCGGCGCTCCCTGACCACGTCTGCGTCTGTGTCCACACCCACGTCCACGACGACCCCCTCGCTCATCTTGTTTCCCTCGCGCACCCTGGCCGCTGTTCCCTCGCTGAGGACCCACCTCCTCGGCTCCTCCACTCGCCGGCACCACCCGACCAGCTTCAAGAGCGCTCACGCGTGCGTCAAAACGCTCCGACATCTGAGTGAGCCGGTTGACAATGTCCTGGTTCGATGGGGTGACCACGTTTTGTCTGGGGCCCAGATGTGAGTATATGCGTTTTTTGTCGGGCTTGTACTCACATTGTTTCGGTTGTAACAATAGGAAACGGATAGATACCCAAGTCATTGTAGCACCGGGTCTTCATTTCGTCCGGCCGCGGTGCCCATAACTCGTCGCTGATCCCAAGCGTAGGCGGCCGCGGTAAGCCTGCTGTATAAGAAGCTCCCTGCATCGGATTATTCATGTTTATAGCAGTGGATGTAGGAGCGGCCATATCGGATATGAAGAGCTGCAGCTGTGAGAGGATCTGGCAGTGGGCGAGCGCGGCGGTGCGATGCGAGCGACGGCAGCGGTGTACCGGTGGCAAGGAGGGGCGGCGGCGAGCAGCAGGGAGCACGAGGGAGGGGACGCGTCGGGATATCAGTCCCGTGATGTGTATTATTTCATGCAATCTCATCTCATCTATTATTACATGCTTCTATCGTGGCGAATCTAAGGTTATAGTAGGCCCCAAACGGGTAGAATAACCGTTCACGAACACGGCCTGGTATTCACCTTATATGACATCACCTACTATAACCTAATCTCACGTTTGAACACACGAGCAAAATACCCTTTTACTCCCCCATGTGCGTACACGCAGCAGCATCTATTATATTTCCTATTATAACATCATTGTACATGTTTCTATCCGGCGCGATCTAGGCTGTAGTAGAAGTGGTCTCCACCTAGTGTTTGCAACTATTTGTAGCGCTCGGCCAACAGGGGCTTCTACCCCGTATTAACCAAAATCACCCCCCTCGAGCTCAAAGATACAATCTCTTCGTATAAAGTTAGTAGGGAGGGCACCGAGCATGTCCTCGATTCGAAATCATGCTATTAGATTGTATTCTACTTGCGTATGCCGAAGGTAACGAGTTCGGACATAAATTCGCCATAAGGCTGTGTACTTCGGCTCCTTGACACGACCCCAGACACCAGTAGGGGATGGATCCCCCCCCAGTCAAGGTCCGGAATTACAGTTCTGACTGCCCCTTGCTACTGGGCGACTACAGTCAGGTGAAGTGCCACTTCCATTCATTCCGTTGATAGGGGTAATAAGCTGTCCTGATTAAGGTTCACATCAACAAGGACTCTGCGTATGTTACATCGCACCATTGTCATATAGGTCATTAAGCAGGTAGACAAGCCGAAGATACCGTGGAACTCATCGTCCATCAGAAGAAAGGGGATGTGGCGGCACTGTCCGATGGAGAGAAGAATGAAGCCACCGGTTGCTGCTCGCGCTTTTTAAACCTTGAGTTCTGGAAGGAAAGTTCTTTCTTACTTGCCTAGATCATATGCATCGAGGGATCTAGTCCCTTATATCTGATGTTGTGGCTAACTGAGGCATGTGCTCAGACTGGGCGCAGTGATTGCGTATACGTATAGATGTCAAACCTTTCGGTCTTTGCTAGTTTGGATAACCCCTCGGGTAGCACAGTTACGCGCGAGAAAGCATTCGGTTCGGCCAAGGGATGTCTGAAACGCGATCAAAACATGCCGATATTCCTGTAGATAGCAAACGACGGTTTGATCATTGCTAGACAGTGGGTCTGCGCGCTCCGGTACGGTAGGTGTACTCCCTGATCCCCACAATCGCCTAGTGGATGTCGGGTAGGCTAACCCAAGTCACGAGATAGATCCTGTTGAAGGGAGAATGAAGAAATCAAGATGGCAACTACACAGCGATCCAATGGCACGAGCGAGGCCAATGTCTTCGCTGCAGAAAGGTCGGAGGAGAGGATGTTCCGACAAAAAGCTTCCGTTGTCAACGAGCCGTCGGCAAAAGCCGATCGGAGACCGGAAGCGTCGCCGATTGGGCGACGCGATCTGTTACACAATTGGGCGCGTCACACAAACTGAAGCTTTTGTTTCACGACATACCCACCTCGGTCTCCTTCTCACCACACATTCTCTCGACATGTCGTCCAGCCAGGGCTCTTCACCACCACCGTACGCTATGTCTTCGGTACCAGAGACTACCCCTGCGTCGTCACCACCTAGGAGCGAGTTCACCCTAGGCAAGGACGCGTCGGAGTACACCAGCAGTCCAGAGCCAGAGGTATGTACAGGTCACGTTCGTCGCTTAAAACCTTTAGATTGACCTCCTATATAGCTGGTGGATGCGCAGGACGTGAAGGAGGACGAGGTACGCCACCCGCTCTCGCGTGACCTTCGACGCGTCTAATGAGCGCGTTTTTGACAGGAGTTCGAAGCGCGCTTTGCGCGCCTCAGTCGCATTCTTGAGAAGTCCTATACGTATAGTGGCCTGCTCAAGCAACAGATGGACAAGGAAAAGCAGTCGTCGGCCCTTCGCTCCGTGCTCAAAGCTACCGCGCCAGCAGAGCCGAGCAAGAAGGCACCCGCGAAACGCGGTCGTAAAGGGCGTAAGAAAGCAGTCGAGGAGGAGCCCGAGGAAGAGACGAAACCAGAACAATCCCCCCAGAAGGAGGAGCCGAACAAGCAGGCGGAAGAGCAGCCGAAGTTCGTCCAGCCTAGTCTGGTAATCGGTGCACAGCTGAAGGATTACCAGCTGGAGGGCGTCGAGTGGATGATCAGTTTGGACAAGAACGGTGTTTCAGGGATACTAGGTCAGTTCTTTTACCCTCAATACGCCTTCCTATGATAATCTAACGGACTGTTCGTCACGCAGCGGATGAAATGGGTCTTGGCAAGGTTTGTTAGCGACACTATTCCCCATTCTCCGTATCTTAACCACTTTTTCAGACTCTTCAAACCATCGCCTTCAACGCCTACCTCCGCGAACAAGGCAATTTTAGCCCATTCCTTGTCGTTTGTCCACTCAGTGTACTACACAACTGGATTGAGGAATATAACCGCTTCGCTCCTGACGTACGCCACTGAATCCCTTCCCTTCGAGTACCAGCTAACCGCGAATTGTAGATACCAGTTTGCATGTATCACGGTTCTCCCATCGAGCGTGCTGAGCTCCGTACGACGGCCATGCGCCTGCCGGACGTTAACTATGACAGCGACGAGGAAGCCGCAGCTAACGTCAACGCGAAGCCAAAGAAGAAGGCTCCGGCGAAGAAGAAAGCAGCACCAGCGCCTAAGGCAGCCACACGCAAGTCTCAGCGCCAACCTCAGCCATCTCCGTCCAAACCTTCGCCCACCCGACGGACGCGCAGCGGCCGCCCCACCAAGCGCGCTAAGGTCGACTCGGATGGCGACGATGATCCATCAGATTCGGAGGACCAGGCAATGGACGAGGACGAAGAAGACGAGAAGGAAGTAAGGGCACCTCTCCCACCTCAGACGCGCAAGACGTTCCCGGTCGTGGTAACGACGTACGAGATGATCATACGCGATCGCGCGTACTTGGCGGCGTATAATTGGGGTTACATCGTCGTTGACGAGGGACACCGTCTCAAGAACCTCGACTGCCGGCTCATGCAGGAGATCAAGAAGTACCCGAGCGCCGGGAGGATGATTTTGACGGGGACGCCGTTGCATGTGAGTGACCTATGCTACGATTTCAAACTTCCCAAGGGATTCAACCTGACTGCTTTTATGCGTAGAACAACCTCTCGGAGCTGTGGGCATTGCTGAATTTCGTGCTGCCGGATATATTCAATGATTTGGATGCATTCCAGGAGTGGTGCGTCTCTACTCTTCCCCTCTACCACCTAAAGTTGATATAGACCTCGCCGGTGTTTAGGTTCAATCTCGGCGCAATGCAATCCCACCTCACCTCCGAGCAGTCCTCCGAGCTCATCCACACGCTACACGGCATCCTCAAGCCCTTCCTCCTGCGCCGGCTCAAAGCGGATGTTGAAGGGCTCCTCCCGCCCAAGAAGGAGTACGTGTTGTACGCGCCGCTCACCGTCCGTCAGCGCGACCTGTATGATACGATCGTTGAGGGCAACTTGCGCCAGTTCCTACTCGGGCAGGGTAAGGGCGTGTGTGCGACCGAGGAGGAGGAAGAGAAGAGGAAGAAGGAGGTAGAGCAGGCGATCGAGACGGATGCGCCGCGGAAACTGAGGAAGGGAAAGAGGAGACGGTATGATGTCGACGGGGACGATGATGCGTATTTTGAGATGCTGGAGAACGGGGAGGTGGCCAAGGTTAGCGGGGCGCCTGCGAAGGATGATCTGGGGGAAATGGCGAGGCAGCATCAACTGAAGACGACACGTACGTTTGCGTCTTTGACTTTTCGCTCTCCGCGCTCGCTGGGCTAATGTGCTATCCAGTCAAGCAGGTGAACAACATGAAGTTGCAGAACACGGTCATGCAGCTGCGTAAAGTGTGCTCGCACCCATTCCTCTTCGACTGGCCCATTGATGCGTCGACGAGCCAACCCGTGCTGGATGACAGCCTCGTCGGCGCGTCAGGAAAGATGATGGTGCTTGACCGTCTCCTCACCGAACTGTTTAAGCGCGGGCACAGGGTGCTACTATTTAGCCAGTTCACGACCATGTTGGATATCATCGACGTGCGCATCTTCCTGTTTCCCGTTCTTTCCAAACGCATTGTGTTGACTCTGCGCGTGGATGCTCCATGTAGGACTGGGCACGCGAACTGAAGGGTTGGGACATCTGTCGCATTGACGGGTCCTCTGCTCCTCTGGAGCGAAGAGAGCAGATGAACATTTTCCAAGCTGCCACACCCGACTCACCACGGCTGTTTTTGCTCAGCACCCGCGCGGGTGGCCTAGGTATCAACCTCACGGCTGCGGACACGGTCATCTTCTATGATCAGGACTGGGTGCGTCGCCTCAGACGACCAAAGAGGCACGGCTAACAAGAACCACCTATGTATTGTGATGGCAGAACCCTCAAATGGATGTACAGGCGCAGGACCGCGCGCACCGCATCGGCCAGACCAAGCCCGTGCTGATCTTCCGCCTGATCTCAGCTCACACGATTGAGACGCGCATCATGCAGCGCGCAACGGAGAAGCGCAAGCTCGAGGCACTGGTCATCGCCAAAGGTCTGTCCCATTCACTTCTACCTATCATTCCCCTACATCACCCCATGCTCATCATTACGCCCACGATATAGGAAAGTTCAAGATGCCTGGCCAAGCAGCCGCCCCACGAAACGGCCAACGAGCCAAGCGCGAGACCATGGCAGAGCTCGCCGCCTCTCTCCTCCGGCTCGAGGGCGAGCAGATCGACGTCGTTCCCGACACGGCCGCGGGCAAGGCGAGTGTGCTGAGTGACGCGGAGCTCGACATGCTCCTCGACAGGCGTGAAGAGGTATTCTCGGATCGTGGGAAGGGATGGACGAGCTCCACAGCAGCTGCTTCGGCTGACGCCGAGGGCGCAGCGGGTGCACAGGACGAGGATCAGGCTCAGGATGAGATGGGGGTGCAGAAGAAGGCAGCGAAGGCGGCGTTTGCGGCGTATGAGGCGCCCGTGGGGCAGGGGAACGAGGCGTTGGCGAAGATCTTGGGCGAGGATGCCCCAGAGTGATTGATGCTGGGAGGTGGTTCCTATGGGTGTTGCTGTATATTCTTGGGTAATTAGAGTGCTTGTTCGTGACATACCTTTTGTAGATTTTAGAAACCATATAGCATACTGTAGAGCTTATAGTTCATACTTTGATAATGTTTCGGTTTTTTTTACGTCCTTCACTGCCGTAGATGTCAAACGTCAACAGGCGCAGCGCTAACAGCTTTCACACTTCGCGCTCTAGATGCTCTCAGCCATTGGGGGCAGTGAGGCTAGGTGGTGAATTCTACAGCCATCACACCTGAGACAGCGGCGGATCGTGTGACTTAAAGAGGGTAACAACGATCCGACGAAAGATTCTATTCAACTTGAAAAATCTATATGGGCAAAGAGACAATAATGAATTAAACAAGACACGACGTCGCGTAAACGCTCCGTCCCCACGCTGTACAGGTGTAGTCACACATCGTCGAAGTATTTTTATGCAGACTATTTAACTTAACACATGGACAATAATATTGTACATTTGACTTCGACAAATTTCATCAAGTTTAATGATCTGAGAGGGGAAGTTAAATGAGATTGCACGAAAGATAGCGTAGTCATACCTCGCCGCGAGAAGCGCTCTCGTGATAGCCGGTTCAAGTTCAACATGAGTGGACCGACTGAGACTGTGGTTATGTTCTCTTGCATGTGGCAAAAAAACTCTGCTGAAATATCCAACGAACAGTCAATAGCTACGGAATCGAATTGGTCTTCGAAGCTTTTGGTGCAAACAATAGTTCCGGTGGAGCATGAAGCTCGGTCGCGGGTGACAAACACACCAAACACGTTAGCAGAAGGCATGAACCGAGTTTGAGTGTGATGGGAATGAGGGCGAAAGTGTTGAGTGGAAAAGTGATAAGATAATGCAGCTAGTCGGTTCGCAAGACCATACCCTCCCATGACATGAAAATGAATGCAATAATCCTCTTGTCTGTTGTATCGCATGTGGTGGGATGCCCTTGCCCGAACGAAAGTATCTTGAAACCATGCGCAATGTCATCTGTCTCAGCGGAGGGGCAGGCACACACATACGTTTTCAACGTTGCGCATCCCATCTTCAAACGTGGGTAAATATGCGCAAGCAGGAGGGACCCAAGAGCCGTCTTTCCGTCCAAAAATGATGTCCGAGCAGAACGTGAGACAGTGACAATGGATGCATGTGAGAGCACGACGAAGTTGAGTATACTGGGTGGGCCAGAACCCCCGCCTAGGCAGCCTCAACTGTGCCGCAGCGCCAGCCTGGCTCAGTTTTTCGAGGTCCATGATAAGATAGTTTCGAGTGCGCGGCATATCTTCTCAAGGAACACAACCTTGGCGTCACCCTCATAGACGGAGGATATGCCAGCTTTTCCAGGGGTGTCATCATGGTCGCACAGCAACCTCGATGGCAGATGGGGTGGACGTGCATGCGTGGGACTCGAGCTATTAATGAGATGGGCGCGACGGCGTCTCCGGGGTATTTGAAGGGCTCGGACGCTAGCAAGAGTGTGCGAGAGTCTCCTAAAGGGAACGACGGCGGGGACGGACTACGCGGACCTCGGAGAAAGCAAATAGGGAAACGACGGAAAGCTGACAGGTTGAGGAGACGGGTGGCCCTGTTTTATACCTAAAGACGGGTGTAAGGGGTTTAAACCGTTAAAAATAGTAGCTAGTAGGGAGTGGTGTCTGAGGGACATCGATGCCCAACTGAATGTACACTGGGTCTTAACCCATAGAATAGCGAATAACTGCGGAAAAGAGACTTTAGCACAATTCAGTCGAGCATTTATAAACTAAAATAGGGTGAACATGGGCACAACATCGGAGGTTGCGTACAGGAGTATCGAGAAAAGATTGTATAGAAACTCTTGTCATATTCTGTGAAGGGACGCTAAAGGGGCAAACCTCATTCAAAATAAAAGGTTCAACACGTACGCAGCAGCAGCGCCACAAAGGGACTCACGTTGAAGTATAGAACCACTACCGACCTACATTCTGAAAACAGGGGACATTCAAAAGCGAGCAACGTGCGGGCCGACAGGAGCCGCAACCAAACACAACCACATCGTTCGTGTCATAAGTTTGAAGATACGATTAGATATCTTTTATGCCCTCGACACCTCTGTGAGATCCTGTGAAGGATTATGAAAAGATCCCGGTACTAAATTTGGGATAGTTTCTATTAGATCGGTCCAAGGCAACGATGATAACACCGATCCTAAATTGATCAATGCATCTAGGGAGCTAATCGAGAAAGGGAAACATTCTAAATATAAGCGTACATCGATTCGTCAAAGGATTCAAAGTCAGACAGGGGCAACTATGTAAAATTGTACCGCTCAACCATGCTTAGAAAGGTTTTGAATATTTCAGAGCATCGCAACGATGCAACGATGTAAAGATAGATTCAAACTAGTTTCAGTGATCAGAGTGAGCGGCCCGATCAGCGGCCCACTCAGCGGCCCACTCAGCGGGTATCTCATCATAACTCAAGGTTTTCGTAAACAGTGGACCTCCATACATGTGCTGGTGCGAGTGAGCGGGTGTGAATTGGATAGAAATAGCCATCACTTACCTCAACGAACACCTGTAGGTGAGGCTGTAGCTCTTTCGAAGACGAGAAAACCCAGTACAGCAAGACCAGAGTGATAAGCATGGACAAAACAATGTGTATCATCGTGCGTGCTAGAACTCCAATCCAACTGTGAAGCTCGAGCGGAGAGGGGCGCGGAGACCGATCATCACTGTGGGTTCCAGAGACCTGAAAGACATGGCGATTAGGGGTAACAAGACCATGCTCGTACACGAACCTTGGCGGGTTTACGGTCGAGCGTCCAAATCTTCACATCACAACGCTTTTTGCGAGCAGTTCCGGCGCTGACTAAAATGCAACCTGCCTCGTCCTCGACACACTGTCTGACGGTTAGCTGACCTTTTCATACATGAGCAAACACGTACAGTAATGGTGCGAACTTCGAAACCACCTAGTGCACGGTAGTTAGCTAGAGGTGAACTAATGAAGACGAATGGTTGCTTACTTTCGGCATGCTCAACGTGATGCATGATCTTTCCTGTCCTATGGTCGAACACTCGGAGGAAACCGTCATCACCTCCCACGACGAGGAGATTGGCGGCGGGAGCAAACGCGACTTGGAGAATCGCATTGCGGATGATAGGGTGCGGAAAGCTGTCAACTCGTTCCATGGTTGGGAGTGCGTACTTATCCACCCCATTTGTCAGGTTGGAGACGAACAGGAAACCGCCAGAGTCGGAGAGGCAAGTGTCACCACTGGCTAGGATGAGTACTCCTCCAAGAACGACAAGAGACGACGTACATGCGTGTCGGAAGGACCTTAGTCCACTTTAGAGTCCATGGTTCTATTCCGTAGCAATGACTGGGGCGCGAGAGTCAGTCAGTGTATCAATGGAGACCTGAAGAACGTACATTTCGTGTGACTCAAGGTAAGATATCATAACGCTGGAGCCTCTATCGAGGAAATGAACCGTCCTGGCAATGAGTGACTTGCGAGGGGGTTTCTCGACGAGGCTGACCAAGGTACCTGACCTCACTTCAGTAGCGCAACTCATGGCGAGAAGGTTATAGGGCCCACGATTAGTCCAGCACCATACTTGAATAGATCCGTCACCGACAGTCGCGAGGCGACAGTGTGTACCATCCCAGCACATATTTTCCACCTGGCCGTCGTGCGCACGAACCATGGATACATACTGGAACGGCCCCTGGGAGAGATTAGTCTTGACATACACTCCGCAGAAATGGTGCGACTTACATTCGCAGAACTACTTTCATAGACGTGGACTGTGCCATCGGCAAAGCCGGCGGCGAAAGAGTTAGGCCCGTTGTCATTTTGGAATAGCCAGGTGACACATGAGATAGGGCCATGAAAATACTGATCGATTTCTTGCTCGATTTCTCCAGTCTGGAGGTTCCATACCATAAGAATGCCTTCTTGGCCTGCGGGAATATGATGTCTGCGAGAGAAGACAATATGGCCGTAGTGAACACTTACCGGCGCTCAGCAATGTACGAGATTCAAGGTTTACAGCCAGTGTATGAACAGCATCTCGATGACGCCGCAAATCATGCTTTAATTCGAACTGGATATGGCATCATCAAGCGATCAGTGAAAAGGGTGACATGGCACCTACCTCTAGTACGGGCATTTTCGTACGAACAGGACGAGATCGAAGCACCGGGGTGCTTATATACAAGCAAAGGCGCTTGCTGGCGTCAAGCAAGAAAACAATACGGACGGACAACACAATTGAAGAGTATCCTAGCAACCTGCCCCCCCATAGTACAATCGTCCATTTCTCGGTATTGTATAACGGCAATTGTGTGTAAGTTATTGTAACGCGGGTGGTAACATCACGACCGTATCTCCTTCAGCCGATCTGCCTGTTCTCTTATCTGCCTGCCTTCTTTCTCGCCTTGGAGTTTTTGAGGTAAATGCGGAGAAAGTCAGATACGACCCAATCACCCTCGTATTGATCAAGCTCAGCGTACGCTTCCTTGGCCTGCAGGTGCGAAGTATCAGCTAAGAACCGGTTGATTACGGGAAAATGATCCACCTCGGCGAACACTTTGGCCAAGTCCTCCGTCTTTTGGGCGTTGAAGGTTTCATGCACATTGAGGTATTTCTCGGCGAGCTGCTGTACATATTTCTGGACTACCGTCAATAGGACGACGATGGCAGTCAGATGAAGAACGTACCTTTACACCCTCATATCGATCGCTAGACCAAGCGAGTGCCTCCCGGAGGGTATATCCACCACGACCGATACGTGTTACTTCGCCCTTGGGCTTCGGGATACGGGAAGTTACGGGTGGCAAAATGCCAGCGGAGGATTTCGGTTCGTCGAGGGGGAACACTCTCTCGTACGTAAGGCTGGGGAAAGAGAGTAGACGTTCAACGAGAAAGGATTGGGTCGAGGTGAGAGGTGTGTACTGTCTGCGAACGGGTGGGTCGCCGCCTTCAGCCATGGCAAAGGTTCGGCTTAAACGAACGGTCAGCTCGAGTAACACTTCGTCAGCGAAAGGAAGACAACATACAAAAGGTGGGCAACTGCAAAAGCAGGGGTAGCGTCCGCCTTTTGAGGGCAGACAACAGAATAGTTCGATCTATGGTTATTGTTCCGTTATTGTGTGGATTGGCACCGTATTGGTGGATTGCTTACAGAAAAGCAGCCGACAGTCCCCATGGTGACTTTGTTGTGCCGATGGGTATTGTAGTCGGAGAGCGTGCATCCTGGACGTTGTAGCCCCATGGATGCTATAATCCGATAGGGTGCACCGCTCGGAACGTGAAAGCTGAGGTGACGAGGACGAGGACGGGACCAGAGGGGGCAATACTCATGGGGAAGCGAGAGAGAGAGCGGCGACGGCAGCCGCATTGCCATTGAGTGAAGCGGAAGGAAGTAACGAATCTGCTGGGCCATGAGCAATGACGTCCGAAAACAAATCGGAAAGAAAACATACCTGGTACTGAACGAAGTCTAATTAAATCCGGAGCTATTGAGCGATGCGGAGGAGGAGGCGATGATCTTGATGATCTGGGTAAGGCTACGATCGCGAATATAAGGATGCGTTAGTACGGATGAGGGATGAGTACGCGGCATATACTCACCTGAGAAGCCCGATATGACGCGCATGCGCTCGCGCTGATGGGGCTGGGTTGAATGAATGGAGATTGAGGGCTGGGCGGCGGCGATGGAGATATACGAGAGGCGGTGAAAGAGGACGTCGGGCGGGCCATGGACGAGGGCAAGGAAAGCGTAAGGGACGAGGGGGAAGTGCGATCGGGAAACTATGGATGGGGGAGGAATGAGCGGGGTAGAAGGGCTAAGGGTGGCGTCGACTTACACGAGAGGAGGGGTCAACGAGGACGCAAAGGAGGGGCTATCGACGATGGGGGGGACGACGCGAGGGAGGACCCCAGCGCGTTGGCGAGGGACGCGGCGGCGGCGCCAGGGGCGATGAGCTGGTTGAGGTGCGGGATGGTGGTGAGATGGTCGGAAAGAAGGGTCGTGGGAACCCACTCGGCAGTTTGATATAGTAAATCGCGAGTAGGGTACAGCCACTTACCAATTGGGTGAGTGGCTGTACCTCCACGCGAGGTGGGCACAGCCACCCACCACATTGGGTGGCGGCTGTACCTCATCGTGATTTACTATATCCTGGGGTAAGTGGGCTCTCATGCTCCTTTCTTTCTGACCATCTCGATACTGATCCTGGAGTATCGAGATGGTCAGAAAGAAAGGAGCATGA